GGGCTGGGAGGACCAGGCGAAGGTGGTGAGGGCGAGGGTGGCAGCGGCGGCTGTGGGCTGGGAGGACCAGGCGAGGGTGGTGAGGGCGAGGGTGGCAGCGGCGGCTGTGGGCTGGGAGGACCAGGCGAGGGTGGTGAGGGCGAGGGTGGCAGTGGCGGCTGTGGGCTGGGAGGATCAGGCGAAGGTGGTGAGGGTGAGGGTGGCAGCGGCGGCTGCGGGCTGGGAGGACCAGGCGAGGGTGGTGAGGGCGAGGGTGGCAGCGGCGGCTGTGGGCTGGGAGGGTCAGGCGAAGGTGGTAACGGTGAGGGTGGCAGCGGCGGCTGCGGGCTGGGAGGGTCAGGCGAAGGTGGTGAGGGCGAGGGTGGCAGCGGCGGCTGCGGGCTGGGAGGGTCAGGCGAAGGTGGTGAGGGCGAGGGTGGCAGCGGCGGCTGCGGGCTGGGAGGGTCAGGCGAAGGTGGTGAGGGTGAGGGTGGCAGCGGCGGCTGCGGGCTGGGAGGGTCAGGCGAAGGTGGTGAGGGTGAGGGTGGCAGCGGCGGCTGCGGGCTGGGAGGGTCAGGCGAGGGTGGTGAGGGTGAGGGTGGCAGCGGCGGCTGCGGGCTGGGAGGACCAGGCGAGGGTGGTGAGGGCGAGGGTGGCAGCGGCGGCTGCGGGCTGGTAGGACCAGGCGAAGGTGGTGAGGGTGAGGGTGGCAGCGGCGGCTGTGGGCTGGGAGGATCAGGCGAGGGTGGTGAGGGTGAGGGTGGCAGCGGCGGCTGCGGGCTGGGAGGACCAGACGAGGGTGGTGAGGGTGAGGGTGGCAGCGGCGGCTGCGGGCTGGGAGGATCAGGCGAGGGTGGTGAGGGTGAGGGTGGCAGCGGCGGCTGTGGGCTGGGAGGATCAGGCGAAGGTGGTGAGGGTGAGGGTGGCAGCGGCGGCTGCGGGCTGGGAGGATCAGGCGAAGGTGGTGACGGCGAGGGTGGCAGCGGCGGCTGCGGGCTGGGAGGATCAGGCGAAGGTGGTGAGGGCGAGGGTGGCAGCGGCGGCTGTGGGCTGGGAGGATCAGGCGAAGGTGGTGAGGGTGAGGGGGGCAGCGGCGGCTGCGGGCTGGGAGGACCAGGCGAGGGTGGTGAGGGCGAGGGTGGCAGCGGCGGCTGTGGGCTGGGAGGACCAGGCGAGGGTGGTGAGGGCGAGGGTGGCAGCGGCGGCTGCGGGCTGGGAGGATCAGGCGAAGGTGGTGACGGCGAGGGTGGCAGCGGCGGCTGCGGGCTGGGAGGATCAGGCGAAGGTGGTGAGGGCGAGGGTGGCAGCGGCGGCTGTGGGCTGGGAGGATCAGGCGAAGGTGGTGAGGGTGAGGGTGGCAGCGGCGGCTGCGGGCTGGGAGGACCAGGCGAGGGTGGTGAGGGCGAGGGTGGCAGCGGCGGCTGTGGGCTGGGAGGACCAGGCGAGGGTGGTGAGGGCGAGGGTGGCAGCGGCGGCTGTGGGCTGGGAGGACCAGGCGAAGGTGGTGAGGGCGAGGGTGGCAGCGGCGGCTGTGGGCTGGGAGGACCAGGCGAAGGTGGTGAGGGCGAGGGTGGCAGCGGCGGCTGTGGGCTGGGAGGACCAGGCGAGGGTGGTGAGGGCGAGGGTGGCAGTGGCGGCTGTGGGCTGGGAGGATCAGGCAAAGGTGGTGAGGGCGAGGGTGGCAGCGGCGGCTGCGGGCTGGGAGGACCAGGCGAGGGTGGTGAGGGCGAGGGTGGCAGCGGCGGCTGTGGGCTGGGAGGGTCAGGCGAAGGTGGTGAGGGCGAGGGTGGCAGCGGCGGCTGCGGACTGGGAGGGTCAGGCGAAGGTGGTGAGGGTGAGGGTGGCAGCGGCGGCTGCGGGCTGGGAGGGTCAGGCGAGGGTGGTGAGGGCGAGGGTGGCAGCGGCGGCTGCGGGCTGGGAGGGTCAGGCGAGGGTGGTGAGGGCGAGGGTGGCAGCGGCGGCTGTGGGCTGGGAGGGTCAGGCGAGGGTGGTGAGGGTGAGGGTGGCAGCGGCGGCTGTGGGCTGGGAGGACCAGGCGAAGGTGGTGAGGGCGAGGGTGGCAGCGGCGGCTGCGGGCTGGGAGGGTCAGGCGAAGGTGGTGAGGGTGAGGGTGGCAGCGGCGGCTGTGGTCTGGGAGGATCAGGCGAAGGTGGTGAGGGCGAGGGTGGATTAGGACTTGGAGGCAGTGGACTAGGCGAGGAAGGCCATGGCGGTGGGGGAGGCGGGTGACTTGGAGGGTCCGGTGCTGGGGGAAGCATCGGTGCCGGGCAGGGCGGAGGGCTGGGTGGCGGCCAGGGGAAGGGAGGAGTCGGCGGTGGCTTGGGTGGGAAGGGCGGCGGCAGTCGTGGCGGTGGCCGCGGGGGCCATGGAGGTGGCGGCGGTGGCGGTGGCCCCGGCGGCGGCCTAGGTGGCGGCGGTGGTCGGGGAGATGGTCTTGGGGGTGGAGCCGTGAAGGAGCATGTTTGCTTGTCTGGAAGTCGTAGGGGCAACGGAAACGGGAGTGGTAGCGTTGGCAGCAGTAGTAGCGGTTGTAGCAGCCAGGACGGCGGAAATGTACTGCCACTGTATTCTAGGGGCGCCGGATTATAACCCCAGTGCGCTACATGACACAGCAAAAGCTGGTGGCCGTCTAACGGGTGCCCTTGCCGCCGCCGCCGCCGCCACCACTAATGCTGCCGCCATGACCGTTTCCTTGCAGGCTGCGCGCGCCCAGAAGCCATCAGTTGTGCGTGAGGTAGGAAACTACTGTAGTAACCTGCCAGAGTTGTTGGTCCTGCTGCGCCTCCAGGGTGCTCCAGCTTCCGGCTTGGCTCTGCTCAAACAGACAGACTTGCTGCCGTTGGCATGCAAAGGCCTGCCGGCAGAGCGGTTTCGCCGGGGGCCTCCTCCGCCAGGAAGCCGTGGACGCATGGCTGCATGGCTCCCGCTGATACCGGTGCATACGCTCCAATTCTGTCGGTGAAGGGCTAGCTGTGGCTTACGAGCCCTCCGTACATGCGCGCAGTAGCTGTACCTAGCTGGGCCGTGTTGAGCGGTTGACTGAGCCAGTGCTAGCGAAGCCAGCGGCAGGGGCAGCAGTGGCGGCGGCGGCGGAGGGCCGGCGCGGCTCGCTAGTGCTGCTTAACCTACCGTGTGCCTCCGATCAGCCCTCCCGGCGATCCGGCATCATACATGCAGGTTACACACGAAGCGTGCGCATGCGATGCGATACTTCACGTTCCCCACTTACCCCTCTCCCTTACCTTCAGCCATGGGCCCACGGCACGTTGTTCGCAGAGACAAACGTTTGGACTTGCTGACGTCCTTCCTTTCCTGGACCCGCTCAGCCGTGCCCACTTTATCCCTAAAAGGTAACAAACCATGCCCAAGTACCCAGCGTTTGTTCCCAGCGTACTTACATGTGTTCAGCGGCAAGTCACCGCACTGTCGATTGTAGACGCCGGCGCTATCAGGCCCCAAATCGTAGCAGTACTTGGGGCACTTGCTTGTGCTTGGATAAGTTGTAGCTAGCTTGCAGCAGTCAAGGATGGGGCAGGCGACGCTCGCGTTGTTCCCGGTTGAGTCTGCGATCCAATCACCACAGCTTCCGTACTGGGCCGGCAAGATCTCGCAACCGACTGCATGGGAGCGGGTACAAGGGAAGAAAGCATGAACTTGGACCTTCATGAATGCAAGGCAACCCATATTAAGTGCACTACGGCTTGCGGACCTCATTGGAGCCTGCCCAAGCAATAGTAGGAGTGGGAAGCATTGCGCCCGGACGGGTAATAGCAATCAACAACATACCCGCACTGTGCATGCCTCGGCACACCGAGGCACGCTGGAGTGCAAGGCTACAGTTCATCTGCTACATACCGTCAGATGCGGTGCAGTCCACGGATTTCAAGTACTGGGCAGGGATTTGGATTTGGGCACCGCCGCAGGGATCTGCGGTTGGTGTTGTCGTTAATATTGGAATAACCGTTTAACAGGGATTTGCGGGTGGGTTCCTGATCGCCTAGTATTGCTGTTGCCGAAGACGCGGAGACTTGCCACATACCTGCCGAATAGCAAAGGTGTAGAAATTCCGCTGAAAAGTTACCGGCGACTGCAAATTTCTTACAGAGGCAGCCTGATATATTGTAAGTGAACTGCAACCGGCGCACGTGAATGGGATACACGCCAACCGTCGCGAACGAGTTAAACTCCTGCGAGCGGAATGTTGCAGCAGCTGGTGTTGTTTATCAAATAGAGGCATTGCATAATTGGGGTTCGACGCAGCCGGAGGGGTCGCCTATGTTGGCGACAGCTGCATGCGATTGCTAAGCGTCTACAACAATATCATCCAGACGATAGCATCTTCCGTCTGAAAATAGCAAGCATGCCATAATAGCGCACCTCGCCAACGGAGGTAGCTACAAATGTTAGGGTGGCAAAGGCGATGAAGACCAGGCTCTTACTGCACATTCACAAGGGCCGTGCCAATGTACTTTGTATTATTAGGGAGACTTCTACGGGATATAGGCGTTTCCACTGCATGCAAAGCGTCAACCCGAAATTTCTGCGGGGCATGATTCTTTGGCAGTTCGGCTGCTCCGCTCCCGGCGGAGTGTCGCTTCGGGGGTGTCCCGTACAACGACGAAAGCTAACTGTTGGGAAAGCCCCTGAACGTTTTTTACTGTGGAATCTATCCCAGGTAAGACGCATGGCATCTGTCGCATGCAAAAGCCTCATGGGGTAACTAGCAAGTATAGTCTACATCGCCTGCGCTACCGCACCAACACACAGGAGTTAATCGATAGAAACGACACTCATTCAGATCGAGCTTCGTGTGTGACTTCACACGTCTCAGCGTCACGCCAGGATAAGAAACTTTTCAATACCGGCCGAACGTTCGCACGTTCGCGCCACCTTGGAAGTAGCTTACCATAAATATAAATTAAGCGGCTATAAAGCACCTGCATTGGGCTAGACTGAAGAGGAGGAAGACCTGGCACGTGGTACAAAGTCATGAATGAAGCATCTTGTCGATGACTTCATCAATTGCACGTCCGGCTTTATAACTCCAATCTTTTGACAAATTCCTAATGTTCCGTGGCATTAAAATCCATACCTAATTTTTGCGTTTCACTTTCAGCATACCATCCTTCCTTGAACTCCAAGTGCCTCGTCGCCCGCAATACAAACCGATGGCATTTGCGCCCTTGCACTGCTCAGTCAATCCGGAAAATGCATAATCCTTCCTAGCGGCCTGCATAGTGGACATCCTGTGCTGGAGTTCTGCAGGGGACAAGCGGCTATTGCCGTCCAGGTATGGCGGCATTAGATAAGGTTCTCGTTCTGTATCAGTCTTCCGGAATTTGCACATTTAATTTAGCGCGTCCGCGTTGGCGTTGGATGCGGAGCTCAGTGTCTTGCGGGCTACGTCTTGTGCGCCGTCCTGCCGACATTGCATCATTGAAATGTGAAGTTGAACGAGAACAAAAATCTGTTCCTATTGTTGGTATTCCTGAGGCTCGGAGTCCATTGGTGTTCCACACGCAGGCGCCTTGTCCAGCCGGCGCCAGTGTTGCCAGCGTCTGCATCATCATGGAGACCTGCGAAGAGGTAGCAGACACTTTTAGCGACGGCGAGTGCTACACGGATATATTCTCCTCGCGAATGAGCTCGTTGAGCCTCTCCTTCACATCGTCAAGCTTCGATCCGGCGTTTACATTTGACACGTCGTCTCGGGCTTCGTCGTTACGGGTGCGTGTGTGTCTGTTTCCGGAATTCAAAGTGAGGCGTGGTGACGTAACCTCCTGGTAATGGCTCTCTAGGGCGGTGCCTGGAGGACGCTGCGATGTCTATCCATACACCAACTCATTAGTGCTCTCCCGTTCCTTTCTTCGTAAACCTGGTGCGCGCACTCATTCCAGCCCTGCTTGCCACCAACCACCCACCCCCCTTGTCCCCATCCCTCACCCCGACCTGCCCCCTCACCAAGCAGCACTGCGAGAGCACCTCTGGCAGTCCCGCCATCGACCTGCGCCCGCCACCGCCTCCACCGCCGCTCCTGGCAGTGGTATCCGCAACCCCATGTGCTGCCGTCAGGCGCCATCTCTCAGTGGTACGGCGGTCGAGCCTCCCCACCCCTCCCGCGGACTCGGGCCCCCAGCAGCACCACAACTCGCGGCCCGGATCTGCCACCAGCTCCTCCTCTGGCCTGGGCACCACTCTGGGGCCGGAGACCAGCACACCCGGAGTGCCTAGCTGCCTGGCAAAGTCAGGTTCCTTTTCTGAAGGTACCGCTGCTGCTGCTGCTGGCGGTGGCGGCAGTGGTTCTGGGTGCGGCGCTGCGGCGGGGTGCGGGGCTGCGGCGGCAGCAGCCGCTACCGGCTGCCCGGCGTTAGCGGGCTTGAAACGGAGGACCTACACTGATCCCGGGTGCACCGGGACGTCATGGCTCCAGCAGCAGCAACAGCAACAACAGCAACAACCATTGCCACCACAGCAACACGAGCAGCAGCAGCTAGCAGGGCAGGAAGGGGAGCCGTCTGGCGATTGCAAGATGGGCGATTCACCTGGGGTGGCATCGCATGCGTTACTGGCACCCTCAGAGCCGCCGTCGCCTGCATCCTCATTTGCTTCCTTTGCCGCAGCACTAGCGGCGCATTACTTTGCGGACTACGGCAGCGTACCGGACGTGCCTGCCCACTTGGAGGAGATGCGCCTCCGCGGCAGCAAGCGACAGCGCGTGGTGTCGCTAGAGCCCGCGCTGGCGGAGTCCTGAAGGGGAATCGAGCCGTGCAGCGGGTACCTCATAAAGCCTGTGGCCTGAGGCTTGACGTCTCACCACTTTTTGTTGCTTTTCTAGTTTGACAGCTGTTTTATTAAGACTGTGTTGACTTTGGGCTGCTGGGGCCGGCGCCGTGTGAAGCATGTCACATCGCTGTGCTCCCAGGCACTGCGAAGACAGAGGACTTGCGTGCAGCAAGCGTTTGGCTTGGGGGGAGGGTTGAAGCACTGGAGGGACGGGCAACCCAGGTGCCAGCGGCACACACAACGCTGGATTGTGGGGCCGGCCGGGGTGCCTCAGGGAGCCCCACCGTTGTACATAGGTGCATGGAGCCAACACAGAACTGCCCAGATAATAAATGCGTTACGTTGCGAGAGGGTTCGGCTTGCATAATGAGAACTGAGGAGAGAGCTGCAGCTCACTGGCGTTGGTAGGACGTTGCCTAACGCATCGTATGTTGTGGTTTTTGGGCGGAGCCCCCGCCGCGAAGCGGCTTCGGGGGGGCTTCGCCCCCCAGGATTGCCCCTGTCCGTGTGTCCGTGTGTCCGTGTGTCCGTAACGGCAAAACATACAATCTAGACAAAACTATTTATTGCACCTAATAGATATTTGTTATCTGTATTCAGTAAAAATAACTGGAAGCCAAACAAACTTAATTTCGCAACAAACGATTTATTGACCAGCCATTGAACAAGGACCACCTCGGCAACAGCGATTAGCGCTCCTCTATGGTTTGTCCTGGTACCGTAAACAGTATTTAGTGAATTGGTAACAGCGGCGTGTCGCCAAAGGGCTACCTGTGAAAGTCGGCGGGAGCATGCTCGCATCTACTGTGCTACTCAGAGCCCACACAATCCTTTGGGACGATGTTGCACGCCTTTGCTATGGGTTTATGCGTATGAACTGTAACGCAAACGGGTACGGGATACCTCGCTTATAAGCTAACATGTCATGTGACGGCGCAATGGCTGAAGTCCTTCTGAGCACGATGCCGAGATTGAGGAGCCTGACCTCCTCATCATGTTAGTAATGTAGGTGAAACTCTGCGGGACCCTGAAAGCACTTCCATGTGGCAGTTACGCCGTCGATTTGGGTTCTGTAGCCTAAGGCGTGGGTGTTATCAAGCATGATAAGACGTTACTAAGTACTCGATTGAACAGGCGTAACCTAACAATGTGTGCAATGAGTGAGGACACTATGTACGCCATGGGTGAACAAGGCGGCCGGCCTCGGCTGGACAAGGGGCTCTGAGCCCGTCTAGCCATGCAACGAGCACTAAAACTACAGTAAAAAAGGGGGTTCAGCGTCCGTATAACGAGGTGTGTTAGGTCAACTGGTGCCGTGGAGTCACAGGAGCGCATTCCAGGTCTATAAGGCCCATAGGGTTGTGCGTCGCACTTGAGTCGTTCCACTCCCCTGTAATAATCGCAATCATTCCAGTGGTAATAATACGTTCCTGTACTAAAGAGGAGGGGCTCCGCCCTTTTCCAGCTTTGAGGAAGCTGAAACCCCCTTGTCTCCGTTTCCTACCTGCCCTCCTGTCTGACTGTATCATAGAGAACTGCTCCGCTGCACCGACGGGGGGCTCCTGCGCCAAGTATGCATTGAGTGGAGAAAGGCGGAGGTTTTGGTGGTTCGGCGTTTACGCGTGGAAACGGAGGATGGCAATGTTGGATATTTTTGCTGGGCCGCTTGTCCCTACGGTTAACGAAACCTCTGAACGACTAGACCTGAATTCATTGTAGGACATCATTGGATGTAGGCCCATGTTGCACGTATGCGTGCGTGAAGTTATAACGGCTGTGGAGGAGGAAACAAACAAATGGGGCAAGAGGGCCTCCTGGAGTGTTGGTTTGGTATGCTTGTGGCGGTGTAGGGCACATAGAAGGGTTTCGGTAATCAAAATGGTATGGGGTTCATTGAAGGGTAGGTAGAGCTTTAAAATTGCGCGCTGCTTTAACATTTGCGTTTCTGTTTCCGTGGGTCCGTTGGTTGGTGGCTGGTAGTTGGAACTCTTTTTGCAGGCGATATTACAGTTGTTGTTGCATACTTGCAATGGAGCGCTGTGTTGTTTAGGAACAGGATTAAGGATTAGCAAGTAAAGTTGACACATGTATCTGGACGGCAGGCTGCTCACGGCTATTAGGATTGGTAGTGTTTGCAGTGTCTGGCTTATCTCTCTTCTCGTCGTATTTACATAACTGAAGGTTTTGGGGGTAGGATGGTGCTGCTTCTCCTTGGCCTCGACCCCACGCAAGTGCCCTAAGAAAGTGGCGCATTGCAACTACTTTGTATTCCCCTCGTGTGCATTAACTTGCATGGTATACTTGATGCAGAACCGGGCATGCATTAGGTACGGCTCGGCAAGGCCCGAGGTAAGTACGACCTATCCCAATCGTACTCCATACAATAGCTGACACACCTGGTGTACGCATGCGACGCACCCCACTTGCCTATCAAGAAAACACTGCGGATGGTTGTCGGGCAATACAGCCTAGAACACACAACCCAAAGCTGCGGCCAACTCCTAAACAATGCGGTACGCTACCGGAATCCAGGAGACACCCCCACCCTGTGCCTCTCCCGACTATCCCCAGGTAAGAGGGGCCCTCCATCAATTGTACAAAGCTACTTCCACCTTGTATACACAGCTGTTATATGTACAACGCGCAGACCAACTCATCCGCAGCACTAACGCGTGGATTGGCCGGACATAGGCGCGGGCGCAACGAACCCTCACACCCGTACGCACCAATCGCCGCGCATGCCCGCCGCAACTACAATCCTTCCTCCTGACCCAACTAGCACAACCACTAGCGCCCCCTCCGCACCGCTGGGACCCCAAATGACCTGTCATCCAGCCTGCTTGCGGGTGTGCTTGCCGGCCAGCGCCTGGCCTTACTTCTTCTTCAGCTCGTCCGGCTGCAGGCGGTCCAGCAGCCGGTGCGCCTTGCTGGTGTCTCCCGTCTTGTAGGCCAGCGCCATCTGGGCACGGAGCAGCTCCTGCGGACCGGGAAGGAGAAGGGAGACGCGGGGGTGGCATGGGTCAGGAGGAGAAACACATTCCTGTGGCATATCCTTCTCCGCAACCGGCAATCGAGATGCGGCATATGCGCATGCGTACACAGAACCAGTGTGCGCATGCTTGACTGAATAACCCACCCAATTCCACCGCCCCCTCCCACCTGCTCGCGCATGTCCTGGCCCTTGTCGCTGTACTTGATCTCGCGGTACGCATCCTGCAGCCGCTCCGCCGCCAGCCGCTGCCGCTCCTCGGCGCGCTGTTGCCGCAGCGCCTCCTCGTCGTTGACCGCCGACTTGCGCTTGGAGGCCAGCTTGGCGCCCTTGGCAGCGGCCTTGGCGGCGCGAGCTCGCTCGTAGGCCTCTAGGTCGTAGTACTTGCGGTGAGGGAGGGTGCCTGGGGCAACGAGGAAGGCAGCGTGTCGACGTAAGGCAACATGGATGGAAAAGCAATGTGGACGAACGTCAAGATGTGGAGGAGACGTTGAAAGAAAAGGCTGGCGGTTCTGCATGTGTGCAACGCTCTCCCACCCGCCCGACACGGCACTGCCGCCCCGCTCCGGAATGATGAAACCCATGGTTGAGCCGTGCTACATGCCTAGTTATCCCCTCTTTTCCCCGCCCGCCCAGCCCCCTGGCGCACCCGTGTTGTAGTCCTCCATGTAGTCTCGGAAGAGGTCCCGCTCCTCGAACTTGCCCAGGTTCTCCACGTCCGTCTTCTTCACTTCCAGCGCCCACAGGATGAACTCGTTGCGCTTGGCGTAGGCGTCGCTCTGGGGAACACGGGAGGAGAGCAGCGAAGAGGTGAGGTAATGCAGGGCGCCGCAGGTGGGCGTCGGCGTCAGCAGGCGGAACGGACATTCGCGTCATTGTTAACTGTGCATGAGCCTTCACACTGGAGGAACCCCGGGGAGGAGCACGCCTTACCTCGCGAATAATGCCGTATTTGCCAAAGTCCTCTGAATGCGTGAGCGTCTTGGCGGTGGCAGGCTTGTCCTTGCTCTTGCGCTTCTTCTTGTCCTTATCCTTGCCGCGCTTCTTCTTGCTGCTGCGCTTCTTGTCCTTGTCGGAGCGCTTGCGCTGGAGGGGATGAAGTGAGGTGCATGAGCGATTAGTGCCGGAAAACGTGACAAAGCAACCGATTTGGGTGCCCAAGGAATGCGCCTTCACAGCAGTACGACAGCCCGAACATGAGCTGCTAGCAAGCACAGAGCATGAAGAGGTGGCTTCTTCTGCTTCCAAGGCTTCCCACACGCATCCTCCTGCTGAGCACCCTACTACAACGCCTCCTCAGGCTACCACCACATGCCCAGCACCTCCAACACCCCTGAAGCCCCTCACCTAGTCGCCTATAACATCGGGTTAAGGAAACATCAGGCCGAGGAAACCCCTTTTTAAGGCGGCCCAACCCCTTGTAACACAACGCTGCGCCGTATCTCCCTCCTTACCTTTCTCCGCTCGCCGCCGTCTGAGTCGGAGCCGCTGTCGCTGCCCGATTCGCTGGAACCCCCCTCGCTGTCCGAGCTGCCGCTGGTGCTGGGCGCCTCCTGCTGCTTCTCGAGCTCCCGCTGCACCTTTTTGCGTTTCTGGAGGCGAGGGGCAGGTGGTTGAAGCAAAGGATGGTGCGATGGTCTCGAGCCAAGGGTGAAGCAGTTAGGGACGGACACGTTATGCGCTGCTGTGCCGTGCAACAAAGCCACATCGGAAGTGCATATGGGCGTGGCTTTCTGGTCTCATGTGGACGAGCGGGACTGTCCAGGGGTGGTCTAAGACCACGGCAAGAAATACCCAGCCTTCGCCAAGTCCCCCTCCCTTACCCAGCATCCCCCACCCCTCCCAGGACCCTCCCACGGGTCTTACCTTCTGTAAACTCTTCAGCTGAACGTCGTTCTCCGCTACGAACCGCCGCAGCAGTGCAAGTGCCTTGTCGACATCCCAGTTCGTCTCTCGCAGAGCCATAACGCGAGAAAAGAAGCCTAATTGGGGCAGCAGGATAGCGAGCTTTTCAAGGGCCGCCTGCTCTTTCTCCAGTTGCATCTGCTCGGCGTGGCGCTGTACCATAGATTTCCCAACATTTTCGGTTTGCCCGGCTGCCCCGCGGGTATACAAATTATTGGCGTCTATGCCTAATGTGTTATGTCCGACTGCTGTCGCCATGGCTGCGAGCCAAACTGCGCGTAGTGCCTGACTTGGGTTGGGATGTCTTCTTTAAAAATCGTAAAGTTGCAGCGTATATATGGTGTTGTGCGTAGAAGCCTCGTCTGCAATGAACAACATACAGAGGATGAAACTGGTCTACGAGTTTCATGGAATTGCAAGCTGGTTGGCTGCTGCCCGTACTCATCCTGTGACAAAGTTGCACCGCACCATAGGTAGTTTCGTATAACCTAACCTTGTTAGCCTTCATTAACAACGTTGACTGTTGTGTACTGTTAAACTCGGTGCTGACTTCGTCGGAGCAAGATCGTTTGCTAGTCGTCCTCGCTGAGCATTGTCACAGACTGCCTTTTGAAAGATGGTGAAGCTCGAGGACGTAGACAAGTTGAAAGTTAACGTGAGTCAAAGCAGCTGGCGCGTGCTCCCTTGCTAACTGGTTGCCTTCATGGTGCCGTCTGAAATGGCTGCCAACAATTGTATTCTGCCCTGCATACTCAGGAACTTAAAGCAGCCTGCAAAGAGCTAGGGCTTGAACAGAGCGGAAACAAGGCGGAGCTTGTTGCGCGGCTAAAGGCTGCCCTAGCAGAGCAGGAAGGTACCGGGGCCGCAGCTGCAGAGGCAGCGGTGCCAGCGGCAGAGGGCGACAAGCCGGAAGCCGGTGTGACTCCAGAGGCGGAGGTTGCAGAGCCACCAAAGCCGTCTGAGGCCGACGGTACAACCGATAGCGCAGCGCCTGGCGGGGAGAAGCAGCGGGCGAAGATCCAGTTTACAGACTCCGAGGCAGCGGTGCGTGAGATTGCACAGGGCTCCCTTCCCTAGGGTTTACCCTCGGGACGAGCGTGTATGTGCCACCATGGCCTACTCACACCCCACCTTGAGCCTTGGCGGTGTCTAGGCATATGTGTATAGCGCGGTGCTCTTTGGCTGACGCCTACCTGCCAAACGCCCCTACAGAAGTTCGAGGCGACTAAGGTACAAGTCGTTAACACGGCGCCGGCTGACAAGCCGAAGCAGCTGACAGACGCAGAGAGGCTCCGGCAGCGGAAGGAGCGGTGGGTGCTTTCGTTGGGCAGTACGCAGGGTGACGGCTCGCTGTACCTTGCTGCGCTCTTCGCTGCATGCTGCCGCACCTCCACTTTCGTAGCCTTTCGACGGACTCCTTTGGTCCCATGAGTATCGTGGACTTCACGTCGGCACTCCCTTAACTCCTGTTGCAACATGCATGCCCGCAGGTTCAAGGACCCTGATGTGGAGCGCATGAAGCAGCGTGCCCAGCGGTTCAACCTGGTAGGTGGGGTGCTGCAGCATTGCCTGGGCGTACTGACGCCAGAAGTGGGATCATACTGGAAGCATGTCCGACCTGCCGTAGGGTTTCATCGTTACACGGGTTTGCGCCGGGGTTGTTTAGTAATATGCACTCACATGCAGCGGGGGCGCTCGGCACAGGGCCATGGGTGCCAAGCGGCTCTCCATTCGTGCATGTAATCTTCAACGGTATGGCATACGTTGCTCTACATGGCCTTCATTGTGCAGTAGCCCGTCCTTAGTGAACCCAATGTGTTGTATCTTGCATGCGGCTTTGTGGCCTTGTGCAGATTGATGCGGACCTGGAGAAGGAGAAGATGTTTAAGCGCGCCGAGCGCTTCGGCACCAGCCACCCCGAGCTTGACAAGATCAAGAAGGAGCAGCGGGCTGCGCGCTTCGGGATAGTGGATGAGGAGACCAAGAAGAAGCAGCGCCAGGAGAAGTTCAAGCCGCTGACCTCCAAGCCGGACTTCAACATGTCGTTCAAGCAGGACGACGACTTCGAGGCCAAGAAGAAGGTAGGCTGGTGTTAACATGGCTTATGCTGTCATCCTAGATTGCCCTGTGTGTGCTGGCCGGTTGTTAGAATGTGGGAGCGGACACGCATCGTATCGTATCGCTGGGCGCAGTGGTGCTGGTGTATGCTCCTTCCCGTTGGATCTCCAGTGCTGAGTTGCTGTGGCGCCGCTGCTGTGTTCCCTCAGGCTCGCGCCGAACGCTTTGCCGCTGCACAGTAGCGGGCCTTGCACCCTGCGGTGAAGGGCGGGGACTGCCCGGTCGCACCCCGCACTGCCAGCAACCGTGGTGCCAAGGAAATAGCGGCGTTTGACGTTTAACGCTTGCATGGTGTACCGTGTTGATTTTGTTCACGTCGTTAAGAAAACGTCGCTATTCTTGACGCTATTGCGACTGTTGTGCGGTCTGATGAGTGGGAAGTGTCAGGTTGCGATTACCGCTGTCTAGACGGACCCGCAGGCCATTGCCTTTTCCGATGGACCTACCTTAACCCAGTACTGACTGTCATGTCTGTTGGGACTTTTTGTTGGGGCGGGAGAAGCGCGGTGGGGTCTAGACGGTGTGGTTTCGGGAAGGTCGTCGGGTGTGGCCCATGCGCGGATACGTGGAATGGGCGAGTGGCAATGCAGTCAGCACGCATTCCTAGTCCTCAATCAATGCATCTGACACCCAGGCGTATGCTCCTGCTGATGTTGCCTAGTGCACTGCACGTCTATGCCCTGTCCTCGCAACAGCACCCCCTTGCTTGACATGTCAGGACAGATTGTTTTTTTTGTCTATCGGTAAGTGTAACCTTCCAACTTGCCCTTTGACATGACCACTGTGCACGTGTCCCTGTAAGCAGCAAAACTTTGCCTGCCCGCACTGCATCCTCACACACTGCGCCGTTCCCGTACTATGCTTGTGGGTTGTGTGTGCCATTTGTGTTAATATGACTGTGGGGAAAGGTCGTATGTGAAAGGAGCCTTGGCACTGTGTGGTGTAACCGAACGCTTATACCAAGTAGTGCATCAAGTTGCCAAGCGGGTTGAACCCAATCGCTGCCAGGTCTCGGTGGTCCGTGGCTTACGTTGCCTTGGTGCAGGGGAACGATTGCCATAAGGGAGCGGCGAGTGCAGGGTTTACAGGGGACAGCAAATCAGTCATCCCAACACATACACAACTGCATAGGCGCTCAGCCACAAAGCAAGCGGAGCACGCAGCAGTCAAAGAGCGCATTCCCACATTCATGTTGTGGCTAGGATTGTACTGTTAAGTTTGCGGCATCACGCGGGGCACTAATCGGATTGTCACGTAGACATGGGCGGACTTGCGTGCTGGCCTGAGAATGTACACTTGTATGGGGTGCTGGGCTGCTAAACGCATCCGCGAGATGCAAACAGTACAGACAAGCTTAACCTTGGTTTGCTGTTATACTGGCGTTGTCAATGACAAGCGCATGCCCGCCCAGGACTGCCTCCTTAATACTTTGGAAACAATCGACAATTAATACGTTTTTACGCTTATGGATATACGCCATACTTACAGATTAAACTGAAAGCGAGATACTGAATGAGAGGGCTAGGGAAGTAGCACAACAGTTGCGCGTACGGGCGCACAGGTGTGCCTTCCGAAGCTTCCGGGACTTCGTACACAGCGCAACTGGCATAGTATAAATGTACGCTTACTGCGACACCAATATAGAACTCACATTGAAGCGACATAGCAAGAGCGGTGTACCGAACCGAGTAGCTTCGACATATCGTTACTAGGCTGCACTCACATTCGTGCTCCTTATACTGGTTGGTGCGGAACCCGCTTCAAGTACAACCTTTCGTCAGTTCGCCAAGGTGGGTCAGGTTCGCCATGGTTCCCAGACATTCGACGTCGTGTGAAGTTTCGCCCCGTTACTCCTCATCTTTTCCAGAATATTGGAGTCTTACTGGTTTTCACTTCTTTCGTTTATCCACAGGTTTAAAAATGGAGGTCACCGCTGCACGTGTCGCGAACATGATGCTTCGCCGCAGCGGCAGCCGCAAGGATGGCTTCGACAAGGTGGCTGCGCTGGGAACCATGTTCTCCCAGTGGTCTCCTCGCGATCCCATGAGGCGGATGACCATGGGCGGCGCACCTCCGCAGCTTGAGACGCCCGCAGCTGCCGCAACGGAGTGCATCCCTGACGCCGTCTGCCAGCTCGCACCTAGGAGCAGCCTGACGATCCAGGACTCGGTCCTGTCCCCCAAGGCTGCTCTGCTGTCTCCCACCACGAGCTTCAAGGACGGCGCGTCGCTCCTCTCTCCCCGGACAAGCCTCAGCATGGCCGGTATGGAGGCTCTGCTTGTTAGCGCCGGCCGCGGCCTCTCGGATACGCCTCAGCAGTCGGGCACGGTTACCATTACCCCAAGCCCTCTCGCGTGCAGCTCGTAATGGTTGTTTAGTAAACTAGGATAAGGAGATGGCGTCGAGTATTTGTCAGTAGCTCAGCGTAGGTTGGTTCTAGCAAGATGCACGTTGAATGTGGTGCTGTAGGTCTGCGTTTTATGCGCCTTAAGTGTTGAATGTTCGTAGCGCTCGCGAGCCTCAATCAAGTTTTAGAGGTTTTAGCAGCAGTGCTGGCAGGTTAGGCGATGGAGGCTTTCTCTTTGGCGGGATGACATCCTTCTTTCATTAGTATAAAGCAAAACATGTCGGCGCAAAAGTCTGACGCTTAGGTCCCGGTGCATGCTGGGTTGCAATGGGACGGGGCTGTTGGCCTCCCACTAGCATGGACATCTTAGTGCTCTGTTCTTCTAGTTCTAGCCCTTAGTTTATTCTTCGGTTCTTCGTAGTTCTTTAGTAGCATGAATATGACGGGCTGCGCGTGATTTGTGGACGGTAACATGTGTATTTCCCGTCACACGATTGCACGCGCCAACACAGCTGTCGGGTGGTTTAGGTTGTTTGTTTTTCTGTTTGTCGGGATGCTTGTTTGCTGTACTGTGGCTTGGACTTACACGACTGAAACGTCGAGAGACATAACAGCAGCGCAGGAGTTGCCTGCGGTTGTAACAATTGAGTAGCATGTTGTGTCTTTGATGATGCCGAGCTACCGGTAACCTACCACTAGAACATCCATTCCACCCGAACCTTCAGCACTCATTACTCCACATCACTGCACACCTGGATAACTATAGCGCTTTAGGGAAAACCTGCTCACCATTATATGCACCGCATGTCACTTCACCGCCTAGAACCAACAGCTACCACCGGCTGGCAAAGCCAACCTATGCAACGCTCGCAGCGCACGCTCGTCATTCCTCACGGTCACAACTACGAAGCGCGCAACCTACCGTATATATACGCAGCCAAGCACCGGCACCACCGCTACCAGCTCAGCTTCAGTGCTTCACCCCCTTTGTCCCTTCACGGCTTTACATACTGGTAGATGATCTCGATGCCATGCAGCTCGCGCAGCTTCTCCAGCATAGCTGGGTCATGCGCCAACCGCGCCAGTGCGATGGCTGCGTTCTTGGACGCCGTGTTGCCGCGGCCGTCGTACGCCACCTTGACTAGCGGCGGCACCGGCTCAGCGGCGCGCAGCACCGGCAGGTGCTCCTTGCACCGCGCTATCCCCGCCACACACAACACCGCATTCGCCAGGACCGAGTCACCCAAGCCTGAGCCCGCAAGGTTCGAAGCCTTGCTCAGGCCCGCCAGGATGCCGGTGCTGCGGACGATGCGGAGCAGGACCTCCACGCCGCCGCCAGCCACCAGCTGCGCCGACAGCGCGGCGTCATCGGGGCTAGTCAGGATGGTGAGCGTGCGTACGGCCGCATCCAGCAAGGCGGCGCTCACTGCAGCCTCAGCCTCACCGCTAGCGGCGCTGCCGCCATGGCTACCCGCAGAAGCGGCTCCTGCATCCAAGCTGTCTAGTGCAGCACTGACAACTCCCAGCATGCCTGCCACCGCGCCCAGCCGAAGCAGCGCCGCGGCACCTGCGTGCACCTTGGCGGCCCGAGCACACACGCCGGCGGCACGCGCCGACAGGACTCGGTCGCAATCCCGTACAGCCGTCGCCAAGCCGTACAGCGTCGCGATGGCCTCCCCGTCCTCCGCCACCAGCCGCTGGCCCTGCTCCTCCACCGTCAGGTTTAGCAACGCCGTTGCCGCTGCTCGCCGGACGTCCATGTCCATGGCTTGCCGCTGAGGCTGCGTTGCTGTGGGTGCTGCTGCTGCCCCGCCGCCGCCCACAAGTGCAACCAGTTGCCGTACGACACCGCCCTGTCGTGCCAGGATTTCGGAGCGCAGCGTGGCGTCTGTTGCCATGTTCCCCATCAGCACCACCGCCTTCTCCGCTAGCACGGGATTGGCGGAGCGCAGCATGGCTAGGAAGCAGTCGGCGGCGGCGGCGTCCTTGCGCCAGGCGGCTCCCATGGCGGCCTTGGTGGGCTTGTCGACCATGCAGTTGCCCAGCAGGGCTAGAGCCACGCCCTGCAGCGGCGGCAGGTGGTGGGTTCTCAGGTTATAAGGAGCTCATGTAGATAAGCCCACGTGGACAGCAAGGAGAATAAAGCCGTTTGGCTCGTGTCCTCAAAGGTTCACGAAGCATGCGCGTGACAGCGACACCCTACCCCGGAGGCACTTCCCTAGTAGGGTAATACCCCAAACCTGCCCCAAACACCTACCTGTACTGCCGGTTTGGCCGCTGACAGCAGTCGCAGCAGCCGCGGCAGGTGCTCAGCCGTGCCCAGCAGCTTCGACACCTCCCGCCGTACTTCCTCATTCGTCACCGCCGTACACAGCAGTGTCGCCGCGGCTGCTGCTGCCTCTTCACCGGCGCCGTCCAGTGCTGCCACCACCGCTGGGAGCACCTTAAGCGCTGGCAGCTGCTTGAGGTTGCCGTCGTTCATGCAGGCGTCGTTGAGCAGCAGCAGCAACGGAGCCAGGTCGGAGGGTGCGCTGCTGCATCCAGCGGGGCGCTTGGCTATCTGCAAAGTACGGATGATAGGAAGCGAGGGCTCAGATGAAGTGTTGTACAAGCAAGAGAACGCCGGGGACACAGCCATTGGTACCGTAAGTGCAGGTTAGGGCGCACGCACCCGCAGGGGGAGCAGTACCATGAGTGCCAGTGTATGTGCCATGCGTATAGAGGCCCAAGCACATACATGCCCCAAGGCAAACGCTCATCGTACTCTGCCCCATCACTCCCGCCCTCAATCCCCACACGTACCCTTTTGGCCACATTCTCCAGCCCTCCGCACTCCCGAAGGTACACGCAGCACGCGTCGCCCCCCCGCAGCAGCAGTTGCAGCTCCGCGCACGTGGCAGCAGTCGCAGCAGCAGCCGGGTCCGCAGCCTGGGGCCGAGCCCCGGCAGCTGCCCCCGCACTGCCCGATGCCGGGCTGGGAGCACCACGGCCCTTCGCCTGCTGGCGTGGAGGTAGGGAGGGCCCCCGGTGTGCCGCTGCATCCCCCTGAGGCTGTTGCGGTTGCTGCGAGTTGCTAACCGTCTCCCCAGCCGCTGCTCTTTCCGCCGCCGCCGCTGCTGCCTCCGCCGGCTCGGCCGCCGTCGTTGCTGCCGCACTTTCCGCCGGCGCCAACGCCCCCACCAGCCGCTCTAGCCTCCCCAGCTTCTCCAAATCCAGAGCCATCCCCGCCGCCTCCACTGCCGCCCCTCCTCCAGTTCCCTCCGCACCCGCGGCCTCCCCCGCGCTCGCACCCCGTCCGGCCGCACCCCGGCTCACAGCCTTGGCAATGGCTCGCTGCTTCCGCGCCTCCTCATCTTCCTGTCGCGCCCGTTCCAGCTGCTTGGCCACCTCGGGGTTGCCTGGCTCCATCTGTGCCGCCTCCTGCAGGTCGCGCAGCGCCCGGCTGGGCTGGTGCAGCGCGCGGTAGGCCTCTGCGCGGCGCTGTAGCGCCTTGACGCACAGCGGGTGCTGCTTGTTGTTGTGGAAGAAGTCGGCGATGGACAGCACCTGCCAGGCGGGTGAGGAGGGGCGGAGCGGGAAGGTGAGGTTGTGGAACGTTAGCCACGACGAACGCATACCGGTATTCCGGCAGCAGCTCAACCCGCCCAGTGCTGAGCCCGTCTGGGCTCCTGTGTCTCACTTCATCCACAATTCCACATCAAGTCTCGCAAGTCGCAACCGCCTTGCAACAGTGTTCAAGCCCACCTTGTCGCAGTGCTCGATGGCCTGCACGAAGCAGCTCATCTTAAGCGCCGCCATGGCTGCATTGGCGTGCAGCGCCATGTTGGTTCGCTCGCTCTCCAGCCCCTCCTGGTAGCAGCGCAGCGCCTCCGAGTACTGCCGCGCCTGGTAGGCCGCGTTGCCGCGCACGCGGCAGCGCTCCGCCAGCTGCCGCCGCTCCACCATCCTGAGGAAGCCAGGCCGGCAGGCGGGGATTGCGGAGTGCAGTGGGTGGTAAGGGGTGGTCGGCAGCAGCGTTGATACGCATGGTTGAGGTAGAAAGACAGCTGACGGGAGAGGAGCTTGTGGTGGCGTAGGCCCTCTCCTGAACCCCGTTTCAACTTGCAACACCCGTTCTGGAGATAAACCGCAGACGTGCTTCAAGCAGCCCCCCTTAGCCCCATTCTTATGCCCATAGGCTCTTACTGGCGGTGTCGCTCGTCGATGTCCTTCTCCATGGCCTTGAACTGTGGGGTGTTGGGCCCGATGGAATTGATGAGGTCGTCCTCCTCGTCCTCAGGGCACCAGATATCCCACTTGGTGTAATCAGTTCCAAACTGTGTCCTCTCTTGACTTTGAACGTACTCCTCGTACCGAGCCCTTGCGCGCAGCTTGCGCTCGCGGTTTGCCATGAGCTCCTTAACTTTGGCCATAGCCTGCTCCCTGCGCTCTGCATCCGTATCCTGATCTTCCTCATCCGGCTTGCTCTGCGACGCTGGAGCCTCTGGTGCTGGTGCTGAGGCAATTGGAGCGGGCCCGCGGCCCGCGGGGCGTCTCTTCTCAACTTCAACCCGTTCTTGATCCTTCTGTTGCTTTAGCTGTAATTTTGTATCAATGTACTCCGGGCTAATTGTCCCGACCTTGAGACCCTCAATAAGCCTATTTACCTCATCCACCTTTTCAAGAAAGTCCTCGACATCTTCAGGTTCTTCTATCGCCATTTTGGGCAGTTTCGTAGAAAGCAATAAGCCTAGCTTTTAGTAAGGTGTAGTTCTTTACCAAGAGGGTCAAACTTCCAGACGCTGGCTGGTTTCGTCGTACATCCATGTTGCAAAATCAGTTAGCTGCCCAACACCCCAGCACCCCAGCCCTCCATTAATGAGCTTCGTCAGGTGCCTGCTTCGATTAATGCTATGATCTCAGTTAATTGTCTGCCTGGACGGCCCCATTCCTCATCGGCCAGACGGCCAAGGGCGACACTGGGGGCGTGTGGTGCCATAGCGGGGGCTGGATAGGCTCAACAGGGTCGCAGCCAAGTCACTGGTAACAGATCTGTACACGGACGTCCTCAATCGATGCCAAATTGATGGTGCCATGCTGTGCCATGATGCCAAAACGCCCTCCCTTAACCCACGCACTCAAACCTACCAGTCGGCCAAGCATCCGTGCTGAGTACACATGTTGACGCTGCCCACCGTCCCTCATCTCGCCCATCGCAAGAGGAGGGGCCACGCAGCCATACATTCAGCCTTGCGGTAGCCATGCATGTTGCAAGGCGGGACTAACTTGCCGTACGGTCGGCTCCATCCTGGTTTCGTCCATTCTGAGCGACAGTCAGCTGTTTGCTTTTATGAAGTGAACCGACCTACAGGCTTAGGCAGGTGCCAATCCTTTAAGTGAACGTCGCTTCTTCTGGCCTTTTACCACTAGCTCTGACAAAATGTATGGCCTGGAAATGTTGTCGTTTAACATCAAGGATGGCTTCTTAGGTATGTTAAGCACTAGCTTCAATTTTCCTGCTTTTTTGCTGGGCAGTTCAGCGAAATGAGGTCCGCCTGTGACTTGCGTTCCCGCAGAAGCAATAGTCCGTGGGCACCGGTCAGGTCTTCTCACGGTAGCCGACTACAACAACTTGGCGCAGTGCGAGACCCTTGAGGATATTAAGCTGAACTTGGTGCGTGGAGAAAGCGGCAATCGGCTGTATTCCTGTGCTCCTAAGGCCATGGTCGCAGGCAGTTTATGCATATACGTGCCCTGGCACGCAGGGCTCTACTGACTATGGGGCTTACCTGGCTAACGAGGCGTCCCCCATCTACACGGCCAACATCGTGGAGAAATGCACGCAAAAGCTGGTGAACGACTGGAACTACATGCGATCACAGGTATGGTAATCGTTATACACGAATGCAATACATGTTCGATACTCGGGCCGGGTTGAGGTATGACACGGGACTGCTTGCAGGCGGACGAGACGCTGGCCACCTTCATGGACTACTGCACCTACGGGCACATGATTGACAATGTGGTCCTGATCGTAACGGGGACGCTGCACGAGCGCGATGTGCAGGTACGGAGCTGCTTGGGGGAATGGGGTGGTGGGGACGGGTGAGCAAGGGTTCAGCGTGTGGCGCTTGCAGATCGTTGCTCCCTGACGTTGTCGGTGGCTTTGAGATTTGGAGTTATGAGATATCTAATATCATCGGCGCACTCCGCACCGCAATGCAAGCGCCATGCGCCACTACGACTCCGGGGCTGCTCATGGCTTGCGCAGCCACTACCCTTGAATCCGAAATGGAAGCAGCGGAATGGGCAGTGAAACGATGCACGGCGGGGCGTGCTTAGGTACCACTGCCTCCGTCATGTCGTTGCATAGGGTCGCGTCCTCAGGGAAGGCAGGCGTCCAAGAGTGGCACTCCGCCTGCAGCTTTCAGGCCCGGTGACGGGGGCAACAGAACCTCAAAGAGGCCCACGATCCACACGATCCTGTCAAGTGTCCAGCAGCAGGAGCGATCCAAGCCCGTACGCCGGCCCATTGCTTGTATCGTCCGTGCACCCCTTTTCCTCAATACCCATGCCTTCCCGCGCCCTGCCACCGCTGTCCCCACGCTCTCGCCACCCCAAGCCCCATGCTCCACCCCTTCCCCTTCTCACCTCCCTCCCTCCCCAGCTTGTCGTCTGGTTTGCATTCCCACTCAACGCACTGGAAATTCTTGTTTTCCCTTCCCCCTCCAGGAGCTGCTGGACAAGTGCCACCCGCTCGGCATGTTCGACTCCATCGCCACGCTGGCGGTGGCCCAGAACATGCGCGAGCTGTACCGGCTGGTGCTGGTGGACACGCCGCTGGCGCCCTACTTCAGCGAGAACCTCACGCACGAGGACCTGGACGAGATGAACATCGAGATCATGCGCAACACGCTGTACAAGGCCTACCTGGATGACTTTGCGGCCTTCTGCCAGAAGCTGGGCGGCGCCACGGCGGAGATCATGGGCGACATGCTAGCGTTCGAGGTGCGGCTGGAGTGGGATGGGACGTGAAGGCCAAACTGCCGTGGGCTTGTTTGATGCGGTATGCTGATGTCGCATGGGGCTTCAGGATGCACAACGGCGCCGATAGCTTCCTGGGTACTTGCCCTGGCAACCCTTCAAGACTGTTGCACGGGCACGGCATCCTGGCTCATTCCACATCCCCTCCCCGACATGAGTCGGGATTCGTGATTGGGACTGCATTGTTGCACTTATCTATCATTTCCCCTACACGCCCTCCCCTGCATTCCCGCAGACCGACCGCCGCGCGCTGAACATCACGCTCAACTCCATCGGCACGGAGCTGACCCGCGAGGACCGCAAGAAGCTCTACTCCAACTTTGGTCTGCTGTACCCGCACGGCCACAACGAGCTGGCCATGGCGGAGGACTTTGACCAGATCCGCTCCGCCATGGAGAAGGTGCCCGCGTACGCCAGCATCTTCAGCAAGGTGGGGAGAAGGCATACGGGGTCATGGACGCGGAATGGCGCTGGGCAGGGGCAAGGGGGTCGAAGGATGTCAGTGGGACGCAGGGTTGCTGTGAAGAGAAGTGTTTGAATGCAACACGAGCACGCCATTCCTTTGCGACAATGGACCACACTTGTAACCTGCCTCTCGTCTGGACGACCTGACGAAACCGCAACCCTTCCTTCCTGTCTTCCACTCGCGTTGGCTGCAGCTGGGCTACGGCGAGAGCCAGATGCTGGACAAGCTGCTGTACGAGGAGGAGGTCAAGAAGTGCGTGGACTGCTACGAGCAGCAGTTCCACTACGCCGTCTTCTACGCCTACATGAAGCTGCGCGAGCAGGAGATCCGCAACATCATGTGGGTCAGCGAGTGCGTGGCGCAAGACCAGAAGGGGCGCATTTCGGACGGCATTGTGTACCTGTTCTAAACAGAGAAGAGAAGCGGTTTAGGAGCGGATGTACGAGGGCAGGTTGTGGCGGGCGAGTGGTTACGTCGTGTCGGGCCGAGGAGGGTGAATGAGGTTGCGGCGGTGCATTGCTTCATGACCCAGGCCGGTTGAGTGCCGTACTAAGTTGTGGAGGTGTACTGGGGTTGGTATGGAGCTAAGAGGTTTCTGGGGCTGCGTGGCTGGGGAGGGTTGGGGGTCGGGCGTGGGGGCGCACGATGACAGGTTAGTGGGTGTGTGTGTTCCTGATCGAGAAGTGGGCGTACATGGGGAATGCGGCAGCCCCAAGACGGATGCTACGGCTTTTTGCGGTGTTTTCGGTCATTCCTTGGGAACTAAATGACGTTTAGGTAGGAGTGCCGCTTTAGGTTTGTGTTAGGGTTAGCTGAGGAGTTTTCGGACTGCATGGGGAATCTGATGAGAAGGGTTTAGAGGGTAGGTAACTCGTGTGTCGGACTGCTTAGATAAGACATGTTCATAACACTTTGGCGTACGGCTGGCCTTCTTTGGCATGCCCAGTGCTTGCATGCATGCCGCGTACTGATTGATGCCTGTAATTGAACTACTGTTTTGGCGTGCCAGATACTACAGATACGGCGTGCCGTTAATCAGCGTGACGGCCTGAAGTCCCATGTCGCCCCCACAAGAATTACGACGCTACAGCGTACGCATTGCCCTGATGGATCTTACTCCTGAGTCCTGAGTCCACTAGGCGCTCTTGACGACAAAGATCGGCACAGTACGGCAGCAGCCGCGCATAGCACGCTTGCCATGCAAACAGAAATATGCTTGCGGCTGTCGCAAAATTACAAGGGCATCCTGCGCTAAATGTTTTCTTATTTTGCACTCAACATTGACAACACTAGCAATGCATGGCCATTTCACGCGAGCTGTGCACAGCTGCACACCGTATGAAAAAGTGTGGGAGACCGTGACCGCCCTTCTCTGAAATCGTGTACAGTTACATAATTAAGAATAATTTTGACTGCAGAACATGCTTGACCTCCTGCTTAAATTTTGCTGCACGTTTGCATCAGGCATCCGTTAGACGTAGGAGTCCCCGCCCGCATGAGTGGCACAGGGAAAATGCTGAAACGGAAAAGGACACTTTCAACGGATTCTGCGCGCGCGGGGAAAGCCATCCTCGCGGATGGCTTGGCGGGGAAGCAAGCAGCTGTCATACTGGTCGACCGATCCGTTCGCGCCAACGAGACCCGTAGGACCTTAGCCCAGCAGTGCGCCGGAAAGGATGGCACCTTCATCGTTCTTCCGGTGAGCGCCACGCAATCAACAAACCACCTCGCAAAAGCGTTGTTCCGCACACTCCCCTTCCTACCACTCCGGCCTTCACCCTCTACCCGCCAGGACCGATGCCCAGAGCAATGCTCGCAGCCCAGGGTCACCCACCTGGTGCTGGGCTCGGCCTTGCTTGCAAGCGATGAGGCCCGACGCTCCGCCCGCCAGCGCCTGGCGCCCTGCCTGGCCCGCTGGCCCGCTGCGGTGCTGCTAGACGAGGCCTGGCTCACGCAGCTAACGTCCGCCCGCCGGTTGCCGCCCACCGCGGGCTTCGAGGCCTGCCTGGAGCCCTGCCAGCAGGGTGAGGGCCTGAAGGGGAGGGTCGGGAGTGGAGAAGCAGAGGAGCGGGAAGGGAAGGAAGGGCAAGTGCTCCTTTTCCCGTCTATTCATCATACTGCGCTCAGGTGGCACTGGTGTGTGCTGGCTTGCCATGCTGCGCTGCCGCAGTCCCTGGCTTCACGACCACCGCTGCCGCTGCCCCCACTGCCGCCGCGCTGCTGCCGCTGCCGCGAGTGGGTCGCTACGAGCGGTGGCTGGGGTGGTGGGAGGCGCGGCTTGACGACATGGACGAGGTGGGGGTGCTGCTGCAGGTGCGTGTGTGGCGGGGCTTGGTCTCGGGCGGGTTGCGGGGGAAGCCTGGTGGGTACCGTACTCCCGCATGGGGTTCTCGGGGCGGGGCCCCGTGACGCTTCACGCTATCACGCACCATGAGACATGTGCCTTCGTCATCACCCGGGACCCTGTGTGCCAAGCATCCGCTCGAACGGTTGGATGTTCACGCTCCCAGATGTCACGGTCGCCGCTGCTGCTGCTGCTCCCTCTCTCGCCCTCTCCTCTCCTCCTCCCTCCTCCGCTGCTCAGGCCACCTTCAGCGACGCCCGCTGCGCGCGTGTGGGCAACAGCTCGCTGGTGGGCGGGCTGCGGGAGCTGAAGCTGTATGAGATGGCGCTGCGGGAGCGGGAGGACGCGGTGGGCACTCGGGTGAGAAGGGCGGGGAGGAGGAAGAAACGAACTAAGGAAGGGAGAGGGAGCCCGGATGCTGGGCTGAGGTGAGGGTGCAGGGAGCCCGGATTCGGGGATTCGGGGGCGATTTGCTTACCGGTACCACTTCTTCGCCTCCCTTCCCCAATCCGCTCCGTCCCCAGGCTCTGGCCTACGCCCGCGCCGCCGCCTCCGTGCAGGCCTGCTCCTTCCGCATCACGGGCGCCATGAGTGAGGCATTCCTGGCGCACCACCTGCCCTTCGTCAGCCGCAGCTGCGCGGCGGTGGTACGGCAGCTGGCGCTCAGCCTGGAGGGAGGCGGCGGTGGTGGCGGTGGCAATGGACACAGCGGGCAGGGGCAGGGCGGGTACGGCGCCAGCGGTGGGGCTGAGGGCAGGGCTAGTGGTACAGATGGAGGGCCGCTGGGGCCTGGTGGCTTGGATGGCGGTGATGATAGTAGCAACGTCATTGGCGGGAACGAAGGCGGCGATACGGCCGCTGGAATCGTTGCCACGTGTGAGCGGTTGGAGCTGTTCAGGCGGGACCTGCTGGTGCGGGACGGGGAGGGGGCGCTGCGGCCGGGCAGTGCGGGGGCAGCGTCGCGGCGGCGGATGTGCAAGCTGCCGGGGGTGGGGCCCAGCACCGCCAAGAGGTGAGACAGGTGGAAGGATGGAAAGAACCTGTGGGGTCCGAGGTCCAGCAGCACATGGTACGGTACTTTGCTGGACATCACACTGGTAAACAACCCGCCTGCCTTGCCCCCTACCGGTATCTTAGCTGCCGGCCTTCTGCTGTCCTCCAATCTGGCTGCATGTAACGGCTATACCCTCGCCTGCCTTCCCCTTCCTTCCCCCAGCTGGTACGACCAGGGCTGTCGCAGCCTGGCTGACGTGGCAGCCCGGCAGGCGGCCGGCCAGCTGCAGCCGCCCCCGCCCGCACCGCTAGCCTGGGCGCTGCAGCACGCAGCCGACCTCACCGCGGACGTCACGCCGGGCGAGCTGCAGGAGATGCGGGCCGCGGTGTTGGCGGCGCTGCAGCAGGAGCCGCCTGCAGCTGCAGGCAGGGAGGAGGCGGTGGAGACGGGGGCTGCGGGGGCGGTGGAGGAGGAAGGGCGGCGGCCGGTGGGAGGGGCCGAGGCACTGGCGCCGGAGCAGTGGTTGGTGACGGTTGTGGGCGGCGGGCGGCGGGGTCGCGCCTCGCATGATGTGGACCTGCTGGTGTCGCACCCGGGGCTGGGGGAGGCGGGGCAGGTGGGGCCGCACTTCGAGGCGTGCGTGCAGAGGATGATGGCGGCGGGTGAGCGAGCGGGGTTAATTTGGAAACAGAATCCGCATTACGCTGGATAGTTGGGATAGCAAATAATTGTAGTTGTTGTATAGTTAGTAGCATCAATCAATAACAAACCGTATTGTAAGCTCCGTGGCGGCTGGGGTGATCTGGGATCACGCTGCATTGGCGAATAAAAGGCGGCTGCTCCTGTGATACCCGGCGCCACTGCGCTAGACCTGCGCGAGCGGGGTGGGGGGCCGGGCTGAGGGAGGAGGGCAAGGGTAGGGAAGGGGGTCGACGGGATCATGGTATTGCGGAGGCGGTTACTAGTGCACTGATACAGATCTGGCTCTCCCCTTCCCCTCAAAGCTCGTTAGAACGCCATCCTGTTGCTCGCGCCCCAGCCCCCACCTCCCTTCCCCCTCCCTTAGGCCGGCTGCTGCCTCGTGAGGGCAACTGCAGCCGCATCTCGGTGGGCGGCCACACGGGGCACCGGCGGCGGGTGCTGCGGCAGCTGGCGGGGCTGCAGGAGCGGGAGGAGGGAGGCAGGGTGGCGGACGGGTGGGGGTGGGGCAGCGGGGGGGTCTGCGGGGGGGCAGGGGGTGTAGGGGTGCACGGAGCCGGAGCCGGGACGTGTCTTAGGAGCGGTGCTGGGGTGCGATGCATGTTCTTCACACTGGTTTACTGCTACTGCGTCCAGCCGGGTATCCGCACCTTCCTTTCCATACATGGCCATGCTTGTCTGCAAGCCCCCCGTCTACCTACTTACGGCGCCTTCCCGGCCCCGCCCCCGCTATGTATGCAGGTTGGACCACATCTTTGGCGTGTTCCGCACCCACGCCGGGCGGCTGAAGCGGCTGGACGTCATCTTCTGCTGCTGGCCCGCCCTGCCGCACGCGCTGCTGGGCTGGACCGGCTCCTCGCAGTTCCTGCGCTTCCTCTACCACCACGCGGCGTCACGGGGCTTCCGACTCACCAATCACGCACTCTACCGGCTGGACAGTAAGTCTGCGGCTTTGTAAATAACTGAGGAAGAGGGGAGTTCGCCATGGCTTGCGAGTTATCATCGCGCGTTGCTTTCCTCCTCTCCTATCAGCCTGATGGTGGAATGCCCAACCGTATACACATCACCGGTAACCCCACCACCTGCTCCGAATCCTCTTCCTTCCTTGCTCCACACTTCTTCCCACCCTTCTGCAGCCTGCCAACCGGTGTACGGCATCACGGACGAGGCGGGCATATTCGCAGCGCTGGGGCTGCCGTACCGGGAGCCGCAGGACCGGCAGTGCCCGTGAGGGAGCCCGCTCAGGTGCATATGTGCAGTCGCCACTTGGCGAAGGCGGCAGTACTGCTGATTCCCTGCCTGGGCGTGGGCCTGGTGGCGTGTGCGGGGTGAGGAGGGCGACGGCTTGCCCAGTTCTAGGCACGGCTTGAAAAAGAGAGTGGGCGTAGCCGTAGCCTGGTACGGCGGTTGGCATGGGAGGAAGGGGTTGTGCATGGCGGTGAAAGGCATTACTATCCAGGTTATCACCGATGCTCTGGGGCTGTTTGCATGGGGTCATCATGGTCGTGAGCCGCAAGGAATCGTGCCCGGTACAATGTGAGGGTTAAGTGGTTAATATAGCTGCTAGTGAGATTACTTCTATGTGCGCTTATGGTATTGCGGGATAATTTGTTCCCGCCCGCCCTCACGGAGTGGAGGGATCTTGCCGGGCAACTGCCAACCGCCCGTGAATGCCTCGCTGTAAATCGTCGCAGGGATTAAGTTTGTTTGCTGGACGACCTCTGTGCTAAGCATCTTGACAATTACAGGTTGACAGCAAAACGTCGCAAGCCTCGCTGCGCTTGCATTTCCTTGGGCAACATTATCCTTGCTTTTTGACAATGCTGCAAATGGAGCTGCTGCCACGGCCACAGCATCCTCATATTAGAAGTATACACGCACGATATGCATCAAATCCTAATATTGGAGCGCGCTTGCGGGTAATACCAAGCGCGACTAAAACAGCGACTAAGACAGCGACTCGCAAGTTATCCGTCCTTGAGGTAACCCTACCGTCTAACGTGCCGTAAGCGCTCTGTTATGTAATCTCTATTCTTCCCTTCGCGCCTATGTGGGGCATCTAAGACAGTATGCCAAGTGTATGGTGCGCATGACCTGGGCCACGCAAATGAGCGCAGGCGCTGGAGCTTTTGCAGTTACTGCTAACTGCAAAAGCTCAACCCTACATAACAGTTTCTACATTGCTTTCCTATAGACATCACTTTGGAGGGTCGACGGGTGTTGTGAACTTCTGCCACCGGCATCCCTTCCACAAAAAAAAACACCTCCAATCTCTCCCAACCGCAGCGCCAACAGGCCGAGCAGGCCGTCCTCGCCGCCCTGCGCGGTGCCCGGGGTCGCGGCAGGGAGGGTCTGGACGCGGAGCAGCTGCGACAACTGCAAGACGCTGTAGCCGCCCTGGAAGCGGATGGTGGTGAGCCCGACCCCACCACTCGGGCCTGCCTGGACGGTCGCTGGCGGTTGCTGTACACGTCGCGCCCCGGCTCCGCCTCGCCCATCCAGCGCAGCTTCACGGGGGTTGAGGCGTTCGGGATATACCAGGAGGTGCTGGGGCTAGCTGGGGCGGCAAGGCGGGGGGAGGCGGCGGAGGGCGAGGAGGAGGGGCCGCGAGTAAACAACGTAGTGGAGTTTGGAGCGCTGGGCTTCCTGAAGGTGCGGCAGGGAGAGGAGGGGAGGGCCGGTTACTTGGGCTGGGTGGTCGTGTGGTCGCTTCTAGCCGTACGAGCAGTGGGATACCGTAGTCGCTTCTCGTCCCACCCTTACGCCTCTACCCGTACAACAACGCATGCCACATGTGCCTCTTCACTGCTAAGGCACTGCTCTCCTCTTTTTTCAGGCAACGTACTCTGCCTCCTCCGCTCTCCAGCAGCAACCCCAGACCCCTTGCTGGTCCTGCCCCCCTCTCCCTCCTCTCACCCCACCCCGCCCCCCCATGTGGCTTCCTATGGTTCGGTATGGTCTTTGACCCCCCCACTCCCCAGGTGGAGGCGCAGGCCAGCACGGAGACGCGCCCGCTGCCCGGCTTCACCCCGCGGCAGGGCGAGGGTCTGCCCCTGTTCGGCCGCTCGCTGAGCTACCCGCCCGCCCGCCCCAACACCCGCATCGACTTCCAGTTCGATCGCGCCGCCTTCACCTTCCGCTTCCTGCCCTTCAAGCTGCCCTACCCGGTGCCATTCAGGCTGCTAGGGGACGAGCGCAAGGTGCGGGGGGGGGGCAGGGGCGGGCTGGCAGGGACCCGCGGGTTCCGCACTCAGAGCTGCTCCTACCCCACTGTTCAAGTATTGCTTCTCGATTCGCCGTTACGGCGGGTACCTGCCCGACTGCGCCCCCTACCTCCCTCCCCCCCCCTCCCCGTGTGCATGCATGCATGCGTGCAGGGTTGGCTTGACGTGACGTACCTTAACAGCGACGGTACCTTCCGACTCAGTCGGGGCAACAAGGGCACGCTGTTTGTGCTGGCCAAGGTTAGCGCGGCAGGGGGTGTGTGGTGTGATGGTGTGATGGGGGCACCGGCATGAGGGAAAGGCTGGAAGAGGGAAGCAGTGAAAGAGGGGGGTAGAGCCGAGGCGGGGCGAGGAGAGCCCGGGTGAAAGCCGCACCGTGCCGACGTTGGTTGTGCAGTGAGGGTGCTTGGGTGATGGGCAGCAGCGCCCCCTAAACATCGCCGGGCGTCCTCTCCCCTCCTTTCCCTCCCCCACTCGTCAGTTTCCTTATTGCTATCCCCCACTTTTCATTCAATTTCCCCGCTGCCAGGATGTGCCCATCAAGCAGCGCCTGATGGAGGCCATTGGACGGGGGGACGATGAAATGGTGCGCAGGGGGCTGTGGTGGGGTGCGGGGTGCGGGGTGCGGTGGTTGCTGGTTGGTTGGTTCTGGTTCTACCCTGGCAGCCAGGCGGGGTCGAGGGAAAGCGCCCAGAGCAGGTGCCTTGCAGGGCAGTCCCAAACACCCTTCCTCATTAACCTTCCTTTCCTTCCTCCTCCCCCCCTTCCTCCCCCCTCCTTCCCGCCCCCCCCCCTCGTCCCAGGTCACCGCACTCGCCCAGCTGCTCTCCTCCGACAGCCCCACCCCCGCCCCCGCCCGCAGCCCCCTGGCATCCGGCTCTTGGCGGCTGCTGTGGTCGCAGCAGGCGCCCGGCGCCTCGCCGCTGCAGCGCTGGGGGTCGCGCCAGCCCAACAGCTTCCAGTTGGTGGACGGGGCGGCGGGCCGGGCAGCCAACCTGGTGCGGCTGAGCAGCTGGGCGAGTGTGCGGGCGGAGGCGAGGGTGGAGGCGGCGGGGGACAGCCGGACGAATGTGGATATCGAGGAAGCAGGGGTGAGTTAAGGGGCGGGGAGGGTGGGAACTGGGGAAGGGAGTGAGGGGAGGGAATGCGGGCTTAGGGTTAAGGGTTGGGCACTGCGGAGGTATGAAAGTGGGATGTGGGGTAATGATGTTGTGTGCCGCTTGGCTGTCCTGCAGTTGTACCTGGGCCCGCTCCGCGTGCCCTTGCCGGCTGGTGGGCGCAAGGGCGATCCTCCTGGTTTCATCGACTGGTTGTACCTGGACGAGGATCTGCGCATAACGCGTGGCTCCAAAGGAAGCCTTTTCATCCATCGCAAAGAAGAGTAACTTTTCGCAATGTGGCTAGGCGTGGTACGGGAGTGTCGTGTACGTCGGGATTCTCTCGTTGTGGTCAGACAACCGGCGTTGATTGGACACAGACTCCTTCCGACTGCGCTTTGGTCTGGCAGATTACAGTAAGGATCCCATTTCTGGTTTTATAGTGCACAATCCAACATCAATGCCGAGCGAAGGCTAGGTTGCTTGGTTAGCGTGTCCGAACTTTCCTAACCAATTACTTGTCTTTGCATAGCGGATCTTAATGCCGATTCTAGGGTCCAGGAGCCGGCGATATCATGCTGTTTTCGGGTAGCCGGCAGCGCCTGTAACAAGCAATACAAAGCCTGGACCCTATACATGAGGCTTTATAGGAAATCATGGGAGGATGCTTGTCAAGCGAGTCGAAGGAGCAGCGCCCACGCGTAGAGTCTCACCCAGCGGTGCCGTTGGACTCACAGCAACCAGGAACTGGAAAAGCAACCCAAGCAAGCCAGCAGCAATCTGGACAAAGTGGTGCTGCTTCCGAGTCTGCTGTCGCCTTGCCAGCGCATAGCAACGGCAATGGACGGTTGTTGTCGGAATCGGCGGGCGAGGTAGCTCCTTCGACAGCAGCAGAGCCATCTGGACCTTTTCATTCACCGGAAAAGCCTGCACCCAAGGCTGGTGAAGGGAACCTTCAGGGTGCTGGAAGCCAAGGAGAGGATGCCGTCGTGCAAACTTTAGCAGCCGGTGGCACACTTCTCTCACCGCCTACTGGGCCCCGCGATACGGATACACTTCGTGGCAACTCAACTGGCATAATTCAGCCTATCAACAGTTCAGAAGCCAGCAGCTTTCAGAACCCTGATGGAGGCTCCCCCTCGGGCGTGCAGTCATCTGGCTTCCAATGTATGCCCCCGGACGTGTTGGCTAAAGAGGTCGCGCAGCTCTCATGGGTTGGACACGGAGGTGAGTGCAATATTAATTCCAGTGGCGGGGGGGGTAACTTTCAGGGCTTGCTTACCATAGCAGGTGGGGAAGTTGGGGGTCTTCCTCACCTTTCTCCTCACCGTTGCTTCAACAAACTAGGACAAAATGCACCCAAAGCACCGCCCTCCCCTCCCTCCCTCCCTCCTCTCTTATCATACCACACTTTGGAATTTCTTTTTTCCCCTCCCTTGCCCCTCTGCCCTCCCTTCCCGCTCCCATCCAGGCTACGGCGCTGTGTACAAGGGCGTATGGCAGGGCGCCAACGTGGCGGTCAAGTTCACGGTGGCGGACTACATGGACTTCGCGGGCGCCTCGGCGCACGAGGCGGTGCTGTCCAAGATGCTGTCGCACCCCAATGTGGTGCAGGTGGGGACGAGGGGAATGGGCGGGGGGGAGGAGGAAGGGTTGGAGGAGGAAGGGTTGGAGGAGGAAGGGATAAGAGCGGGCGTGCGTAGGCAGTTAGGGGTGAGTAAACGGGGGCCGTGCAACACAGACTATCGGTGACGCTGCGTCCTCTTCTTCCAATTTTTCTTCCAAGTAATTCTATGTGTAATGTCCTCCTCCTTCCCCTCCTCCTTCCCCTCCTCCGGGCCCTCCTCCTCCTCCGCTCCCTCCTTCAGACCTTCGCCAGCCGCGTGTCGCTGCTGGACGAGGAGTTCCTGCGCTCCGTGTTCGACGGGGAGACCACCTTCCCCTCGCGCGAGCTGCCCGTGGACAGCTTCCGGTCGGGGGAGGGGTTCGGCTCACCGTACGGCATCAACACCAGCATGCGCTTCCGGGACGTGTTGACGCACATCGGGGCGCGGCCGGGGCACTACATCACACAGATGATCATGGAGGTGGGTGGTGGTGGGGGGGTTGGAAGCGGGCGTTTTGGGGACAAGCGGCTAAGGAGAGCCAACAACACAGCTACCGGGGTCTTTAACGTACATTGACGGGGCCATTGATGCAAGGAGATTGCCTAAAATGAACCCTAAAATGAGCCACGTAGAGCCCCATGTAACCCAGACTCTCCTCCCGTTTCCATCCCTTCACTCCCTCCATCCTTTCCTTCTTCTCCCCCCGCCTCCCCCTCCTCCCCCAGTACTGCGACCGCGGCTCGCTGCACCAGGCCATCGCCAAGGGGCTGTTCAAGAGCAGCTCCAAGTGGAACAACAAGATCGCGCTGCGGGCGCTGCTGCGCACGGCGCGCGAGATCGCGCAGGGCATGAGCCACCTGCACGCGTGCCGGGTGGTTCACGGCGACCTGAAGCCGGGCAACGTGCTGCTCATGAGCAGCCGCGCGGACAGGAGGGGATTCACGGCCAAGGTGAGGAGAGGGGGAGCGGCGGGGGATACCGGTAGCAGAGGTATGGATACGAAAGTCAAGGATATTTGTTGACCAGCCAGCTGCGGGTGGTAGTCACGCTTCCTGGCCCGCCTTTCCTCGCCCAGCAAGTGCCCCGTGGGCATCCCGAAGCCTCACCCCGAACCCCCCGCCCCCGCCCCTGCTGCCCCCCTCCCCCCCGTTGCTGCACTTATCATTTATTTTTCCCCTCCTCCCCCCAGGTTTCCGATTTCGGCCTGTCCACCTACTGCATGGCCTCCCACACCAGCGTCACCCGCTGGAGCACCGTCAGCTACATGGCGCCCGAGGCGTTCGAGGGGCACCTCACCATGGGCTCAGACACATTCAGCTTCGGGGTGCTGCTGTGGGAGATGTACACAGGTGCGGGGCGGGGCGGGGGGCGGCAGCCGGGGAGGAGGGAGCAGCTCTAAAGTGACGCATCCGGGGCGGGCACAAGGGGCCTCATTAAGCCTTTCCTTCAACACCGCTGTCCTGACCTCCCGCTTCTGCCTCCTCTTTCTCTGCCCGCAACAGGCCAGCAGCCGTACGCGGGTCTGCAGGCCGCCCAGATCGTGATGGGCGTGCAGGCGGGGCAGCTTACCCTGGAGTGGCCGCCCGACAGCGACCCGCGCATCGTGGACCTGGTGGAGGGCTGCATCCAGCGCAACCCCGCGGCGCGCCCCTCCTTCAACCAGCTCATCAACCAGCTCACCTCGCTGGAGGCGCACATACGGCTGGAGGCGGCGCCCTCGGACGGAGCCAGCGAGCACAGGATGCCGCTGCTGGGGACGGTGGGGTCGGGCGGGAACATGCAGCAGCAGGCGCATGCGGTGCTGCCGCCTGCGGCGGCAGCAGCAGCAGACGGCGCTGACACGCTGTCGGGGCCGGTGGCGCCGGAACCGGCATTGGCTATGCTGACCCCGCCGCTGCTGCCGCCGGAGGAGGAGGCCAGGCTGGCAGCCGCGCATGCGGCGGCAGCGGCTCAGGAGCCGGCAATGGTGATGCTGACCCCACCGCTGCTGCCGCCCGAGGAGGAGGCGGCGATTGCAGCGGCGGCGGCGCATGCGGCGGCGGCGGCAGCGGCCCAGGAGCCCGTGATGATGATGTTAACGCCGCCGCCGCTGCCGCCGGAGGAGGAGGCGGAGGTGATGCGGGCGGCGGCGGCTCGTGCTGCGGCGCCGGAGGACGTCCGATTGGCAGTGTGAGGCGCGCACCCGGGGCGTGTGGTCCCCTGGGGAGCTGAGGCTCGCCAGGCCGGAGGAGGGCACATGGAGGGGGTGAGGAGGCATGTAAGGCATGGAGACGGTAACGCTAAGGGCAAACGTGCTGTGCACTTGGCGCAATCTACAGGTCGGTATCTGGGGCTGTTGGCCTCTTGTCAGGCCTTCGCAGTTCAACGAGGGGTTCTACCGCATGTGCTGGGAGAGAGCGAGTGAGGAGTTGCTGTGAGCAGCGGCGCAGGTTGGCTGGTACCACAAAAGGGCGCGCGAGACCTAATAGGTGCAACACACGCGGTATTGTAGCTAGGAGTGCATTTCATGGAGGGGTGTCGTACCGCATGAAGGATGTCGTACCGGTGCCATGATGACGACGTGGCACTCGACAGGGCGTTTGGATGGTGGATTGCCTTTATAATACATACCGATGGGCTGCTATTGTCAATTGCTGAAGAACGATTGAGGTGTTGCCCGGCAAAGAACGTGAGGAGTACAGTCGATGTGTGGATGAAGTCATGCAAGCAAGCAAAGAGCCAACACGGTACATACGCGGACTTGAGCCGTCAGGATTTGCGGCGGTGTCTGGGCGGAGGAGCCCCGCATGACCCCTGATGGCGGAATGAGGAAGAGAAAGCACAAAGCTGAAACAATGACCAGACAAAAGAGAAGATGCGTTTATGATGACGGGTAGGGCAAGAGGATGTACTGGCAAATGTTGGTAATTGCCGACGATGTTCATCTTACTGCCGAGCGGGACATGCGGCTCGGCCCTGACTGTGGCGCGGCATGGAGGTTTCCGTAGTTTCTCCCTCCGCCTGTCGCGGCATGCTTGGGGTGCGGCGGGAGGTGCAAGCGCCCAGGTACCGCTAGCGGGCCACAACGTAGCTCGGCATGAGCGCATGACACAACACACTGGCCCTCACAGTCTATCTTTGTACTATGGCGGGTTTCATAGGATGCTAGGATTGAAGGATGGTGGTTTATGGCTGGTTGCAGAACAGTCGAGTGCCCGAGGCGGTGTGTGATGGGACGTGGTGAGGCGCGGGCTCCCCTCCGCGCTTGCTGGGCACGACGTCAATTCTTTCTTCGCCATGCGCCCACCCGCCTGGCACGGCCTTCTACGTGCCAAGCGGCAGTGCCACTGGTGCCACCGCCGGCTTTTTTTTCACATAAGAGACTTGTTATAGAGACTTAATAGAGCGCGTGCCGGGTTGCCATGAACGTTGCTAATACGTGTTGTTGTCAGCTTACTGAAGTACCGGTCCCACAGCCGCGGTGGTGTAGCGTGTGTGTAGGGTTTGACAAGGAAGTAGTACGGCCTGCGGGGCAGCATCTCGCGTACGGCTAACGCATGCCGGGGTTACTGTGGGTGGGGTCACGTCGTGCGTGTCTGGTATGCTCGGAGAAGAGCCCGCGTGCATCTATGCGGCGGCGCCTGAAAGCGTGCCTAGAAGGTAGAGCCGTGGGATCCCTGAGGCTTAGGACGTGGCTTTCTTACACGTAAAGCACAAGGGAGCTGCATTCTGCCTCCCTCTTAGGCCTGCCATAGGTACATGCCGATGACGCAGCAGAGACCCGTGGGTCGTGCTTTCTTATGTCTGTGTAGATGTGTTCTGAAGCTCGCGCGCAGTGCCATCTCGCCATTCTTAAGGTCTCCGCTCACACCACTGTCACCGCAGCCGTCAGGACAGACTCTTGGCTACTGACGGTGATTACGGCACCCAGTTGTCACCCACTGCCACTGAATACCGCTACTACCGCTGCTGCTGTTGGTTAGGAGCACCTCACGGCTCGCTACGGAGGCTCTGCTGCTGCTATTGGATGAAAAGAATCAATCATTCAACCACTGGGGTGTGTGCTGGTGTCCCCTGTCCCCTCCCTGGCCGGTCGGCACCCTCCACAGCCGGCCATCAGTCCTCCAGGTGCAGCTTGCTCACCTCATCGTACTCAGCCTGTGTGGAGGGAGGGTGAGGGATGAGGGACAGGGAAGCAAGGTGTGGGAAGAGGGACCAAGCAGCATCCGCCCGCACCACTTCACCGGTACCGGTAGAAGCCCCGAATGCCTTACATCAGCTTCCCAGCCATGGAAGGAACGCTGCGGACATTCTCAAACCTCCTCTCACCCTGCGTCAAGTACTGCTACATAGGCACGCGGAGTCCCTCCACAGGACAGCCCGCCCCCGCCTGGCCCCTAGCCAGGACAGCCCGCCCCCGCCCCCACCAGCCCGCTCTCACCTGTAGCTGCGACATCTTGAGCCCCATGCTGCGCACCACCCGGGCCCGCTCCGCCTCGGGCAGCGCCGCCAGCAGCGCCTCCCAGCGGCCCAGACACGCCTCCACCGCCCGCCGCGCCTCCTGCACGCTGTCGTTGAAGTACACCGTCTCCGCGTCCTCCTGGGCGATCTCAATCTCGTCGCGGGCGGCCGCGAAGAGCTCGTTCACCGCGTCCACCTGGGGCGGAGGCGGGCAGTGGGGAGTTGCATGGGGGCGGCAGGGAGCAGATGGAAGGAAGGGTGGAGGACCGCGTTCGGAAGGAAGAGGCATGTGGGCAGGCTGGCCTGAAAGGCGCACGTCAGTTGGGCTTTTCCGGGGGAGTAACCGACCTCCTTGGCTACATCGATGGTGCTAGAGAAGGCCCGCCCTGCTTGCCGCAACGCCCATGTCCTTGCAAGTGCTGCCTCGTGCCCCAATTCGAGCCCACGAGGCCCCGTAACAACTGCTATCGTGCATGCCAACTGAGGAATAGACGCCACATGTTTGCATTGGTGCGCTAATCTGCAAGCGGTAGCCACAGCGCGACGCATATTGATAATACTGTAGTTGGTTAGCTTTAGTAGCAAGTATCCAGGTATGCGGACTTGCTATTCCTGATTTACTCGTCTTCTAAGAACTGCAATGACGACAGGAAAGGGTTGGAACGCCGCGAACGCGTGAGGGCTAGGCCGTACGGTAACTGTCACATGCTAGGCGGCAAAGGCAGCGTTTCGCTCTGAAGGCATTGGCAGCAATGCATTTGTGAAAGTACTCGTTACACTCAACTACTGTGCAATTAGCCATGGTTCTCGGCAAACGTACTGACTATGGCGATGCAAAGTACGCTGGCGTGCAAGTGCCTTTCACCGACAACGTTCCTGCGACTGTAGACGTAAGCTAACAATCATCCACAAAAGCCCGCACCACTGATCTAGCTTTCCCAGTCGACTGATCAGCCGCCATCCCTGCCATTTCTGGCCTTGCGTTCGGTTTTGCAGGCGTATGGCCTCTGCGGCTTTGACTTTGTGGTCGCGCCGCTGGTGCGCGACACCTGGCGGCCCCCGGCGCCCGCGGTCCCCGAGAACGGTGCGCTCCCGTCGCCCTTCAACCGCGACGACTGCCTCTACATCAACTCCTCGCAGTGGGCTAACCAGGTGCGCCGCCCCCTTCCCCACACTCTCCCCAACCCGACCCCCCCCCCACACACACACACGCACGCGCGACACACGCGCTTAACCCCGCCTGGGCTAGGCTATTGCCCAGGCCAATCATGACTAAGCCAACTGCATGCACGCGGCCCCCGCGCAGGTAGTCGGCCACGTCAGCAGCTGGATCCAGCCCGACTCCCCCGATCCCGCCGTACGGCAGCAGAGCGTGTCGGCGCTCCGTCACCAGCTGGGCTGGGCGGCGCACCTGGGTCTGCAGGCGGTGCTGCTGCCGGCCCCGCACCGCCCCGCCGCCTGCCCGCACTACGCGCAGGTGCTGCACGGGGCGCTGCAGGGGCTCAGCCACATGGCGCTGTGGCTCACGGTGCCGCTGGTGATCCCGGCAGCAGAGGAAGGGGCAGCAGCAGGGGCAGGGGCAGCAGCGGACGGGGGGCAGCAGGGGCGGGGAGAGCAGGCGGAGTCGCCGGCGGGTCCGGGCGCGCTGGACGGGTGGGAGGCGTGGCATCAGGTGAACAGCGGGGGCGGGGGGCTGGGGGGGCAAAAGGGGAGGAGGGGGAGCTCACAGCGCACCGCACCGCAGTAGTGGGACCCCCATGCGAGTGCGGTTGGCCGACATGCTGCCTGCATCACAAGGGCGGGGAGGTTAGGCTAGGTTAGGTGGCAAAGTGTCAGGGTCCCCCACCCCTCTTGCCTCTGCTTTCTATTACCCCCTCCCCTTCTCTCCCATGTATTCCTATTAATCCCTTCCCTCCCCCTTCAGATCCGCGCCCAGTGCGACCACCACAACCTGCTGGGTGCTGCGCTGCTGCTGGGCCCCGCCCTGCCCTCGCCCGCCTCGCTGGCGCGCTGGGCGGGGGAGCCGGTGAAGGCGGTGCTGCTGCCCACTTCCGTCTTCACCGCCAACAAGCGGGGATACCCGGTACTGCCGCGGCCGCACCAGGACTGGCTGGCGGCGTGCTTCAAGCTGGGGGTGCAGGTGGGGGGGGCGGGAGGGAGGGGAGGGGGAGGCGAAGTAGAGAAGAAGGAGAAGAAGAACCATGCGTTGAGTAAGGGCGGCGGCTGCAGGCTGCCGGAAGAAGCCCCTGGGGTAAAAATAAGGAACTGGATGACGCGGCTTCTCCAGCCCCTGGAGGGGGGCGGGCGGGCGGGTGTACTAACTCTCCTTTTCTCCGGCTTCCAGCGATCAAGGGGAGTCAACCACAGGGTCCACAGCCCAGTAGGCACACATCCTGGAACCCCCTCCTCACTCACCCCTCCTGACCCCCCCCACCCCCTCCCCCCAGGTTGTCCTGACGGGTGACGCCTGCCACTCCGTGCCCTCGCCCGCCGCCTCCGCCCCCGCCCCCGTGGCGCTGGGTCCCGGCGGCGAGCCGCTGGGCTTCAGCCTGCGCGACCCGGGCGAGAGCCACCCGCTGCGGCCCTACTGGGAGTACCTGTGCTTCCTGTTCCGGCGGCTGGAGGCGGTGGGCGAGCAGCAGCGGCAGGAGACGGCCTACCGGGACTACCTGCAAGTGCCGCTGCAGCCGCTGCAGGTGGGAGGGGGAGGGGGGAGGAGGGGGGCAGGGAGGGGGCAGGGGGATAGAGGGGGAGGAGGGGGAGGTGACCACCTGTCCCCAACACGGCTTCGGCCACTTTGTTTCTAAGGCTACCGCATGCTGATCCGCTTAAGCGCTGGCTGCTTTGTTCCCTCATCACCCTCCCACAGGACAACTTGGAGTCTCAGACGTACGAGACGTTCGAGAAGGACGTCCAAAAGTACACCCTGTACGAGGAGGCCGTGTACCGCGCCCTCAAAGACAAGCAGGCAGCAGCCTCAGCAGGTGCAGCCTCCAGCACCGCCCCGGTACCACACCCGCCGGCAGGCGCCGATGCGGGCACCTCCCCCGCTCAACCCTCCTCCTCAACCTCCTCAGCTTCAACCTCAGGTCGTGAGATAGCAGCTGCAACCGCAAGCAGCAGCGGCAGCGGCAGCCCCGACCGACCCGTGGTTCTCATGGTGGTGGGCGCGGGTCGCGGCCCACTCGTCCGAGCCTCCATGCGCGCAGCAGCCCGAGCCGGCGTCTCCCTGCGCGTGTACGCAGTGGAGAAAAACCCAAACGCCATCGTACATATCCAACAAATGCTCCGTACGGAAGGCTGGGAATCTGCCGTACAAATCGTATCCGCCGACATGCGTCACTGGCAGGCTCCGGAACCCGCTGAGATCTTGGTTTCGGAGCTGCTTGGTTCCTTTGGCGATAACGAGCTGTCTCCGGAGTGTCTGGACGGCGCGCAGCGCTTCCTGGCCCCCGGCGGCATCTCCATCCCGCAGAGCTACACCAGCTTCATGGCCCCTGCCACCAGTCACAAGCTGCACCACGATGTGAAGGCGTACAAGGACCTGGAGCACTTTGAGACGCCGTACGTGGTGCGGTTGCACAGGTGAGGAGGGATAGGAGGATAGGGATAGAAGGATTGGGGTATGTGGCGCAGGGGGTTTGAGGAGCTGTTACTCTCCTTCGGTTGCACTTTGCACGCCCCGCTTGCACTACTCATCCCTCCTTCCTCACGCCCCCCCCGCAGGCACTACCTGCTGGCCCCCACGCAGCCCCTCTTCACCTTCTCCCACCCCAACAACGACACCCCCATCGACAACAGCCGCTACGCCTGCCTCACCTTCACCCGCGACCCCGCCGCTGGATCCGCCGTACTGCACGGCCTGGCCGGCTACTTTGAATGCACCTTGTACGGCGATGTGCTGCTGTCCATCCACCCGCCCACGCACTCCGAAAACATGTTTTCCTGGTTCCCCATCTTCTTCCCGCTGCGGGAGCCGGTGTATGTGCCGGCGGGCGGGCGGGTGAGTGTGACGGTGTGGCGGTGCTGCGCGTCGCACAAGGTGTGGTACGAGTGGGGGATCACGGAGCCGGTGGCCGGACCCATTCACAATGTGGGGGGCAGATCGTACTGGGTGGGGCTGTGAGAGTGAGGGGGGTGAGTGGGGGGTGAGAGGTGGTGGGTGGGATAGAAGGGTGGGGTGTTAGATAGCAGGAGGTGTGTTGAAATAACTGGCTATGTTGTGGTAAGTGGCCGTTGGCGGTTGAAAGTTCTCAGTTGGTATCAGGTGGTGTGGGAAGTGCTGTCGAGTGCTGGAGAGCTTGAAGAGACGTCTGGATGATTGGGGAGGGGCCTGGTACCTGGCAGGTTATGCGTGGAACAGCCGTGGTGGTGGTGGAGTCTGAGGGCAAGGAGCGAAGAGGAAGGATATGGAGGGATGAAATGTGGCGTTAAGGCTTGCGTTTGGACTTTGGGTGCGCCCGATGTCGGCAGGTACTTCCTGTCAGCTAACTGGCGGCATGTCGGTGCTAAACTTACATGGAGTGCTGCCGTGCCCACGGAACTCGCGAGCTGAAAGTTACAGTGTAATGGCCAGTCTATCCATGGGTCGTTAGTAACCCGTCAATTATGCATCTATGGCACTCCGGGGCCGTCGTCATCCTAGCGTTGTCGACAGTACCAACCAAGAGCTCCACGATGAACTACACAGCTTGGGAATACGAGTAGAGCAGCACCAGCTTTTAGATAGGGCAAGATAGGGTTCTACTAGGTTGTACAGCGCGTTGTACAACTCGAATATCTAAAGGATTCCCGAAGCGAATTCGAAGCTAGAAATGCACTCTCTTGTTACGTTATTACTTTGCCGCCCCTTATGCCAATTAGAAACATTACGGGCTGCCTCCGCACCTTACATCATCGGTCATCGCTGGTGAAGGAATTTGAAGGGCAAACAGGCCTCTTATATTTAGGACATAGTGGAGCGCAAGATGGCCGCACCTGCACTGTTACCTCCAGCTGGCTTAACCAGTGGAATGGCGCATGTGGCGCACGACCGCTGGGACCCAGTCAAGGAAAGCAACGACTACTCTGAACATGTATCTGAGCACCGTGTACGTCCCCAGATTGCACTTCCAGCTCCGAACTTGACGATGGGCTACACTAATGAGGACATCGACCTCAGCCACCCAAGCAACCGGCCCATTTTGGCTTGCAACGGACTACCACGCAATTTCAAAGTTGGAAGCCGATGCATCAACCCTCTCGAACCAAGATATGTCCTACCCGGCACATCCCCTTCACGTGACCTGCCTCGGGAAGTACAAAGCCCAGTTGCAGGTGCGGCGAGCCGCATAACGAGCCCCAAACCTCACATCAGTAACACATCGGCTGTGATGGGGAGCATAGGGGATGTCCCACCCAGCCGCTCAGGCTCCGAGCGGCTGCTGGTGCCCGCCATGTCCCTTCCTCGCGGGAACACAGCCGGGCCCGACGCGACAGCCCCGAGCTTATCTCCCAAGCTACAACCGCTCACGTCAACCCCGGGCACAGCAACCGCGGCCACAGTGGCCAGCCCGACAACACGACCATCAACACAATCCCAACATCACCAGCAGCAGCCGCACCAGCAACCCCAGCACCACCAGCAGCCCCAGCAGCTGGCTGCCAACCCCCTCATCAGCACCAACGGGGCCGTCGGCGGGCTGCTGCTGTACGGCCCCACGGCCCCCGTGCCGCCCGCGTGGGAGGCCATCAGCGCTGCCGCCGCCGGCAACCGCTGCCTGGATGTGGCGGACATCAACGGCCAGCGCCGCAGCAGCACGGTGCCGCCACGGCGCAACGGCGGCTTCGACCCGCTCTTCATCACCGACATCGTGGTGGGTGTGGTTGGGGGGGCAGGGAGGAAGGGTGTGGATGGACAGCTATTAGGTACGGCTGGGTTTACAGGAGCACCCGCCTCCTGCGGCTTCAGCGACTCTTGAGGTGAAGTGTTCTATGCAAGGGATGGCTCTGGATTGACGCTTAAAAACTATTAGCGAGCAGCCCCCCTCTACCTCCCCTTCCGCGCCCCCCGCCCCGCAGCCCCCGCGCAAGTCCAGCCCCACTCGCGCGCTCAACAGCCTCACCACCGGCGACATACGCGGCGCCGCCTCGCGCCCGCGCACCCGCGACGTGCCCTCCCCCGGCCGTGGCACCCTCAACAGCGCCGACATCACGGGCGCTTCCCCCGGCTGCCTCACCCGCCCCTCGCCCACCACCTTTGCCCTGGGGCGCTGGCCGGCTCCCTCTGTGCCACAATACCACTTCAGTCAGTCCACGCGGGTGACCCTGCTGAAGAAGCCCATTGCGATTGGGGAGTAGGGAAGGGGCGTGTGGAGGGGGGGACGCACCGCTACGTCCCCGCATGGGGCGGTGCGTAGGGGTGCCAGTCGGCGCAGGTCTTGGACTCCTGATGGTCATGGACTGGCATTCAATAATGTTTAGGATTAGGTGTGAGGTTTTGGGATTCAGGGCTGCTTATGATTGGATGTGTGTTGAAGCCTCGGACTAGGGTGAGAAATCGGGTCTGGGCGCAAGCTTGCGGGCGGAACTGAGGCGAGCAGGGTGTTGGATGTGGTGAGAAGAGGCAGGCGCGGGTGGGCTTGCAGGAGATTTATCCTTGGTGCGGACAGCACGCAGGTGCTTCTTCATTGTTGTACATAGTGCTAGCTAGGCGATTCTTTTTGCAGGTTGGTGATAAGTCAGGTGCCCCACTTCTTGGTTGTGTAAGGCCTGGTGGGGTCGCCGAGGCCGTAGCAGGCCCCATGCAACAGTGTTTACCCGTACTGTGTGGTGCGCAGATTGGGACAGTGCAGGGAGGCGAAGGGGTGTGGGCAATGGGGGACCAATGCATGCTTAGCTGTAGAGCAGGTCAGGCGTGTGTGTTTGCTTGCTTTCTGCAATGACTCCGACACTCGACAATTGACTTCATCATTGACCTTCATTAACAATGGCGCGGAGCTGTTCAACCTTGTTGCTGAGGATACAAGTGGCGGGGTGGATTGTGGAATCTACTATCTAAATCTCCTTCCTCGGGTTCGTTCGGAAGGACGTGGAGGTGATACTCGTCTGACCTGGAAAGCGGTTAGGTACGGTATGTGACCAATGTGAGGGTGCGATTCATGTTTACAGGCTTTCAGTGTTGCCTGCCGTCGCGGCTTCTTGCGATAACAGACGGTGTAGTGGGTATGGGCGACAGTAGGATAACCGCCGAGTCAACCGGGTGCCCCTCGGGTACCCCTCGGGTACCGTCGGGGTACCTCGGGGGCCCCTCGGTGCCGACGGGTGCCGAGGGTGGGGGTCACTCGCTCACTCCGCTGCAGGAGGCTGGGACAGGAAGCCCTCAGGCGCCATCAGGCGGCCCGCTGGAGGGCACAGCAGACAGAACTGTAACCCCCATTACAGCCTCCTATCCGAAAGTACGCCGGTCATACCTTCATGCCTGCTTCCATTGGCAGCATGTGGGTTGTACCGGTCCGAGCCGCCTCCACTCAGGTGGCGCTCCTGCTATAGCCTTCACCGCTACCCCTATGCCTCCCTAGCCCCCAACCCAGCTCCTTCTATGAGTTATCGAGCCCGCCTATGCCTCAAGTGTCGTCTTCACGTTCACCACCTCTACTTCTCCGCGCCTTTCCCCGCTGCCCCCTTGCGCTGCTTGCCCGGCTTCACGGCCGCAGCCAGGTCCGGCTCCGGAGCCCCCGCGGGCGGCCCGCCCGGCGGTACCCCCGCAATCACCGCCGCAATCGCTTCCAGCTCGTTGAACCCCACATCGTCCCGACCCCGCTGGTTGGCACCCTGCTGCAACCCACCCCCGTTGCCTCGCTTGGCGCCGGTCTTGTTGGGCTTGGCGGCCAGCAGCGGCCCCGACAGCCGCGCCCGCTGCTGCTGCTGCTGCTCCCCAGCATTTATCCCGGCTGCCGCCGCCGCCGCCCCACTGCTGTCGCGCTTCTTGCCTCTCGAGCTGCCGGCGGCGGCAGCGTCGCGCATGTCAGCGTCACGAGAGCCCGGACCTGCACCCGCACCGCCTCCCTGCCCATCCGCTCTCCCGGCCCCGTCAGCTTGCCGCTGCTCCTCCTCCTCCTCTTCGTCATCATCGCTTAGGTCATCATCCATGTCCTCATCGCCACCGCCCGCCCCACCGCCTTGCACCGCTGCTGCAGCTGCCACCGCCGGCAGCGCTGCACCACCCAGTGTCGCCCCTGCCGCCGCCCCCGCCGCGGGGTCCTTGGCTCCCAGCACCATGACTCCCCCCTCCGCCGCTGCGCCGGCCGCCACCCCGGACACCGGCTGGTGCCGCCGGATACGAGCCTGCAGGGGTGGGAGGCAGGATGCGAGGGTTAGACGGGGTTAGCGACTCGCAGCGGGAAAGAGCTTACTGGCCCCGTTGTAGCGGAAAGGGGTCAGAGAAACGGGTCAGAGCGCTCCCAATCGTCAATTGACCCCTCCCTTTTCCTCCTCCATCTCGCCCATGACCCGACCCCTCCTTTCCCCGTTGCCCGCTCCTCCCCCCCCCCCTCACCTGCACCCGCGCCACCTCATGCTGCTCCAGTGCCGCCTTCAGCGCCGCCACCACCTCCTTGGCGCGCTCTCCCGCCAGCCGCACGCAGCGCATGAACTGCTGCGTGCTGAGCCCGATGCCGTCCGCCTTGTGCACGCAGCACACCTCCCCCGCGGGGTTCATGACCAGGGTGCAGGAGCCGCTGCTGGCGGCCGCCTCCTTCAGACTGGGGTCCACAAGCAACACGTCACCGCCCTGCGGATTGGGGGAGGAGAATGGAGAGTGGGTTGGATTAGGACAAATTGATATACCGTACAATTACGGTAACTGTGTGATTGTTGGCACGGCAGCAGGGTCTACAGCCCTCCGCGATTACCGTGACCTCATGCGATAACGCCACCGTTCACCTACCCTCCCTTTTAATCCCCCCTTCCCTCCCCCCTCCTGACCCCACCTGGAACAGCGCAAAGGTGACCGCCACGGGCAGGTGGTGGATGGTGAGCGGCAGCGGCTCCCGCAGCTCCGGCGGCAGCACCCGCAGCTCCGTGCCGCCCTCGCCGCCCAGCTCCACCTCGGGCTTGCGGAAGGCCAGCAGCGCCGCCAGCGCCGCCAGGCAGCAGGCGTCCAGCAGGTTGCCGCCGCTGTCCAGCACGTGACAGTCCACTCGCAGCGACCACACCTGTGGAGGTGGGCGGGTGGGCAGAGGCAGGAGGAGGAGGAGGAGGAAGGCAGGGAAGAGGGAAAGAGGGAGGATGGAGCAGGGAGACAGGGCGCGAAAGAGCATACCGGATTAACCGTGCAGCATGTGCGGGATGGAGACATGGTAAGAGGGCACCAGGGAGCCGAGAGGACCCCGCCCGCCTCCCTCTCCTTTCCCTCTCCTCTCCCGCCTCCCTCCCCCCACCTTGCGCCCCGCCACCACGCACAGCGCCTCCTGGTCCACCGCGCCGCTCTGCCGCAGCGCCCGCTCCACCAGGCGAGCAACCTGGATGGCGTCCTCGCCTGGGAAGAAGGGGGAGGGGGATTGGGGGGAGGGGGCAGGGAAGGGGGTAGGAAGGGGGACACCCCGGCAGGGCAGGGCAGGAGAGGGGAGGTACGCTGCGGTCCCGCATGCCTGCACGCGTATGTCCACGTGCACCCCAGGCAGGACGCGGTCCGCGCTCCCTTGCCCCACCGCACCCCTCCGCTCCGGCCGCGTACCTGGCCTGCCCGGCTCGAAGGCGGGGGAGGCCATGGGCGAGAACTCCACATTGAAGCGCAGCGGCCCCTCGCTGGGGCGGTCGGGGAAGGGCGCCTCCAGGGCGGCGCTCACCACCGCCATCACGCGCGTGGAGCCCAGGCCCACGGTGGCGCTGCGGTCGTCCAGCGAGAACTGGGAGCAGGAGGGGAAGGGGAGCAGGAGGGGGAGGGGAGCAGGAGGGGAAGGGGATTAGGAGGGGAAGAGGAGAAGGAGGGGGAGGAGGAATGGAGAGGCAGAGGGAGAGGGAGACGCAGTGAGCGACTGGGGTCGGGACGAGCAGGCGCAGGACGGGAGGGAGAAGGTTGCGTGGAAGGGATTGATTGGAATGGTGTGTTTGGAGACTCTTACCTGGAATTTAATCTTCCGCATGTCATATGGACGGCGACCGTCAAGCCGGCATTCCTCGGCGAGCGCCTACGATGCACATTGAGCCCGAAGGGTTGGATGCCAAGGCCTATCCCGGTATGTTAACTTCATAACTAATGTTAAGCACCTTAAGGATAAACTCTCGGACGTTGTTCGAGATGAAAGTGTCCGCATCGCGTTGGGACATTTGTGTAATGGCTGGCGGCGGAACGCCACGCGCACACTAGTAAGTTTTATAGTTGCGCAACAAAAGAAATGGTCGTTGTCTTCAATTGAAGGCCCCAGGGGTCCAAAGAAAAAGTTCCTGGCTTTAACGATGTAAGTTAGGACGTCATATAGCTATCAAACTGCGTAACTCTACTGCGTAAGAGGAAGCGAAAGCATACGTTTGCTGCAGTGCGCATTGCCAAAGTTAGTCAACCAACGGCTTGCGTACGGCACTTGACGGTTGCCCGGCGCCTGCCAGCGATGGAAGCCGATGCATCTTTAACCCCAAAGCTGCAGGCGCCGTAAGCATACCCATGCTTCTCGTGTACCCTGTGTTCCTAAATGCCGTAAATGGCGGAAGCTGCTAGGTACAAGCGCATGCTTGCACGGATTGGGGTACCTTTCATGGCTAGCTTGCCCCATTACCCAAGTAGCACTGCCAGGTGGCAATCCAGGTCACGAGTATGCTGAAAATTTTGGTACGCAGCGGTCAAGTACCAGTATGCCATGGGTCACAGGTCAGCCGCAGCGTTGCCGTCCTGGGCCGCCTGTTGGGAGAGTGCCAGCACATGGTCTACTGAGTTGCTATCACCTCCCACACCTCCATATACCCTCCCGACACCCCCCAAGTCCCCCGAACACACCTCATACCACACATCCTACCACGCCACCCAGCCCCCACCCAAGGAATACTAACCAACACTCTGTATTGTGGCACCCTGGCGCCTCCTATCCCCATTGCTTTGCCCTAACATGTGGTTTCCTATGATTCGGTATGGTCTTTGAACCCCCCTTTCCACTTCCCTTTCCCCTCCGCTGCTAGGTGCTCAGCAGCTCCCGCAGCACCGGCAGCGCGCACCCCGTGAGGCTGTGGTCGGCCAGCATGCGGGTGGACGCCAGGATACCCTCACACATCAGCTCCCGGGACGATACCCACACGGGCCGGAAGCGCCGCCGGCTGCCGTCTGCCGTACCGGTGCTGTCCTCCAATGCAGGTGGTGCAGAGATGGGTGGCGACGCAGTGAGGGGCAGCGGCAGTCTCAGCGGCAGCGTGCGGCGCTGGGGGGAGCTGCTGCTGCTGCTGCCCCCGCCAGCGGCGCTTGGCTGCAGGTAGAGGATCTGCGGGGCGACGGCTCGGAGGGTGGCAGGGTGTGTGACCGGGAAGAGGGTGCAGCGGATGGGAGCAGCGACTCATACCGGGGCTGTTACCAGCCGCAAAAACGGAGGCATAAAGCTCATTGAGCCATGAGCCAGCCTGGCATCGAACGCGTAACCAATCCCGCAGAACCCAATCAGCCCCGCCCCCGCCCCACCTACCTTGCCCGGCGGGTGTAGCTCGGGTAGCCTGCCCGTGCCCCACACCGCCGTGTGGTAGGCCCTCAGCCGCTGGCGTGCCTGCGGGGGCAGCTGCGCGTACGGCAGCAGCAGGTGCGCGGCGCGGCGCAGTCGGTTGCGGCGGCTGAGGCTGCCCAGCAGCACTCGAGCTTTGCTGCAGCTGGGGAGGGAGAGGTGGGAGGAAGGGAGGCGCAGGGAACGGGCAACGGAGGGAAAAGAGGAGGAGGAAGAAGATAAGGAGAGGCTATAATCACGGAAAGGCGGCGGTGGGCGGGTGCCCCAGGCGCAAATACGCTGCCTACCTGCAGCGGGCCAGTGCAGTGACCATCTCGTCCCGGTATCGCTCCATGCTCGCGAGGCTGAGGCGCGGGATGAGGTCCTTGCCCGCCACCACACTCACGGTGAAGGGGCGCAGGGCCTCACTGAGGGCGGGGCTGGCCAGGCTGCCTGAGGGGTGGGGCAGAAGGGGGGAGGCGCGGCGAGAGGCCGGGTGAGGCGGGAGGGAGCGAGGTGTGAGCGGACCCGGCCGCCGGTGTTTGCAACCCCTGCGAAGAGGACACGAGAGCAACCCTCCACCTCTCCTACTTCCCCTCCCCGCTTCCTCCCCCCACCCACCCGGCGGTGCGAAGGCCCAGCAGCGCACCTCCACACGCGGCAACACCGCCCGCAGCCGCAGCGCCAGCAGCGCCGCCGCGCCGCCACCCAGGCTGTGACCCGTCACCACCAGCCGCCAGCCGCACACGTCCAGGGGAACATGCGGCGGCGGCTGGGGTGGCGGTAACGGCTGCTGTTGCGGTGTCGGCGGCGGTATTGGCGGTGGTTGAGATGTTGCGGCGCAGGGTGTGTACGGCACAGGTTCCGATGGGGATGACATGGCTGTGGGAGTTGAGCTTACAGCGGGAGCTGATGACTCCAGGTGGGGTGCCTGTGGGGCGTGGGGTGCGACAAGATGTGAGCGACAGAAGGGGCTGCTTCGACCTACGACTGCATTCATGCATGCTGTTTGTTTTCTCATCCTTGTCCCAGCGGTTGTACCAGTAATGCTTGACGGCACCTGGTTGACACGATTGGCACCGCCGCCTTCCTCTTCCCACCCACCTCTCCGCAAGTAGCGACGCTGCGGTCCTCACTCCGCGCCCCGCCAAACGCTGCTGTCGCTGCTGCTACTGCCGGCGCGTCCGCAGCAGCCCCCCGCCTCAGCAACCCCGCTAGGCTCGGGGCCCGGCCCCCAGAGCCCCCCTGCGCTTCCAGGTCCGCCGACCGAAGGGGCGCCAGGGGTAGGGACTCCTCCCCTGCAGCAGCACTCCCTCCTCGCGCCCCCTCGCGCCGCACCAACCAGCCCCACCAGCCCCGGTGGGCGCTGCCACCGCTGCTGCGATCGCGCTCCTCGCGTGAGGTGCGGGCGGGTACGGCAGGCCGAGGCAATCCCGCAGTACTGCCGGGTACGACGCTGCGTACGGAGGCTCCTCTGCCACCGGCCTGCTGCTCCTCCGGCGCCAACAACGGGATACGGGCTTCGTTGCCGTCGTCAGCACTGAGACCCGGAGAAGCAGCAGCGGCACCGCCACCTCTTCCTCGTCCCTCCCGAGGCTGCAACCGTACCGCCCGATCGAGCCCAGGCGGCCCCTCCGCCCTCTCTGACGCCGTGCTGCCGCCTCGGCCGCCTCCGTTGCTGCTGCTGTTGGCAGACGAGGAGGCGGAATGCGACCTAGAGTGGTGCTGCCGCAGCCGCAGCGCTCCCGACAGCAGCTGTTGCGGCCAGGCGGCAGCAGCGGCGGCGGCAGCTAGGGAAAAGCTCCTGCTCCTGCCCAGCCTTGAAGCAGACAACGAAGAAGAAGGCTGCTCCGGGTGGAGAGACTCATCCAGGGAGCCATTACGTGCGGGGTAAGAGTACGACATGGCCCTAGGCGGCCCCCGCCGCCGCTGCTGCTGTTGCTGGGGCTGCGGCTGCTGCCTTCCCAGAAGTGCGGCTAAGCCGGCTAGACCGCCTGGGGGTGTGGTAGCCTGGCGCTCAGCAGAGACAAGGCGCGGGCGCTGCGTCACACCTGGCGCTGCACCGTCGCTGCTAGGGTACATCAAGCCGGGCGGTTGGGAGGCGGGGTGTGGGTCGGCTGGGTGGGTGACCCATGGGTCGCTGGTTGTGCGCGCTGGCGGCGGCGGCGCTAGGCGGTGCCGTTGTCGCTCCATCGCCGTCCCGGTTGGTACCCCGGCGCTGTCAGGTCCTTGGAAAGGAGCGAGGGTGGCGGGGTGCTGCGGGGGGAAGAGCGCCTCCAGCAGGCGCAGGCGTCGCAGGTCCTCCAGGACCACCTCGGCGGCTGGATGGCGGAGGGAGGGGGGGGCGCGCAGGGGCACATGGAGGGGGAAGGATAGGTGTGGGCTTCGTAGAGGGGTGGTAGGAAGCTGCGAGGATCGGCGGTAGCGAGGGGCAGGAGCAGCTAGGGCTGGTAACTAGGCGGTGTGGGCCCATGCAGCTGGCGGGCTAACCGTTAGTGTGCTTGACTGTGCCAAGCTTGCATGTCTTGACCCCATCCTCTTGAATCAACGCTCCACCCATCTCCTCACCTGCCCAGATGCCTCCATGCACCAGCACAGGAGTATCACCACCGGCGCCGCCCACCGCCCCAGCGGGCGCATCAGCCTCGCTAGCAGCAGCAGATGCAGGGGCCAAGGCAGCACCGGGATCAGCTGCCGTAGCAATACCATCCGCAGCAGCACCAGCAGCACCGCCGCCACCGGTATCAGCACCGGAGGTGTCAATTCCCGTCGGCTCGACGGCACCCTCCGCCGCCGCCGCCAGCAACCCCGGCGGCAGCAGGTGTCGTACATCGTACGGCGCACAGAGGCAGTCCGTGACGATGTCCTCCGCGCTCGAGGTGCCCCGGATGGAGATGACGACGGACCTGCCGTACACGCATGCAGCCGCCGCCGCACAGCAGCCGTACGGCATATAAAAGGGGAGCAACATGGGGAGCATGGCAACTGGTTAGGCCCCCTTCCAGGATAGTCCCCTGATACCGGTAGCTTGCAGCCGAGCGCGGCTGTTACGAAAGCTCTAGGCGTGTCAGGCACAGAACAGACCCACATAAGATCGCCACAAGGCCCACCTTGTGGCCGCATCCAGGCACACCATGTACGGCAGGTAGCCCTCCGCGGAGTTCTGCGTGTTCACGTGGACCACGTGCGGGGTGCAGCGGGCGGCGCTGCGGAGGATGGCAGACAGCATGGGGTCAGGGGCGGCGGAGGACGGACGGCGCCGTCGCCGCCAGCCGAACCATCCCTGGTCGCCGGAGGTGCTGCTGCTGCTGCTGGCGCCGGGGTTGGCACTGGCGCTCGCACTGCTGATCACGCCCTCCGCCGGGAACCCAGCGGGTACCTCGCCTCCGTAGATAGCAGCTGCGTACCTGCGACCCATGGGACATCCGGCACAGCCATGCTAGATTGCTACCGGTAGTCATTAGGGTGAGAGTGTTGGTCACACAGGCTCACTAGTTCGTTTGCGAACGGCGAACAAATTGCATCATATTGGTTGTACGGCAATGCAGCCATGCTGCCTACCTGCCGTACGCAAAAGCCTCCGTCAGCGTCGCCCGGTCAACCATCTCTCGCTCCGCCGCAAATGCCGCCGCCAGGGCCGCGTCCGCGATCCGCTGCCGTAACGCCACCGCCGCCGAGTCGCTCCTCTGTATTCCCCCAGCAGCACCCGCACCCGCAGCAGCACCAGCAGCAGCATCAACGCCCCTAGTGCCCGCGTGCCTGTGCCGTAAGGTTGCGGCCCCTGCGTCAGCCTCCGCCGCCACAACCGCCTCCGCCGCTGCTGCCACCGCCGCCACCGCCGGCGCTGCTGCCCCAGCCACACCCGCACCCAACACTGCCTCCCTCACCTCGCCGCGTTCCGGATCCCCCTCCAAATCCAAATCCACGTCTAACGCAAGATCCCCGCTGGATCCCTGCCGCCCCCTGACGCCGCCGCCAAGCCCGCTGTCGTACACTCCCACGTCCGCCGCCGCCTCCGCCACCTCCGCCGCCAGCTCCCCCGCCAGCTCTTCCAGGTGTTCCTCCATGCCAGCGGGGGTGAGGTGCACCATGGGGTGCAGCAACGTCACCGCATGGCTGGGCTGCGGGTGTATTGCTGCTGCCTCCGCCGCCGCCTTCCTTGCCGCTGCCGCCGCGGCTCCTGTTGCTGGGTGTGCTGTTCCTAAAGGCGCTTCCGGCGCTGCGGAAACAGGTTGCCGCAGCAGCGGTGGCGGCAGCGGCGGTGGCAACGGCGGTGGGGTTACCGGTAGTGGTGCTGCCGTGTTTCCGCTAGGCCCCGCCGCGGTGGGAGGAGGAGCGGTGGGCGGCGGCGCCGGACTTGCGGAGGTGTACGGCGCCGTGGCGGCAGCTCCCCGCAGGCCCCGGCCCAGCCAGGTCGGCTCCTCGGCGAACCGCACGCGCCGCGGCTGCTGCGGTGGTAGGGGTTCCTGCGGCGGTGCGACCAGCGTTGGTCCCGATGGGAGCTGCTGTGGCAGTTGCCCCGTGTCTAAACGCACGGGCTGTGGGGCTGCGGAGGCTTCGGAGGCTGTGGAGGCTGTGGAGGCTGCGGGCGCTAGGCTTGCTTGCCGGGGAACTGGACGTGGCTGCGGCGGGTGCGGAGGGCGCTGCTGCCTGGGCGGCGCTAGGGACACCTGCCAGAGTCCTCGAGGCTGCAGAGGCGACGCCACAACACCAACCGCAAGCAGCTGCCCCCCTGCAGGTCCCCCCTCACCATCACCACCGCTGTGCAGCTCCTCCTTCCGCACTGCTCCCGCTTCTGGAGGTTGAGCCCGCTGCGGTTGCTCCTCCTGCTCTTGCTGCTGCTGGACTGCTAGGAAGGGAGACAGCCTGCCCGGGTGACGAGGCTGCTGCTGCTGCTGCTCTGCACCCTCCTCCATTCCCTCCTCACCATCGCCGCCACCTGTTGCCGCTGCCCCGTTCTCCAACCGGCATGCCTCTTCAGCACCAACAGGTAATGAGCCCCCTGCTGCAGCCCCGGTAGCAGCCTCTGCCACCCGCAGCCGTGGCCCCCGCTCCGCCTCCTCCTCCGGCCCCGCCGGCGGCGCCTGCAGCAGTGCGCTGTGCGCCGCCGCCGCCGCCACCATGGCGTCCCGCAGCGCCCGCCGCCTCCGCTCCCGCTGCGCCGCCGCCACCAGCAGCAGCGCCGCCGCCACATCGGAGAGGGTGAGGTCGGTGTGCTGCAGCAGGCTGGAGGTGAGGTGGGCGATGCGGCGGAGGGCGGGGTCCCTGGGGGCATGAGCGGGGTGAGAGGTGGGGAGGTTGGGTGGGAGGACGGAGCGAAGGGACTGAGCGGTAGGTTAGGTACTGCAGCATTTAGAAGCCCGGGACAATGATGGTGTACAGCAGCAGCTGCTGCTGGCCTGCTGCTTCCTGACACCCGTTCGCACCTGTCGGGCACGTGCACGTGTGTTAGCAGCCCCACTCGGCAGCACAGCAGGCGGGCAAGCCACAGCAGGCGCGCCTCCCACGCCTCCACCAGGCCCAAGCCGTGCCAGGGGTTGAGCGCCAGAGCTGTCAGGAGGCTGCGGCACGGGGACGCAAGCAGGCAGGCCGAACAAGGGACAACCTGCCGTCAAGCCGGATCTCCAGAAAAAGCTAACAGCTCTAACACAGGAACACAGACGTGCATGGATAGCACTCCGCGCAAGGAGGAGCGTCGGGGATACCCGGTACACGCACGATCAGCCGTTCAGCACATGGTACCGGTATTCAGGCCACCGTCCTTCTTACCCGTTGACTGCGATCACGGCCCATGACGTGCCCACCAGCGCTGCCGCCAGCGGCCGGGGGCTCCAGACGGGACACAGCCGGCGGTGCACATGCAGCAGCCGGGCGCCGTAGCCAGCGAAGGCGACCTCGGCTGCCGAGGCGAGCGCATGCAGGTAGAGCAGCAGCGGCACAGCACGGCGCGCCCGGGTCTCGAACGGGGTACCTGGAAGGGAGGATGTGGGGGTGTGATGAGGTTGGGGGGGTGCATGATGGGGATTGTGTGGGATGTGGGAGAGGTGACCCGTGGGTCATGCTGCAGCATCGCGCTGCAATGCTTGTACGTTGACTTAAGTCAAAGGCGCGAAGATGCTGTATTGATTGCGAGTGGTTGAAATTGCATGCAACCGCGGCACTCTGTCGCGTTGCAGCTGTGTTGTAGCCAATAGCAGGCAGGCTGCTGGACGCCGCAAGCATTCGTCGGGTGCTGCGCGATCAAAGCTATGTACAGTAAGGCAGCCTTTGCTAGGCATTACATAATCGAACCTTTAAGCCCTTCTCTTAGCAGAGACCATTCTAACAAAGATGAGAAGGAGAAGGAGGCGACAGCACCTCCCAGGAAAGGTAGGTAGTCGCCTTCATCCCGACAAATGGTATGCCGCTGGTACAATGCTAGGGTGCAGAGCAGCACAATTGCCCAAGCTGTATGGAAGAGAGCTGCCGGTAGGGCAAAGAGAGGAACATCGTCGGAAGCTATTAGCAGCCTGCGGCCTAAAAGAACGAGCGCAGGCATGACCGTCCTTTCAGAGCCTGACAACCTAACGACACAAGCATTGGTAGGGTGCGTGCAAGCGAGGTGTTTTCATGTTATCGCGTACGACTACTGCAGCTGCGGGTTGCTGAGGAATTGATTGACAGGAAGAGCCGCGGGCTCGAGGCCTTTTCTACAGGTAAAGCAAGGAACAGCCTTACACGAGGTCTTGCTAACTGGCGTCGACACGACCTAGGATTAACGTCCCCGGGGACCGCCGGCCCACCGCAGGTTACCGCCGTTATAGTAGCCCGTATAGTCACAGTATGTACAAATACCGGTATGTAAAGTCCTATACGTCCGTCGCGCGCTCCATCACATCTCATCTGCCTTCCGAGAGCCTGATCTCGCTTAAGCCATAACCAGCTGCTATTCGCGTCGCAATAACTCACCACTGCCTATCAAACGGGTCAATATGTAACAAGAAGACTTCATGTACTTAAAACTCATCATCATCATCCCCAGCATGTAGAACCCCGCCATCAAAATCATCCTCATACTGGATCTCCCCGCTAGATGCCGCGGCAGGCGGGGTCAAGGAGCCCGACCGCGCGGGTGACACCGCCGGCGGCGACCGCGAAAGCGGCGACTGCCCGCCCGGCGACATCTCCACAGACGAGCGGGACAGCGGAGACCGCGGCGGCGTCACGGCGCTGGGTAGGGGCCGCTGCGCTGCTAGTGGTGAAGGCGGGTCGGAGGAGCGCATGGAGCCAGGAATGCTGCCACCGGACCCGGAGCCCATCGATGGCATCCTAGCCGCACCACCAGCAGCAACAGCTGCTGCAGCTGCTCCTGCCCCCGCACCCCCCACAGCTGTTCGCTGCTGGCCGGCCGCGGGAGGAGGTGTCGCCGGCCCCGCCCCCGGCCCCGCTCGGGTGGCGGGAACACTACCCTGGCTTGTCCGCCGACTGCTGGTGCCTCCGCCTGTGGTGCTGGCTTTGGGGGATGACAGCTGGGAAACCCGCTGCGACGACGGCTGGGGACTGAGGAGGCTGCTCTCCGCGGTTAGTGTCCCGCTCGGCCGCTGAGGCCTGACGGCGGTGGTGGCGGCAGTGGCGGCGCCAGCGGCCACGCGGCGAGGCGGCCCGCGCTCCGGTGAGGGCGAGGCGCTGGCGCCGCTGGTGGTGTCGCCGTCCAAAAGGCCCCGCCGCGGCCGGGTGCTTGCTGGTGCCGCCGTACGGCCCCGGGTCCCGGCGGCGCTGGGCGGCTGCGGAGGTGGCGTCGGAGTGGCGCCCAGCCGCCCCGTGCTCCGTTGTGGGGTTGGAGGGGGGCCCGTGGAGTTGCGGGTGCCGGCGGCGGCAGCAGCAGCGGGGGCTGCCGACAGGGGCCGGGAGCTCGGGCTTGGCGGCGCGGCGGCGGCGGATGTAGGCCGCCGGCCAGCCCGGGCGGCAGTGGCGCTGCCTCCGCCGCTAGGCCGCGGTGACGGCGGCGCAGCTGCTGACGCGGGCCGTTGCGTGGGCGCTGCTCCTCCCGCAGTCCCCGCCGCTGCGCCGCTCCGCACTCCGGCATTCCGGGTCGGCGTCGCCGGCCGCTGCCGCGCTGGTGTCGTGCCCCCTCCGCCGCCGCCGCCTCGGCTGCCTGCGGCCCGGCCCGGCGACCCCCCCAGCGACGTCACGGAGCGTGTGAGCCCCAGCAGCCCTGGAGAGTCCAACAGTCCGCCGCCGCCGCCGGCCCCCGTGCCGGCACCCTTTGGCCGCACCACCGGCCCCCACATGGACTTGGGCGTGCTGGAGCCGAACACGTACTTCCCTCGGCTGCTCTCACTGCTCAGCGCGCCGCCGCCGCCGCCCGAGGTGCCTCGTGTGCGTGGGGCGCTCCTGGGCCGCTGGGAGGCTGCGGACGCGGCGCCGGGGGAGCGGGTGCGGGCGGGGGGGCCCGGGGATGTGGGCGGGTCGGGTGAGGGGTTCCTGCTGCCCAGCCGGCTGGAGGGCGCCAGCATGTACCAGGGAGTCAGGGAGGACTCCTCCTCCTCCAGCTGCCGCTCCTGAGGGTGGGGCAGGAGGGGGCAGGGGTGGCGGGGAGGCGGTGCGTAACAGATGGGAGCAGGAGCTGCATGCGGGGGCGCAGGAGCTGCATGGCGCCTAGGATACCACCAAACTTACCGTACGTAACTTCCCCGAACCTATGACTACAGGTAACATCCCGCACCCGCAACCCCACCCCGCACCCCCGCACTCGCATCCCCGCACCCACCACCAGCTCCCGGTGTCGTCGCTCCCGCTTCCTGGCGTCCCCGACCAGCCGGTCCACCACCGCCCCCTCCTGGGCGGCCGACAGCTGCCGGCGGCCGCGGGTGCGCGCAGCCAGGCTGTTGTACACGGCGTGCAGCGCCTGCTCGCGCTTCTGCTGCTTCTCGCGCGTGTCGTCCAGGAACATCTGGCTGCACAGCGCCCTGCAGAGACCGGGGGGGGGGGGCGGCGGAAGAGCATGGCTGGTTGGAGCTACGGGTAGTTAGGGCCAGGGGCTTTGGGGGCTTACGCTTGCACTGACATGTGCCGCAATTTGCACACGTAACATTTGGACAAGCGGTCCTATCGCGATTCTCAGACCACTGCTCTTCCCGCCCCCCCAGCCCCCCACCTGTACACCGCCATCTTCTTCTTGGTGCCCTTCAGCTCGTCCCGGAATCGCGCCAGGTCTCGCTCCTTGTAGCGCGCCAGCAGCGTCACGAAGCGGTAGAGGTGGTTGCGAACCGCGTCCTCCACCTCGTGGGCCTGATGAAGGGAGAAGGAGGGGGGGGTCCAGTAGACCAAACCATTGGAAACCACGAATAGGGACGCATTAGGGGGAGGAAGGAGGGAGGGGGGAGATGACATGCGGGTGGTACAAGGGTGAGGGAAGGAGGAGGAGCAGGGGGAAGGGGCTAAGGGCTTGCGCGTCATTGGCTTTGACGACGTTCATGTAAAACCAAGTCTGGCTTCCACTTCATTCCGCCTCCACACTCCCCTTCTTCCATCCCCGCCCTCACTTTGGAATTTCTTTGCCCTCCCCGTTCGCCTTCTCAGCTACTCCGCCCCCTGCCACCGTCCCCACCTCCTGCTGCCGACCCAGCTCGCGCTGTATCACGTCCTCGCGGACGCCCTCCCGCCGCATCCGCTCCGCCCGCCGCTCGCGTTGCCGCCGCTTCTGCTCCCAGGCCAGCAGCCACTGCTGCCGCTGCCGCTCCATGGCCCGCTGCTGCATGTCCATTAACAGGTCGCCACTAAGGGGGGAGCCAGAGGGAAACCAAACCAATTGAAAACCACAAACTAGGGCAAGGCAATCGGAATAGCTGCGAGGGGGGGGATTAGCGGGCAGACGAGGGCGCCGGCGTTGGGGAGGCAGGAGGAGCCGTGGCATCCGGTCACTACAACAGGCCGCGTTACAGCAGGCCACACTCCTTGCCCTGCCCCACGTCCTTTACCATGCACGCCCACGCATGCAGGGTACCGGTAAGTGCCCCCAATCCTTGACAAGCAGGTTCTCGTAACGATCCCGTGCACCACTCCATCACCCCCCTCCCCTCCCGCCCCCTCCCACCCCGCCCCCCCGCACCTCCAGTCCAGCTCCTGCACGAGGGGCCGCTGCTGCGACAGCTGGTCCTCACCGTAGCCTCGGGCCTTCGCCCGCTGCCTCGCCTCCAGCCACTCGTCATGCAGCCGCCGCAGCTCCAATGCACGACTAGAGCAGGGGAACCGGGGGCTCAAATTATAGCAGACCATATGAAGCCACAAAAGGCCAAATTTATTAGGGACCCGGGGGGGGCGGCCAACGCAGCAACGGCGGGACAGTTGCAACAATAGCCGCTTGAGTGGTGTGAATGTGCCACGGAAGGAATACCGTGGCAGGCAGCAAAGGCACACGCTGTGTCACGGATCTGCGTTAGACAACGTGACATCTGCAGCATGGGGTAAGGTAGCGAAAAACGAATGTACGGCAGACACCCTCTCACCCGAGTAGCGCATCCAGCGCCGGGAAGAACTCCATCACTGGCGCCCACCGCCGCCTGCCCCTCCTCCGCTGATCCGAACCCCCACCCCCTCCATCCCCGCCTCTTCCTCCTTCAGTCTCCAGCCCAAACCCCTCCAGCCCCTGCTCCTCCTCCTCCTCCTCGTCCGGCAGCAGCAGCGCCTCCTCCGGGGGCCCCTGTCCGGGCTCCCAGGCGGAGTGCGGCCAGCCCAGCTGGGCGAACAGCGCGTCTGCCTTGCCCTCCAGCGCCTCCTCCTCCAGGACTCGCATCTGGAAGGTCTTGGGCTGGGGCGGACCCAGCGCCTTCTTCAGCTTGACCTGGTTGAGGAGGAGGGTGAGGATTGGGAGGGGGTGAGGAACAGGCCATGGGTTGCGTCAGGGGACCAAGGGACCAGGTGGCTTAGGGCCCTGCCCATGCAAGTCCGGTGCGATGCATGAAAGCCCCTAAGCAGCACCACCCCTCTCACCCTCACCACCCCGTGCCTCCCGCCCCGCTCCCCCACACGCTGCCTTACTCCGCCCTTCCTCGCCCTGCCCTGCCCCCTTCTGCTCCCCCCTCCCCACGCCGCACTCACCTGCCGCGAGATGTTCTCCCGCCCGACCTCGTTGAAGGTGCGGTCGCGGCCGTCCACCTGGTGCAGTGCGCCCGCGGAGCTGGAGGGCACCCAGGCGGCGCTCTTGGAGCCGTCGCGGTCGCGCTCGGGGGGCCAGCGGGGGCTGCGGGGGGGGCGGGGCGGGGGCGGGGCGCAGGGAAGGGGAGCGGGTGGGGTAAGTGGGGTAGTGCGGTAGGAAGGGAGCAGAGGTGGTGGTGGTGTTGAAGAGGAGCCGGATGGGCACTTCCGAGAGCATGTTCGGTAATGCCAACAGCCCGAGTACGTGAGTACCGTAGCAATACCCAGGCCAAGCCGAAAGCGCGGGGCGGTTCCCATGCAGTACATGCCACCCCCGCTGCCTACCCCCCACACGCATGCGCCCCTCCCCGCAACCCACGTGCACGCCCCCCCCTCCTCCCTCCCTCCCTCCCTCTCACATTGGAATTTCTTTTTTCCCCTTCCTCCCTCCTCACCCATGTCGCGCCACGAACTGGCTCATCTTGACCATGGCAATGGCCGCCCGCAGCTTCTTCTGCCGCTCCATGTAGTATATCGCCACCAGGCGCTTCCAAGTGGTGCGCTTGGGTACCATGCGCGTCTCCTCCTCCTCCCCGCCATCACCGCCGCCCCCCGCATCTCCGTCCTGCGCACTCTTCTTCTTGAGGTAGTCCGGGTAGTACTGCTCCACCTGCTCGAAGTCGTACAGGGTGGTGTCGGGCCGGTCGGGCGCGGGGCGGCGGGTGCCGCGGGCGCGGACCTGGGGGGGGGGGGGAGCGGGTTGGGAGGGAGGTGGCGTGAGGTGGGTGGGTGGGTGGAGGTTTGGAGGGATGGGGCGAGAGAGCGCGCAAGGAATGTTGGTGTGACTGCACAGATGTCAATGCAAAGCTGCTATGGGGTTGAAGGAAGGCTTCCTGAAGGTCAGCACCATGGCTTTCTTCGCTTCACACACCGAGAGATGACAACCCAGCCGTTACTGCAAGTCACGGAGTTGGGCCGCTGCTGGACATGAGTCTGTCCGTTAGCCAGACACACGCGTGATCGCATGTCGTATGCCAGTATGCGTCTATGCCATGCAGCGTCAGGCTGCGTACCATGATTGTGTTGCTGGTGGTGGTCGCGAACTTGTAGCCGCGCTCCTCGAAGTAGCGGCGGACGCGCTTGTCGAACGTCTCGCCAATCTCACCCGCCATCTGTGCGAGGGCGGGGTGGGAGCGAGCGGCAGCGGTTAGCGGGGATGCAAGCATGTAGTGTGAAAGGATAAGGTTTTGAGCGTTGCGTCTGTAGGTGTATATATGTGGCAGCGCCGCAAGCAGCATGCGGCTGTCGGATGCCTTGTTTGTGAAGGAGCAAAGGGCAGTGATCCGCGCAAATCTCAAGCTTTGCGAGAAGGCTATTCGTGCCCCCACCGCTTCACCAGCCCCCACCTCACCAGCGGACTCCCGCTGATGTTGAGGGATGATCAACACTACATATACCTCTGGATTGGGAAGGAAGTAATACGGCCTAGGGCCGGGCGCTTTTCCTTCATCAACGGCAAGGCCAATCGCTCACATTCGCACGCGGGCCCTTCCCCAGTTGGCCTATAGTGCTTCGACCACCCCCACCTGGTCCTTCGTCTTGACCAGCGCCCGGATCATGCGGTTGACCAGCCGCTCCAGAACCACATCGCCCTCCGTCGCCTCGCCGTCATCCACGAACCTGCTCGGCGAGGGGGGGAGGGCCGTTGAGCGAGGCTGCTTTAAGGGGGCAGGTGCATGCAAGATGCGGCCAACGTAGCGCACCCCCAGGGGCAAGAATGCAATGGGGTGACAGCCTAGGCCTGACGAGGGCGATGTAGCAGGGAGGCCTCGTCCAAGCTTTGCGTGTTGGTACTTGGCAGTGTCCAAAGGTTGCCCGGCAGCCACGGGCACTAGGGCATGCACCGACTGAATGGGTGTGTGCCGTACCCACGCCGTGGCTCTATAGCTCTGGCGTGCTCGTTCCCCGTGCCGGTCCGCGCTTACTTTGCAAACCAGCGGCTCAGTCGCGTCTTGTCCTTTGCGAAGCTGCGGTACTGCGCCAGCTCCGCATTCTCACTGCCGCGGTTGAACTTCTTGTGGTAGCTGCTGTTCTTCACACTGCCGGGAACCTGAGGAGGCGGGGGGGGGAGAGTTGTTGCGGGGAGTGCCGGACGGGGAAAGCAAATGCGCCGATGCATCTATCTGCCCCAACCACACTGCCACCCATCTCCATCCCTGCCCTTAATACTTCCCCGCAAAGCAAAGCCCTCCCCGCCAGGCTCACCCAGTAGTTATTCCAGTGCTTGCTCTTCGCCTGCTCCTCATCCTCCTCACCACCGCCACCACCGCCCCGCCTCGCCATCCCCAGCCTCTCCCTCCGCAGCCTCCGCGCCTCCTCCTTCGCCTCCCGCTCCTTCCGCATCTTCTCAAACTCGTAGTCCATGCGCCGCCAAAAGGGCACTCGGCTGCCCAGCGCCTTCGCCACGATGTCCCGTACGGCACCCGCAGGCACGTCCTGGATGCGCAACGTGCGCGGACGGAACGTCAGATCCAGCTCCGGATCATCCCCGGGCCGCCGAGCAAAGCGCTCCGGGTAGGGGTTCAGTCGTGTGCCACGTCCCACAGGCTGCCATGGTACGGCAGCGTCGGCGCCGTACTCTGCGTCCGCAGCGTTGGCGGCGCCGCCGCCGTGGCGGTCCGCGGCGGCGGAGGCGGCGCCGCCGCCGGAGGACAGGGGCAGTGTCATGCCGGGTCGGCGGTTTGCGGCGGTGAGGTCGTCCTTGTGCTTGGCTTCTAGGTCCTTCAGCTTGCCGCGCAGTTCGGCCATCTGGGCCTCGGTGAGGGCCTTGTTGTTGGCCAGCTGCTCGATGATACTGCGGAGGCAGGGGGCGTGTGAGGGCGGGGAGGAGTATGCGATGTGGAGTGACTTGGTGTCAACAGCAGCAGCTGGGCGGCTGGACTGTGGCTCTGAGAGTGAAATGCCATTCTGCACTTGCAGTGGATGGATGGCAGCCCTGACCCTTGTCAAGCTCCGGCGGCCCGTGGACTGCAACCTACCAGCGCTGCCCTCAGACCAGGCATCCTGCGCCCCATGCCATATCCCAGCACCCCAGCACTCCTCTCACCCCACCCATCCTTTCCCCCCCCCCCCCTCAACTCACGCTGCATGCTGCGCCGCCCGGTGCCGCGCCCGGTCCAGCTGGTACAGCAGCTTGGCCCGCTGCTCGTACACCGTCATCTTACCCAGTGCGGGACCCAGGTAGGGCTCGGGGGGGATCACGCCCGCACCCGCACCCGCCGGCCGCCGGGGGCCCTCCTGCAGGGCTGCACGCCGCCGCAGCTCCGCAACCCTGGGGGTGTGTACATGAGCGTGTGTGCATGAGCGCGGCATTCAACCCCGCATGAGCAGGCGGAATACGACTGACATACGCACCGGTACCGGTATGTATCGGCCACAACACCCCCTACGAATGCCGCATACTCATACGCGCAAAGGGCACATCCCTCGCAAACAGCCCCTCAAGCACACTAACCCTAACCCCCCCGCCCGATGGGGACGGCTCGTTGCTTTACCCAGCCCTCATACTTGGCTCTCCTCTCCCTCCACCCCCTCATCCCGCCCCCCCGTCCCCGTCCCCGCCTCACCGCTCCGCCTCCGTCCTAGCTCGCTGCACCGGCACCCCGGGCGGCAGGCCCCGCTCCGCCCGCTCCTTCTCTGCCGCCTCCGCCGCCTCGTGCAGCTCCGCAATCGCGCCCAGCAGCGCCCTGCGGTGCCCCAGCGGCAGGATGCGCAGCTCGCGCGCCAGCTCCGGCTCCCCCAGCGCCAGCAGCAGCGTGCCGTCCACCGAGTGGTGCACGAACTTGGAGCGGTACTGCCCCATGCCGATGAACTCCACCCAGGTGGCCACCTCGCGAACTGGGGAAGGAGGGGGAGAGGGGTGGGTAGGTGTGGCAGGCAGCTTAGTTGCACGGATAAGCTGTGCACACTGAGGGAATACACCTGTTTCACACAGTGATTACGGTACTACCCCAACCACCAAGGCCGGAACCAACCCGCCCAACCACCACGGAAATTACTCCTCCCATTCCCCTCCCCCACTCACTGTCCCAGGTGCTCGGGTGGCGGCTCATCATGTCCTCCAGGATAGCCGCCTGCCGGTCGCGGGGCGGCAGCGCAGACAGCGCACGGCGGCGACCCCCCTGCGCATGCGGCCCGCGGGAACGCGGATGCCCCGCGGAACTGGGCCGCCCCCGGTCCCCATCGTAGCCGCCGCGGCTGTGGCGGATCTCCCCGTCCCAGCTGACGTCATCCGCAAAGTCGTCCTCACCGTCATCCTCGCTGTAGTACTGATCGTCCTCGTACTGATTTTCACCGCTGTCGTACGGTCCCGGAGCCGGCGGGCGGTGAGGGTGTGCTGGTGGTGGTGGAGGGGCGTGGTGGGGCGGGGCGTGTGTTGCGGGCGCAGGCACACGTCGAAAGGCCGCCGCAGGGGAGGCCCTGTCGTCGTACATGTCCCCATCGTCGCCGTACGTGTCTTCGCCGTACATTTCTTGGCTGCTGTAGTACTCGCCTGAGGGCTCCCTGCCGTGGTTCCGGGGTGGGATGCCGCGTGGCGGCGGCCGGCCGTTCCGCTCCAGTGAAGAATCCACATACGAATCCTCGTAGTACGAGTCCTCGTATCCCTCCCTGAAGCCCCCGCCCTGCTGCGGCACACGCCGGAACGTCGCCTGAGGCGGCCCGCCGCCCGGCAGTGGCGGGGACGGCGGCGGCGGGCGGTTCAAGCCCTGCCGCGGCGCGTCAAAGTACGCTTCCTCCTCACTGGCAAAATCGTCCGCTAAGCTGTCCTGGGGCGCAGGCGACCGGTGCGCTGGCGCCGCCCTGTTGCCGCTGCTCACGCTCTGTGCTCGCCGGCTGTTCAGAGAGGCGATCCTGGCCACCTCCCGATCAGCCTCATCCTCAATGCCGTAGCCTCCCTCTCCCTCCTCGTCGTCCATGTCCCCAAAATCATCGCTTGGCATCGCAGCCGCGGGCCGGGCGTCACGGTGCATGGAGGGGCCCCTCGCAGCTGCTGCCGGCGGCGGCCGACCAAGGCCCGACGGCTCCGCTGCCGGCGGCTCCTGGAAACTGATCTTCTTCGCCAGCGGAGGAGCAGGGGCGGGAGGAGGTGGAGGTGGCGGCGGCAGCGCCGCCGCTGGCCTCTTCGCCGCGGGTCCCTCCTCCCCCAGCAGCTCCGCTAGCTCCGAGTCCTCTGCGTCCAGTCCGTAGCTGCCCGAGGCGCCAGCTGAGGGCTGCTGGGGGGCAGCTGCTGGCACGATGGGTGTGACACTGCGCCCCGGGGGGGGCAGGGGTGCGGGTGGCAGGGGTGAGGCAGCGCGGAGCGCGTGCTGCTGATGGTGATGGGGCGGTTGCGGCTTGTCGTTCAGCAGGTCCGCCAGCTCTGAGTCGTTTGCGTCCAGCTCCAGGGACATGGAGGGATCGGTGTAGTGGGCGGGAGGAGGTGGCGGTGGTGCCGGTCGTTGGTGGGCGACGGGAGCCGGCGCGTGGTCGATTTCGATGTCACCGCTATCATCGCCAGCGGTAAGTTCTAGGTCATTGCTAAATTCCTCTGCGTCCTCGCTGAAAAGGTCGCCAGAGGTGGCATGCCGGCGGGATGGCGCAGGCGCAGATGGCCGCGGAGGTGGGGCCGGTGCAGCAGGGCGCTGAGGGGGCGGCAGGCTTCTGCCTCCGCCTCCGCTGTCAAAGTCACCATCGTCATCGCTGAATAGGCTATCGCGTGTTGCCCCAGCGCCTGCCTGCGGGGCCAAATGTGCATGGCGGATGCGAACAACCTTTCCTTGCTGTGCCCTCACGACCCAGTTGATAACTTACCCGCGGTTTAACTGCAAAGTCGTCTCCATGCTGCGATAAGGGTTACGCATGGCTGTTAGGTAGTGGGCCTTTGTATCGACATCTGGAGCTGTCACTTACGTCTATCGCCAGGTCGCCAGTATCGTCCAGCCCAAAATCGTCGCTGTCACTGTCCATTCTATGCAATCATTTCTAAGAAGGAGTCCAGAGTTCTAGGACCTGGACGTCGTGTGGTCAACGATACAGCACAGAGCGCACGAAGACGTGGGTTACTAAGTAAGGATCAGTCTCTTAGTAGTATGGTAGCTGTGTTTGTTGGCAACAGTACAGAGGCTTGTTAGGGCGACAGCATGGATAGCAGGCATTACGGCAATCGGGGCTTTAGCTATGCACAAATGGCCTTCTAATAGACAAGGCATATCCTTTAAAGTAAGGCCTCGTTATCATGCGTGCAAAACTATTGCATTCCACGAAAACCAGGTGCCACGATGAAACCGACGACGGTTAACAATTGGATTCGTCATGCGTCGTTCCTTCCTCCATGCATGGCGCGCAACCGCCATGTACCACAGCACCCAAACGGCAGGATATGGGATCCCGGTGAGCACCATCCGCTGCACACGGATGCTTCGTATGCATCTCAGCACACGAGCCGCGCGGCAAAGGCCTGCCAGCCAGCCAAGGAGCCCAATTCTTGCAATGCGATCCTGCTTATCCCAGGCCGTGAGGCTAATCAACAGAGCCTAGGTAACACTGACAGTGCGGGGGCTGTCAAGGACCTGCAGTATTGATTTCACGCCTTATGCACGCCTGTGCAACAAGGGCATGTAGCCCTCATCGATGGGACAAGAGAGCATGGTATGGCAAGTTACCCATGCTTACATTTGTGGTCTTCCAAATACGTGCAAATCGTAGGTGCAACACACACAGGGCCAGCGCGCTCTTAACAAGGGCCAGCGCATGCACCGACATCTCTACCGCCGTCAACCAACGTACATCACTAACAGCATGCAGTTATTCTTAGAAACTCAAACACGTGACTGCCCAGCATGCATATTCAAAAGGCATGCAAGGACATCACTGCCGCCATCACCTTATCAACGGAAGCATTACACCACGCTAGCATGAGGACAGAATACCATAAAAGCCAACAATAGAATAGAATACCTTGACACCCTAGACCGTACACCCCAGGCTACTATACATGCAGGACATACCCTTACACCTCCCTAAACACACACAATGTCACAGTGGGCTCTCTGGCTCTCCCAACGGCAACTCCTTAACCGTCACTCCCTGTCAACAAGTGCTCCGGAATACCATACATGCTCTACGAAACCCTCCCCTCCTAACACGTCAAGTCCATACTCATAAGCTTAGTCCATAGGTTTAAACAGTCTTATCGGGCAAAAATTTATTGGGACGGCCCCTGTAGACATTAATATCTTTTGCCGGCAAAGGATAGGAAGAGCTTGCGGCAAAGGCACAACGCTCGCATCGAGAGTGTCATACCGAGTAACAAGCCCATAATACCGATACATATAGAGCTGAGCTTGCGAAAACCGTATTCGCAAAACCCAGGAATTAACGAGGCTGTTTTGGTATACGGCCTTGAGCGTGAGACAGCCTAATGCGCCTTGTAACGATGCGCGCGTCCCGACTCTTGGCAACTGGCGAAGCGCAGCAGTGCTTGTCCACACTCACGCAAACAAAGACTGCTACCATACATCTGCAAGCATACAAGGCCCTGCCTGGCACGAAACGCACATCCGACAGGCAAAGGCGTACTATGGTTACAACCCCAACCCCGCAACACCCCCAAAACATGGTATGCAGGGTTCCCTAGCGCGCACCATCCTCCACACCAACCGCTTCTGCATGAACCAACAACCAAAACCAACCGGCCGTAAACCAGCTGCCCCACCCGAACCATGCTATTGCTGAACTGCTAAAACGCCAAGCTGTTCTGCCTGCGCAGCTGCTGGCTCCGCTTCGACTTGAGCGCTTTCACGTTGTTCAGGTTGCTTGGCATGGACTTGGACCGCTTCATCAGCACCGCCAGCCCGCTCGCCATCGCCACCGCCAGCAGCCCCTTCACACCCGATGGCACGCTCTTGCCACGCGGCAGACCCGCGCTGCTCGCGCGCCGCAACGAGCTGTTCGTACCGCCCGGCGAGCTGCTCTCCAGCGAGCAGAGCGACAGGGAGCTCATGGACGTCTGCATGCAGCACCCGGCGCCGCCGCGGGGGCTCTGGGGGGCCGCGGAACCAGCGCCGGGCGGGTTGGGAGCGCCGTTGTAGCCGTAGGCCATGGGATCGGCATCGTTGGGAGGCACCCCGCGCTGGCGGCGGCGTGCTACGTACACGGGAGTGCGCTCCGCCAGCGTCTTGACAAAGCCCCACATGCCGTGTCGTGCTGCGAAGCGCGCCATGTGCTCGCTGATCTTGAACTGCTCGTGGTGCAGCAGCACCGTCTCGCAGGCAGGGCGGTCGGTGCCCCAGGGGCAGGCCACGGTGCGGGAGCGCCACATGGAGTAGTACACGTCCATCTTGACCACTTGCGTGGCGCGGCGGGAGCTGGGGTGGTCCACCACCTAGGGGCGCGGCAGGGAGGAGTTGGAAGAGGGCGGCAGGTGGGGTTACTCGCTGAGCCTCCTGCAAGTTGCGTTACCCGTGAAACATCGACATCTGCGGTGGTGGTTAACCCAGTGGTGTTCCCCAGACCAAGCCACAAACCGACGGATCCGCCATTACAACGGGTTGGTTTCTCTTTGACCCCCGAATCCGCCCGGATTCCGCGACGCCTTGCGCGCTGCGCACCTTGGTGATGCCGTACAGCCCGTCCTCCGTCGTGAACATGCGGCGCGCAATGGTGTACTCGCGGTCCGAGAGGAACTTGATGGGGAAGCGGCGCACCCAGCGCACCACCTGCTGCCGGTGCGAAAAATCGCCATGCTCCACCACCTCATGGTGGATGATCATGGTGTCCTGCGACATGGGAGGGCAGGGGCACTGGTCAGGAGCCTTGCCGTGCGTGACACGTGGGTTCACTGCTCCGATATGATATGACTGTCAATAGCAGTTCCTTTTCACTTTCAGAGTGGCCAGGAAACCATGCTTGGCACGTGCATGACGGTGGTTACGCACTCACCCATGAGGGCCTGAAGTCATCGTCAAAGTAAAGGTCGGTGAACTCCTGTGCCGTGGCGTCAGCACTGTGGGTAACGCTCTTGTACTCGGTCTTGCCGTTCTGCTCCCGAGGGGAAGGGCAGCAAAGGACAGGCAGGTCAGACCGCGCCTATGGAGTATCTTGGGCGGACCCAAAACTGATGGACTGGTCCACGCTCGTGGGAAACGGCGTGGTAATGGGTACCAAAGCATGCTGGAGCAGAAACGCATATCATTATACGAAAAGCCTGCTGTTAAGCGCTGCAACTGGGTATGGGTATGGTCATTAATTAGCTCACCGCCAGCGTCCTGCGCCATGCTGTGTATTTCAGGCAGTTGGGGATTTCCTTCTCCATTAGCACCTCCCAGGCCGACGCCCCAGGGCAATCACCGTTCTCCTCCGCGTGGTAGCGGAAGAAGGCGAGATCCTTTTGCGTCACATACCTGCAACCACCAGTGCAAGCTCTTAGCGACAACGTGTTTGTGGCATGCCATGTGAAATGTGAGCCTGCACCTACCAGTGATCCGCGTCGCGGGTGCTTTTGGTCGCTCCCACGTCCTCAATCGTTTTGTCAGCTACCACGGCGGGAAGCTCAATGTAGAAGCCCTTCCCCGTGAAGCCACGAATGATAGCCTTGCAGAACGCCCTGAACGTACCCGGCGCCGTGTACTGCTTCCAAACATCCCTGCAATCCAAACGTTTAAAAGCAGTGAAGAGCTAGCCTAACAGCACATAATTAGCCTAAAGCTGTGTTTAATCCGCACCTTACAATGACAGCCACGTGGTAAAAAGCAGCCCAGCGCCGAATATGAGGTCCAGAGAAAAACAGAGCCCAAGAAGTAGCCGATTGTGACTTGGCCGAGGCAGGACGGGGCAGCTGCACGAGCCGGATTGTCAGGAGCAGCTCGAGGGTCACGCCAGGGAACCGCAATAGAACTGATATGCCTTACCAGATAACCCATCAGAGCACCTAGGAGCCACACAGGCAGCACAGCTGCCACCACCTGCCAGAGAGCCCCTGATAGGGGCCAAACTCCAAAGGCGGCCATTATCTCTGACCTTTGCGCCGCTGCGCGGTAAACGTAAAGGATTACTAGTTTGGTCTTTGGAGACAATGAATTTGCAAACCTACGTCCTTGTCAGTGATCTCTTTGTACGGAAAAGGTCGAGACGCATCAGAACTTATCCTGGTTCCTTGCACCAGGCAAGCCAAGATGTTATTTTGGCATATTTATCGCAGCGTGAAGCCCTTTGCATTAACTAACACTATTTGCTGCCACAGCGTAAGGGGCGGCATATGCTCGCAGCTTGTAAACATACCTTCCACGGAAGGCTGCGTCAGATACACGCCCTTCCTCTTCCAGATAAGTTATAGTGGAGTCGTACAAGGAGAAAGCCTTTTGATGGAAACTGTTTACTGATTCAGGGTCTTCAGGGTCAGGGATGCATAGCCAGGAAAGGCTTATTGAAATCCAAGCGCATGAACGATGTTGGGAACTAACTAGTATGGCGCAAACCATGCTATAGCCAGAGGGAAAGCACCGAATTAATAAATAAAGATTAGGCCCTGCTGGGCCCACGGGCCACTACCCAGGCCCCGCTGGGCCCGCGTACCGTCCTACGGGCCCCATGGCGACGTAACTCGGGCATAGGCCCTCCAGTGCGGCGGCGACCCTCATTTGTGTCGTCCCACTCCGTCTACAGCTTGACGTATTCGCTCAAGACTTGGGGTTCACCCCTCGCCCGCTGCAACCGTAACAAACCATCCCCGCACAATGCGACGTATCCAACCATCTACGGCGCCTCAATGTGCTTCGGTGCGGACAGGATACCACTGGTGTCACTTGGGCATTCACGGCTCCAGGAAAGGCAGCAAGCATGTCTCCGAAGAAGGTTGCTCACAACAATGGACCGCGCGAAAATTTGGAACACGTGAGGAGGAACATAGGAATAAAACAGCCTGCTGCTTGCTAGAGACGAAGGATCAAGTCAGCACGTCCAGCTGCCGCCGCTATCGCCGGAATCCAGCCCTATGGTGCACAGAGCTGCAAGTGCTGCGGTCGCCAGCCCGCTGACAGAGCCTGCAGATGAAGAAAGAGAGAAGCAGTAAAGCACCAGGCCGCCAACTCTTAACAAGCACAGCGTGTACAGGAAGGAGCAGCGCGAGGACAAGCCCCCATCCCGAAAGCGACGCACCCCGATCAGTACCTGCTTAGCAACGCGACTGGTTCAAGCCATGCAGGCGCAGCATGCCCTCTTCTGCCGCTCATGTGCCCCAAAGGCGGCCGCGTACAGTGGGTGAACGGTCCGCGGCCACGACACCAGTCCCGGGAGCACTCTCCTTCAGATACGCGGGCGCTCCTCAACAGCTCCGTACCACCCGCCCCAGCTCCCCGCGCAGCCCTTCATGGCCCCTCAAGGCACTCCACCTTCACCTCCTGCGCTCCCCGCTTCCTGCCGGCGGTCCCGACTCCGTGCGCTGCTGGCAGACCAGCTCCAGCAGGCGGTGGCACTCGTCCGTGCTGATTATGGAGGCGTGCAGCGTGTAGAACTCCGTCAGCTCGGAGACCACAGCGGCCACCTGCGCGGTGGCACGTGGGCGCCAACAACATGTTCATGGCACGCAGCATGCAGAGGCCCACATGCCGGTACTAGCATGGCATCCATGTACCGGTATCCATAAACGAAGTACGAAATAGTGGCTTGTACCCGACGGTGCGTGTGTTATTGCAAGTCCAACGCCTGCTAACGCCGGCATGCCAGAACATGTCCCTGACCCATGCCAATACCTTCAACCCAACAGCTATGCAGCCGTTTCGCAGCACTCCTCGCTGCCCGCTGCCACCTACCTGACCCAGATCAACATTCAGTCGCTGCAGCCAAGGGGAGATGTCCACATCGCTGGAGCCGCACGCCAGGCACAAGCAGCCTAGCGCCACTATGTGAGGCGGGTAGAGGAGGTTGACATCGCAGCGATAAGAGTCGGTCAGGGCGCCCCATGCGCGCTGCGCACACGCCTGCTCGATGCCGGCATCCGCAAGGAATGTCGCAAGGTCGCGATAGGGGCTAAACACGATGAGGTTGAAGTCCAACTCCTCAAGCAGGACCTGTTAGGTAGGTACCGAGGCGGGGGGCTTGACGGTGTATGCGAAAGCACCATGCCGTGGGTTTAGACGCTGGGAGATGAGGAAGAAGGATCGCTGATGACCCTGGGTTGACCCATGTTGTCAAGCCCGTATGCAACCTTACCATCTCCATGTCCAACAAGTCCTTCACATCAAAGGTCCACCTCGGTCGCAGAATTTTCGCATGGCAGCCTAGGTGCTTAGCTGCCAGCAAGGATTCTTCGGCTTTGCATGCCAAGTAGAGACAGGCCACGTACACAAGCCGCGGGTCCATCCGGCAGAAATTGTTGCCAAGGTATGTTCTGCGGAAGTATATCATAGCCGACGCAGCGACCCTGCACGCGGAGGTCACAGACGCAAATTAGACTGGCCCAAGGGTCCAGGATGCATGACATAGGCGTCCAAGCCCTCACCTTTGGCGAAGCTTAAGCTGTTTTGCCAGTTCGGCGATGCCTGCAAAGTTGGCCCAATAAATATCGGTTTGAGGAAGAGTCAAAATGTGGAGATTTTAACAGAACCCTTACTTGCGCAGAAATATACATTAAGCTGTTGAATATGTTCTTGGGTAAGTCCTTGAAGCCGATCCTCGGCGTGAGAAGACTCCAGCTGTTCCTTGGACACCAAGTTACGCCTACATGCCCAGCACTAGATAAAGAACAACCCAGCAAACCCGCAGCAAAGGACATAAAAACCTACGAGCAGTGGGAGTCCCAATAGCTTGCAGCCATCGCAGAGGAAAGCTTGGGCGGACAATAGTGTGCTTGTAAGTGCCAAATTAAGGCTAGCCAGGATCCTATTTAATAGTGAACGCTTAATTGCAATGCTAACAGCGGGGAGCCTGAAGAGCCAATTGTATTGGATGCCTGTTTTAGGGTTGCCGCATTTACCGGCAAGGACGTCTTGTACGGCAGTTAGGCCCTGACGGCAGTTAGGCCCTGAGTGTTTCTACTCTTGCATCCTCTGGCGGGGCCGTTGACGATCGTTATAGAACAACCTAAGCAGCAGCAGCGTTGGCAGCAGTAGCAACCCTGGCAGCAGGGCTCAGGTGGGAGAAGTGGAGCGCCGCGTGGGCAGCTAAGCCTGAACGGGCCTAATCCTAGGTCCTGTGCATCTTCCTGTGGGCAGCTGGGTTGTGCTTGGCGTACCCTCCAACCCCAGTCTTCAAGCCCCTGTACTTTACCCGGTGTACTTGTCCCGCCATTGACATTGCCACCGGAAATTCGCAGCCCATACCGTGGCTCGCGGGCTCATCACAAGTGGGGCCATACAGGAGGCAGCCCATGCACGTCCTCGGAGGGTTTGCGTGGTTTCACGAAAGCAGCCTAACGTTCCACATCGGAGGGGCCCTGGTCCCGTCAGCTAGCCCTCCACAATGCGTCCTTGTTCATGGCATGCTACAGATTGGAACCTACCTAAACTGGGTTTCCCCTTGGTGCCCTAGCCATACTACTGCCCGCCAAGTTGCACTGATCTGCTGTTTACTCGCCGATTGCCGCAAGGCGCCCTAGCGGCCTGTGACGTGCCTATGTTTCTTAAGACATGCACCCAAGCCTGGTACCGTATCAGACGTCAGCACGGAGACCTCATCTGTCTTCCTCCCATAGCACGCGTTTGTACCACATGACCGTACTCGGAAAAGCTCTGCCTGCGACACGAAATCCTGCTTCCTACCTACCTGCTCTCGTTCATCCCTCACCTTCTACGCTATCAGCTAAGCCAAAATACCAACAGTTTCTAACTGACACTTCCGCTAGCGCCTCCGCTGTTCTCTTTGGCTCCTGTATTCTTACTACGCAACATACGACCCTCGGCGTCCTGCATGCTGCCCCTGCCACGGCAGCATCCCGCTTCTCCCACCAGTCACCCTGCTGACCCGCGCCAAACGAGAGCCCCTGCCAGTGGCGGTTAGGAAGGCCCCTCGCGCCATGGCTGCTCCGCAAAGAGCCACAGGCAGCATCAGCAACGGAGCTAGAGCACCACCATCGCCCGGCCCCCTCCGGCCTCTCGCCGCTACCGGTAGTCCGAGTCGTAGGGGTCGTCGTAGCCCTCCTCCCCGCCGTCGTCGTCGTCGCTGAAGCCCAGCTCGTCCTCGTCCTCCGGCCCCAGCAGCACCGGCTCGCCCAGCTGACCTGCAGCCCCCACACACCCAACCAGACTTGCTAACACATCGATATCCCAGTTGCGCAGGAGCATTCCAAAGCTTGCATGGTGGATCAGGAGAGAAGCCAAACGTGCTGTAATACACAGTTCACACAGTTCACTACCACGAAGTAAGCGCGGGATAGGTTGGTATTTGGAATGCCAGTACGGTATGCGCACCCCTAGGGACAACATGCCTCCATGTCGCACCTGTCCACTCCTCCTCGGCCTCGGGCTCCTCTGTCGCAGGCGCCTGCGCCTGCGCCTTGCCGCGTGGAGCCGCCGCCCCTCCAGCGCTCTTGCCGCCCTTGCTCTTCGACCCGCCAGCCGCCGCACCGCCCTTGGCCTTGGACCCTCCCTTGGCCTTGCTGCCTCCACCAGCTGCCCCCGCGCCACGCCCTCCGATCACCACCACCCTGGACCTGGACACGTTCTTGCCGCTCGCCGCCGCAGCGCCGCCCTTGGCTCCTGCTGCCGCGGCGCCGCCCTTGCCGCCAGCCGTACCCTTGCCCTTACCCCTGCCTTTGCCGTCGGCCGCCGCAGCTCCTGGCGCGGTGAGCAGTCCCTGTCGGTCCGCGTCCGCCACGCTCTCACGCATCTCCTCCAGGGGCAGAGTGAACTCCCGGGCGCGCAGCGTCATCAGCTCGGTGGGCAGCTCGGGCACCCGGCGGCTGGCCTCACGCACGCGACCTCTGTCCGCCAGGACTGCGCGGGGAGGAGAGACACGCGGGGAAGGGGTTGCGGACTAGGATGCTGACGGTGTATGATGTCCAGCATCCCAATCCGCCGCGGCATGCCACTGCAACAGCAGCAACCACACCCGATGCCCGCAGCAACTCAAGTCCATCCCCTTCCCCTACAATGGTATCGTATCGCATACCCAGCATTCCAGCACACGCATTTGTTCATCACCCACCATTCGTAAGCACCACCGCGCCACCACCAACCGTCATCGGCAGTGCCGCCGACGCCGGCGGCGCCCCCGCCTCGCCGCCCTGCTTCTCCGCCGCTGCCGCCACCGCCGGCTGCGCATCCAGCGGCGCGGGACGTACCGTGTACTTGTAGCCTGCCAGGCAGTCCCGGCCTGGTGGAGCACCCTGGCGGTACACAATGGCCGCGTCCAGGGCCAGCAGGCGCAGCGTGATGGCGGGCAGGGTGGGCGGCAGCCAGGACAGCGGCTCGTCGTTGGGGGCGGCGGCGGGCTGGCCGTCGGGGCGCTCCAGGGGAGGCAGCACCTGCGGTAGGGCAGACGGCGAGTGGGTTGTAATGATATCCTGCCTGTCATTTGAACACACAAGCTCCGAACCCAGGCAAGCAGCCCGTCCCATGCCCAAGCCGCTCCTCTCAACCCGGCTGCTCTCAACCCCTCCACGAGCCTCACAACGTGAGTGAAAGGCCTCTCCCCTGCCGCCCTACCTCCTTGCTCGCGTGACCCGGCAGCGCCGTCGCCACCTCCCTGCCCACCTCCACCCAGGCGCCCCGCACCAGCGGCGGCTGCCGGTGGAACACCGTTGCCAGCAGCCCGGGCGCCGCTCCGTCGGGCGAGGGCAGCAGCGCCCACTCCAGCTGCCCCAGGCAGGTGCGCAGCGCGGAGGGGCTGGCGGCGCACTGCACCCGCTCAACCCAGGAGGAGCTGCGACGGGCGGGGGTAACAGACGGGGATGTAACAGATATGTTCAAGTAACACTTGAAGCGCCGGAAGACGGAAAGGGAACCCCAACACAGCATGTCAAAAGCGAGACACCCCCGTTCCCCTGTCCTCATCCCCCCTCCAGATCCCCTCACCCAGCCCCTCCTCCCGCCCTCACCGGTCAAAGCCGGGGTCCACCGCCTCCTGCGGCACCGCCAGCTCCAGCCTCAGGATGTCCCGCTTCAGCCGCTGCATGCGCGCCGAGTCGCCCTCGCGCAGCTGCAGGTCCGCCGTGTAGTCCTCCCCGGCCACCAGCGTGCCGCTGGCCGCCAGCCGCACCACCTCGCAGCGCCCGCAGAAGGAGGACTCCAGCGCGGCGCGACACTCGGCGGACAGCGCCTCCAGCGGGGTGGGCTCGGACAGGGGAGCACCTGTGGGGTTGCAGTCAGCCAGCAGGAACGCGGCGTGTAGCGGCATATTTACTTGGCCTTTCCTTGCCTGCATGAGACTAATTGTCATACGCACAGCCACAGCATGGGTCCAAAACCATGGGCCCCGCGCCCGCCCTAACGTACACGGACGCCCCCACCCACATACCGGCACGCGTGCGTACCACAAACACACCCATCCTCCCATCGCACCCGGCATGCAGCGCTTGATCCGGTCCGCATGCTTGGCCAGCGCCAACGCCAGTTGCCCCTCCCGCAGCCCCCGCGGCTCCAGGCTGGCGCTCAGCTCGTCCAGCTGCTCGGGCCGCGTCAGCAGCCGCCAGGCGCCGTCTGGGGCGCTCTCCACCCACAGCCTCGCGTTGCCCGGCTCGTCCTCCGCGCCCGAGGAGAACAGCCAGTAGCGGTTGTGGCGGCGGTCGGAGCCCAGCGGCTCGGCGCGGATGGCGCACTCCTCTTCAATCTGAGGTGGGAGGCGGGAGGAGCGGGGGGGGGGGGTAAAGAGGTAAAGGGGCTAAGTGAGGCATGCTTTCCTAGTGGTGTAGAAGTGCAGGGCCCTGGCCTGTAGCTTGCTATCAACTACGTGAACAGTGCAGCGCCTCCACCGTCCTCAACCCTCAACGATACGCGCATGTCGGCGGTAAGGACAAACCTCCGCAGTTTCATAAGAAACACCCACACGCCAACCCGCCCCTGTCCCCGCCCCCTCACACCGCACCCGCTCCAGCTCCTCTGCGCGCTGCTGCCGCTTCTGGCGGTCCTCCTCCTCCTCCTCCGCCCGCTTGGCCGCCTCCGCAGCCGCCCTGGCAGGGTCGTGCGGTGCCACTGCAGCCGCACCACCACCACCACCACCACCACCAAAGATCTCCCCAGCGATGGCCCGAGCGTCCACAGCCCCCGCCGGGCCCCCAGCCTGCGGCACGGGGGTGGTCCCCCGGGAGCCGCCTGCAGCAGCGGCGCCCCCGGCCGCCCCAGCTGCCACGGCCGCAGCAGCTGCCTCCGCCCGCTTGCGTGCCTCCTCTGCGGCCGCGGCGGCGCGGGCAGCAGCCTCCTCCTGGCGCTTGCGCTTCTCGTTCTGCGAGGGAAAGGACGCGAAGAGGACGCCGTTACGATGCCGAGCCTTCGACTGCTACTACAACGTCACTGGTTCCAAACCTTCCAATGCACTGCGTACCAGCACCTGGCTAAGGAAGGATATCGCTCCCCAGACAGCAATCTTCCTGCCCATGGCCCCCACCTTGGCCTCCTCAAACAGCTGCTTCTTGCGCTGTGCGGCCTCGTTGATCCGCAGCTCCAGCTTGGTTCGCAGCGTGGGGCCGTCCAGCACCGAGTGGCACAGGAAGGACAGCGCCTGGATGCGCTCGCGCAGACCCAACGAGGCGTAGCTGCCCGTCAGCAACGAAGCGACCCACGGGTCACCCGCGCCGTCCGCGCCTCGGTCCGCCTCGGCATCCTCCTCCTCCTCGTCGCCACTGTACGAGTCGTCTTCGTGGTCGCCGTCCTGGCCGTGCTGCTGTTGCTGCTGCTGCTGCCCGGGTTGTGTGTCCCCTGCTGCCGCATCAGCCGCGGTGGAAGTTCCTTCGCCGCCGGGCTCAGGTGACGTGGCAGGACCAGCTCCCTGCTCCTCCTTGACCGCCTGCGGCAACAAGCAGATGCACAGTTTGTCAGGCGTCGGCATGGGGCCAAGCTGCAGACATGCTACCATCCTTTATTATCGGTAGCGGGATTCCCGGCCGTGCGCCACTCCCAACCCACTTGTCCATAGACCACTGTCCCCCCGCATGCCCCCACGTACCTCCTGCTTGACCGCGCCGCCGTCCACCTCCATAGGCCCCGCCCCGCCCTCCTCCTCCTGCTCCTCCCGCTTCACCACCGCCTCCTCCTCCTGCTCCTCACCCTCCTCCTGCTTCACCCCAGCGCTCTTCTCCTGCTTCGCCCCCTCCTCTCCACCCTCCTCCTCCTCCTCCTGCTTGCCCGCCTCCTCCATCTCCGCATCCCCATCCGCATCCCCACCGGCCTCCGACTTCTCCTCCGCGCCGCCGCCGCTGCCACCGCCGCCCGCCTGCCCTGCCGCCGCCCGCATGCTGCGGCGCTGCTCATTCCTGCGCCTGTGGTAGGCCACCACTGAGGTCAGCGCCCAGGTGGCGGGCTGCACGCGCATGAACAGCAGGTCGCGTGCCAGCGAGCCCGCGATCACCGCCTCGGGCGTCTTGGAGGAGCGCATCTCACGCAGCCCCGTGCGTTGGATGCGGCGCACCATGTCACCCACGGACAGGCCGCTGGGGCCCGCGGAGGCTAGGACCTGTGGGGGGGCCGGGGCTAGGGTCACCACACCAGCAGGTCCACCACCATACCAGTAACGCAGCCGGAGGGGACGAGGCAGCAGGGCAGGACAGCCGCTTGCCGTCAGGCTATCCGCACCAAACGCCTCAGCACATGCTAGCAAGCAGCAAGCTAGCACCGCAAGCTTGCCGGTATCAACAGGCTATTACGGACCATACGCCCCAGTACATGCTAGCAAGCAGCAACGCAGGCACACCCACCTGCCACGCCGCCGCCTTCACCGTGCCATGCACCAGCCTCGCCGGCATGCGCAGCTTGAGCGTGCCACCGGTGCTGCCGTCATCCAGCACATCCTCGTTCTCATAGCCCTTGATGCGCGGGCCCTTGGCGGCGCCTGCCGCCTCGCCGGCGCCCCGCCGCACGTGCGGGCGGGTGCGGCCGCGGCCCAGCACCACCGCCACCTGGCGCAGCACCTCGGGCCAGGTGAGCGCGTTGAGGTGCGCGCGCCAGGAGTCCACCTCGAAGCCCCACGCCCACGCCTCCTCCAGCAGCGCCGCATAGCCCACCACGGAGCGGTCCATGAAGTTGGGCGCCGCACCGGTTTGGCGCTGTGGGGGGGCGGGCACGTGGGGTGGAGTAGGTGCCGGGACATCACAAGAACAGCAGCGTGCAACAGCGACGCCCTTCTCCCTTTTGTAAGCTACAAAAAGGCGTAACTGCAGAGGTCAGGATCGCGAGTGCGCAGACTTACACCTTGCCTGATACGGTGATATCGGTGAGGTACGTTAGCACTAGCCACGCAGCCACCGCCCCTGCCCCACTGCCCTGTACTCACCCCCACCCGCTCCCGCTCATCATGCGCGTCCTCCATGTCCGCCTGCAGCAGCCGCAGCAGCGCGCAGTGCACCTCCCCCAGCAGCCGGCTCTCCTCGCCCTCCGCCAGCGCGCCCAGCAGACCCTCCAGCGAGGGCACCTCCACGCCAAACAGGTCCGCAAAGCTGCGCAGGAAGCTCCACACCACCAGCAGCTCAGTGCCCACCGCGCCGTTGAACCCATCCGGGGCCCCCCCGCCGCCTGGTGTCAGACCGGCCGCAGCGGCTGCCGCCTCATCATCATCCGCAGATGGCCAAGCCGGCTCCAGGCCCAGCGAAGGAGGTGGGAACTCGGGGCGTGGGAGATCCGGCCGCGGCCGCTTGCGTGGCTGCGGCGGCGGCGTTGCAGCTCCGGCATCCGCCATGGGCTGATCTCCTCCTCCTCCAGCTGCAGCTGCAGCTCCGGTCCCTGCGTCTCCGCCTGCTGCTGCTGCATCCGTGGCCTCCTCGTCTGCATCCGCCACGGTGGCCGGGTCGATGCCGGCTGCCAGGAGCAGCTGGCGGTACTCGAGCTCCTCGTCGTCGGGCGGCCCACCGGCGCCCTCCCGCCGCCGCATCACGAGGCGGCCGTGCTGGGCCAGGGCACGAGCGGTCTCCTTTTCCCTGGGAGGGGAAGATAAGGAAAGGGGCGAGTTAGACAATGGAGGTGTCGGAAGGGTGTAGCGTAAAGGACCACAGCCACGGTAGCGACTATGCTGTCTAGGAGGAAAGGGATGGTTGAAGAGTTTGGGGAGGGCAATGTTGCATGGGTGTAACGGACCTGCCGAGCCCCACGCCTGCCCACCTTTTCCGCTCCTCCACTGCTCTCCGGCGCTCCTCCGCCTTGCGCTCCTTCTCCCGTGCCGCCTCCAGCCGCCGCAGCTCCCGCTCCTCCGCAATCTTCATCTTCTCCACCTCCTTCAGCTTGCGAGCCTCCTCCTTGGCTGCGGGTGCGGCGCAGGGCAATGTGCAGGTGGCTCACGGCAGGGACCGGGTGGCGCAGTAATGAAGAGCTTTCCATGCGGGAAATGTGGGCTCCCATAACATTATGGATGTGTATAGACTGTACATAAAACGTGGACGTAGAGCATTCACGTAGCGGCCGGTATGATGGATAAAAGGCTACCATAGAAAGCAAGCAAGATTTTATTTGGATGCTGCACACTAGCAACTCCTTATGCATGCATGCATGCTGCAATGACGCAGCGCGCTCCTCATGCTCTCCCCGCTCCTCATGCTCCCCCCCTGCTGCTGCTGCTGCTGCTACCTACCCCGCTCCTTCTCCAGCTTGTCCGCCAGCTTCTTGCGCTCTCGCTCGCTGCGCTCCATCTCGCGGTGCCGCTCGTCCTCCTCGCGCTTGCGGTCGCGCTCCAGCTTCTCCTGCTGCCGCAGCAGCTCCCGCCGCAGCCGTTCCTGCTCCTGCGGGCGGGCGGGGTGCAGGACGGGATGGAAGGCGAGTAAGCGACGCAACATGAGCGGAACGCAAAACCCCCAACATGCAACACGAACGTGTGCGCTTATCTGGCCATGTGGTGGTCTTCCAAAGCACCTATCAGCTATCACATATGTCAGCTGCAGCCCATAGCTCTAGCGAACGACGTGCGTCGATCCAATAACTGCAGTGTATGCCCACTAAGCCGGAAACCGCCCGCACGTACCCTCTTCACCGCGTCATCCGCCCTGCGCCCGCCGGGCCCCTTGTACTCCGGGTCATCCGCGTGGCCCTCCTCCAGAAGCTGCTGCTGCTGCTGCAGCTCGCGCCGCCGCATCTCCAGCTCCGCAACCGTCATCACGCCCACCGGACCTGCGCCGCGGGGGGAAGGGCAGCAGTTGCGTGGGAACACGTGGGGGTACCGGTAACAGGGGAAAGCGGGTGTGAAGGGTACCAAGGTGGCGCTTCCGAAAGCGCCCAGGCGACACACTGTTATGCGACGGCTGTGCAAGGTGCAGCGGCGCTACCTCAGCAACACCAGCTCGAACCACGCGGTATAACCCCATGTGGCCTCAGGTCCCACTCCCTGCTAGCAATGCCCCGACCGTCCGCTGTAGCCCAACCACGCCGCCCCCGCCCTCACCCGGCGCCGATGGCTTCCCTCCCCCAGGCTTTCGCAGCAGCACGCTCTTCACCCCCTCTTCGTCCGCCTCCGCCACCAAGTCCTGACCCAGCACGATGCGCCGCCGCTTGCTGCTCGCGCCCACCAGCTGCTGCCCCGGCATCGGCGGCTCGTCGAAGAAGAAACCCAGCGGCGGACCGTCCTCACGGTACGGCACCGGCAGCGTGGAGCGCGCCGCCACACACAGTGTACGGATGCCCTCCCATGCAGCCGCGGCGGCGTCGCTCATCTCGTCGTCGCCCTCCTCTGTTTCTTCCTCGGCTTCCTGTCGGCTGCCGGCTCCGCTGCTTGCGGCGCCGCCACCGCCGCCGGCGATGCCGCTGCCTGCCGCGGCGGCGACTGCGAGGTGCGGCGGCGGCACATGCCGGGCTAGGCCGGCGGGGCCGCCGGGTGCGGGTGCTGGTGCTCCGGGCACTGGCGGCAGGCCGGCGGGCTGTGCTGGAGGAATGGCCGACGGCGTAACGCCCGCTGCTGACGTGGCAGCGGGGACGGAAGGGGACTGCTTGGGCGCCTTGGGAGCGCGAGGAGCCTTGGCTTTGGCGGAGCCCGGGGAGGTGCCGGAAGGTCCGGGCGTGCCCCCTGCCGGCGGCACATGGGGCAGGGTACCCGCCGGTGCACCGGACACCGCAACCACCAGTGAGGGAGCGGCGCCGAGGGCCGCGGAGGGTGCTGCGCCGCCGGGTGTGCCACTGGCGGCTGATGTCGTCGTGGCACCGGCCTTCTTCTCAGCCGCCTTGTCACGCCGGCGACGGTTGGTGAACCATGCCTGTGCGCATGCGGGCCGGGTTGTGGATGCATACAAGGCAGCTACAGCAAGACCTAGAGTGCGAGGAAACGTGCATGGTATCGTGGGTGTCTTGTGTGTTTCCTATACGTGGGTGGGGCCAGGGGGTGCGACTCGTGGTTGCAGTACTGACTCGGCAAGGCGCCCGAGGCAGGCCCCACCTGGACCTCCTGCTCTGTCAGCCCGATGCGGTCACCCAGTGCTTTGCGATGCTCCACGGACGGGTGCTGATTTACTGTCGAGGGCCAGGATAACAGGAAGGGTAGTAAAGGGATTGATGAAGGAAGAGGGAGGGGCACGAAAACGCTTAGCCCTTGGCTGAAGGGATACAGGTGCAGGAAGGGCAAGCAGTGGCGTTGAAGCACAGGATGTGCGGGGTTTGTGCAAGGCACGATACCTACGTTGATAAGACGCCTCCAGCACCTCCTTTTGTAGGGGAGTCTTGTTCTGCCTCGGCTTGGGGGGCGCTTTGGTCTTTCCCTCTGCGGGTGAGCAAGGGGCAGCAGCAATGATCCTTATCTTGTATGCCAAGCACCACCGGTACAATGATGATTGTATTAAAGGTAGTTACAGAAAGGGAGTCTCTCCCTCGCCATAGCGCGGCAAGGAAGCCAGCAAACGGCGATTCCCTTGGCGACAGCCCGGCCACCAGACGTCAAACCAAGGCTCCTATTTAAATTTCTCATAGGACAATGTTTGCCTGTATGAGCTCATGCAGCTTGGCGCGAAGTCTCACCTGCGGATGCTCCGCCTGCACCTGCATCCGCCGGCTCCATATCTCCTTTTGCGACTGACCCCTTTAGGAGCGGCGGATGTGCTCTTTCTACAAGCTGCCAAGCTGTGGAGGCAACATCTGTTTACTAGGCAGCACGTCTTTGAAACGATCTAAACAGGCTTGTCACAGTCTTGTAAACATAGTTAGGTTTCAGCGTTTACCAATCATATGTGTTTAATGTGGATAACAACCAAGCTTTGGGACCTCTGTTGCAGCCAGCCCGGGCGGCCCGCACACGCACCACCGACCGGCATCAAGAGGGCCCGGGTTTGGAAGGCGTTGGTGCCAAACAGTGCACCTCTAGGTGATTCTTCCCCTCCCCTCTGTCTCCTACGACTACTTATCGCCCCAAATATCTCATCCCCTTATCCGTTTTAATTCGGCCACCGTAGACGGGAGCTGCACGTCAAGACAACCGTTTCGTGTCCTGGAGAATGCGCATACACTGTTATCCTTTGCTTAAACGCGAACATAAAGTTAATCAGCATTCATCTGCTTAAAGACAAAAGCGCCAAACCAACTGTTGATTAATATGTCCGCGTCGGTTCAAGCCACCCATCGTTACCGTGAGCTGCGGGAAATATTTCTATACGCTTACATGCCCGTTGCCAGTTTCGAGCACACTAAGCACCAGGCACCAAGCAGCTATACCACAAGCCTTAAGGCACCGCAAGCGACCGCTACCCTTTCTAACGGCTTGTACGGCAGAGGGTAACCGCCAGGGCTACAACTCCAGGGCGCCACACTGCTCACCCATCTCCCTTGTGCTTGCTGACGTGCAAAGTAGAAGCCTTTCAAGCGCGGCACTACACGGGGCGGAAGGACTGCGGAACGCCATGAGTTACACTGCGCATGGGGTAGACTGTTATTTTATTTACATGCGCCAGACGACCTAGCGGCGTTTCCTGCGGACACCCTTCCCATGGTACTTCCTTCCTTCAGTGCCCAGTCCAGCCTAACCCACCACGGTCAACGAAGCAGTCCCAATGGTAATGAATTCTCCAGTTCACGGATGCCCTAGGTCAACGATGGTGACATGCAGCACCGTTACTATACCCACCACGAACGTGTGTAGTTGAGGATCATCTGAAAAACACACCTCCGTCCTCCTCCAATGCAAACCTGATGCATGGATCAAGCAGCCATTCACCCTAACCAAATCACAACGCACTCTTCTGCGTCCTATGTCGCTATGCAACACTATGCACCCCAAGCAGTCACGCCGATGACACATGCATGCTACACCCCACCCCACCCCACCCCTCTGGACATCCCTCTGGACACCCATTGCTCATGTTCACTATCTACAGCCGCATCACGCATTTCTTCAGCAGGAACACCCCCCCCCGGCGCCCCTTGGAGCCACACCGGCAGCCGCTACCGCGTATGACTGGGGCACCACACCTCCATGGTGCTCTCCTGCAAACAGGGAAAGCAAGGAAAGCGGCATTTTGGTAACAGCTCATCATGCCAAGTACGGAACATACCCGAGCCGCCCCTTGAAGCCGCCCAAACCGCCACCCCATGCCCCTCCATGCACCTGTACCCTGAGCTCCCTTTCCCCTGCGCAGCACCCTTTCCCCTCCGCAGCCCCCGCGCGCCCGCACTCACATCGAACTGGCACTGCACGCCCACCGCGCACGTGAGGTGGTAGACGGCGGGGCAGCCCTCCTGGAAGCACCCCACCGTGGCACCGCGCTCGCGGCACGTGCGGCACCGCAGCGCCCGACCGCGGCGAACCGCGGGACCCATGTGGTGCTGCGGTGAGGCAGGTCGGGAGGCGGAAGGGCGGAGGTAAGCGGGACGGAGCTATGTGTTGGTGGGGTGCGGGGAAATGACTGGTTGCATGCTTTGTCTACGAACCTAAGGGTGCAAGTGGAACTCGTGAACTGGGCCAACGCCCTTTGGCCAAAGATGGGTTACCGGATTTCAATAACATCCGCGCAAATGGCCTTGTGGTGAGCTCATGACTGGGATCGGCCACAAGGACAGAAGCACATGGTACGGTACCCCCCAGCTCCGCGCATGGGCCACTCTCCACCAGCCTACGCAGGCCCCACCCCTCCGTCCACTCACGTAGTACCCCGGGAAGAGGGGGTCCTCCTTGCACTCGGGGCACCACACCGCGCACTGCATGTGCACGCGGGCCGTCCAGTTGGAGGTGATGCGCACCTTCATGTAGGCGTCCGCCTTGTCGTCGCTGATGCCTGGGGTTAGGCGGGAGGAAGGGGGCAGCGGAGGCGGGTGGGCAAGGGACAGAAGTGCGGGAGCTGGGATGGCTGGCGGCATGGGATGGGTAGCTTCCGGTATGTTGGTTGCATGTTCGTGGGGCGCGGCGCTTCTTGCAGCAAACATCCACATGATAGCAACAGCCCAGCAACGCAGCCGCGCAACCAAGAGTTTCCCTCACCAAACACCGGCGGGTGCTCCAGCGGTGTGTTGCACAGCGCGCACATGTTGTTGGGGTTCTCGCCGTGCGGCGGGGCGGCTGCGATGGAGGCCAGCTCCTCCCGAGTCACCTGCCGGGGTGAGGAGGTGGGGGCCGGGAGGGAGACATGGCCGTGATGATGCCCTACAGGACAGCACCATGCATCCATTCAAGGCGCCTACGTCGCTGGACTGTTTGGCAGCTACATGAGATGAGCAGGGAGTGTGCATCACACCGTGTGTGATGCAGGTATGGGAAAGCACGGCCGCACCAGGTGCCCACAGCGTGCCTTCTGATGCCGTACCCCAACGGATACTTGCCCGGATCGCCACCCCGACTCCTTGTGGCATGCCCGTGCGGTCCATGAGGCCTCGGTAGCGCCGCCCGTTGTGCTCCACCACCACCTCCACGCGGTTGTGGTCCACCGCGCGCGCCTGCAGCAGCTGCGGCCCGCCGGGGTAGGCGTCGGCACCGCCGCCGGAGGGGCTGGAGCTGGCTGGTTGGCGTGCGCCGTCCTCATCCACAACGCTTGGTAGTACGGCAATTCCATCTTTGTACTCCTTCAGCTTGTTGGGGTCGATGAACCCCGCCTTCCATGCTGGCTCCTTGCGTTGGCGTTTAGCGGCGGGCTCAGGGGCTGGCTCCATCACAGGTACGGGTGGGGACGTGCCGGTGGGTTCCCGGTGTAGCTGGTCTGAGAGACGGTACGCTGCGATGGGTAAGTGGACACATGTTTGGAGTACATCCGCTAGTCCCAAGGTGCTTGTGCAGGGGTAACGCCATGAAAGAACAAGTCGCCTTACGGCACCAACGGTTATCTGGCGTCCGCGAGTGGCATCTTACTAGAAGGGTTAAGATTATCATGTTATTCGAAGCTTACCTTAATGCTGGGATACCTCGCTAAGCCCTCGGCGGAAGGTCGAGACGTTGGCCCGGTTGCTTGAGAGACGTATGTATGAAGCCTGGCAAGTGGCAACGGTCAGCCCCGTGGCTAGCCTGCCATAAGGAGTAATCGGCGCAGAAGCATAAATGAGAAGGCAGTTAAACTTAGTCAGGGACTTCGTAGAGCACTCAGCCAGCGCCTGGGCAGGCGCGCTTTCACTGTAGATATTTGCGAGAAAGCCGTCTGCAGATGGCTGAGGCTTCACAATACAAGCATAAATTCGCGGCATTTCTAACCCGAAGCTACAAGCTATCGTTATCAGCTAGAAGGACAAGCCGCGGTCGACTACTGCGACCGCGGGAAAACAGGTTAAAAATACCAGTCTTATGGCAGTAAGTGCAATAGAAACACACGTCCCAACATGGCTACCTGTTAGTGAGATGTGCGGTATAGCCTTGTGACGATGCGATGGTTGAACAGGCCTCTCCTGTCAATCTTGATGAAAAAACTAGAGATAACTTCCTTGTATTTTATTTCTGTATAGTTGCCGTCAACGTGATTCCTCGCGCGTTACAGCCTCGCTAGTTCCGTCCACCGGAATTCCGTACGGTGTATAAGGCCAACCTAGCTTGTGTGTACAGTTTGAGCAGCTGCTTCCTGCGCCAAGCGTACTTGTTTAGTGAAAATATGGTGTTTTGCAGGTTGCCTAGCGCTTTTATGCAGATGTGCAGCTTATCAACGGGGACAAGGTGAGGGTGATCAGTAGCCCCGGAGAGACAACGGCGAAATCGCTGACGTGACCTGCATCATGCCCAAAAATGCAAAAATCTAAACCCGGCCGCTTAATACTCCAAGAAAGCTCCGCTCTGGTTTCATCTGGCATGATATGTCACGGCATACCGGCGTCACGGCGTGACACATGTAGCCCAAGGGACACATCCAAATTGCGAGCACAGGGGTTTCGATGTGGAGCTGTCGTGCGCTATGCTGCCATGGAGCGCCTGCATTGGGCATACGGTCGCAAGAGGCGGTTTCAAAGTTACTAGCTGCAACAGCTCTTGTCACAAACGTGTGCTGTGCATGCTGCGCACCGCACAAGGTGGTTCTTGCCGCTCCTGCAGCCCCTCTGTGGCCACTTGGGAGCGAGCTACTGTCCGGCGCCATACCGATAGGGAGATTTGCGGGTTAAAATATAGTAAGAGGAGAAGTGCTGACGGAACCTAAAGCAATTGTCGTACGTCGTGGCCACGACAACACTTTCCAACGTCGTCAGTACTACCCAAGCCTCCTTGGCCATAAGATATTACCTCGAACCAATGCCATGAAGCCATCGGCCAGCATTACTGCCAAGTACGGTTCCCTGACACCCAGGACGTCAGGCACGTTGACTCCATCCTAGTCACCTAAGGTTGCATGCAACCTGGCCGCTTTCGTGAGTAGCAGCCATGGGCATTGCCTACATCTTAACAATTCGCTTACCGTCACACCCCTCTCTGGGCCCCAAATGATGTTTACCCGCCGGCTATTCCACCGCTTCGCCTAGGGCATGACCCCACTGCTTGCCACCACAACCTTCTGGAACGGCCGGTAGAAGGCTCGTTCCGCTGTGACCGCCCGCTTGTCCCCCATGGCCTTCCCGGCCTGAGGAAAGTGGCAATTGAAGGGTGAGGCGCAAGTGACGAAGTGAGGGCGCGTAATAGGTACCGGTATTACCCCCGCCTCAATGTGGATGCGTCCTGCTAACGACAGCTCCGGTACCAGGCGCATGCTATCACAGCGGCTCACAGCCCACCTACCTGGAAGTAAGGGTTGTCGTTGCGCGGCTTGTTGACCGGCAGGGCTGCAATGCGGCGCAGCAGCTCCTCGCCCTCCACCACCCGACCCACGATGAGGTTGGTGGCATCGAGCTCGGGACTGCAAAAGCAACAGGGGTGTAATGCCACATGAACCATGCACGGATCATGGCACAGCACACATCGGTAGCAGACAGTCCTGCCAGTAATGCCGTCAACGGCCTCAGACCCACCTTGCTGCAGTGGTGATGGTGAATTGCGTACCATTAGGCGCCTCGCCCGCTTGCTCCTGACGGGAGGCGGATTTTTGGTGAGAGGCAAGCACTAGGGGCCCTGACAACAGACCTAGCCCAAGCCAGGGAAGGTTACACCTGGCAGCGGTTGAGCTCTAACCGCCGAGTGGCGCCCCCTGGGTCGCAGTGAAAGAATGTATGGTACGGTACAGCCAGCACCTGCGGCCCCTTTGTGGCGCCAGCCGGATACCTCCCTGAACCCCTGGGGCCCCGTAACTCACCAGCACGGTTATGAGCTTTCCGTCCTTCGCCACCAGCCGCTCCTTGACAGGCCTGGGTAGGTGGGGCGGGTAGGTGGGGCATGCAAGGAAAGTGGCCGCAGAAGCAGGACACTGCAGGCCACTCGCAAGCTCCCAAGTTATCCCAGCGGAACGCTCATCACTTGCTCTTTAACTGAAGTCAGACCGACAAGGGTAACACCAGCGTCCACAGAATTATACGCCCAGTCGTTTCCGCATCCACCCACCGCCCCGCCAGACCCATCTCCCGCCCCACCTCGCCTCCCGCTCCCGCACGATGAGCGACACCAGCCCCGCCTCCTCGTGCCGCCGCACCTGCCGCCCCAACTCCTCCTGCAGCGAACAGCCGTGCAGTAGAAGTGGGAAAACAGGAAGTAGGGGCGCTGCCCAACAATGCAAGGACGTCTTCCCCCGGCTTACGGGCTCCGCGTCCAAAGAGTTTCGACGGAAAGAACGTCCCAAGCCCGCCTGGGTGCGCAGGAAAGTACGTGGGGACCCAAGAAACGACAAACGAGCCCATAAGGAGAGCCTGGGGCCCCGTCCCGGCCCACCTCCAGGGGCTCTAAGGAGTCCCCGGCGAAGATGGGCGACTGCTCCGAAGCCGAGTACGACAGCCGGGTGACGCCATCATTGCGGATGTAGGTCTGGAAGGGGGAAGGATGCGGGTGTGCATGGTGCGTATAGGATAAAGCAACAGTGGGGTCAGTCATGCGTACATGGCTGCCTGCCATGGGCCAGGTGGGGGTGGGGTTGACCGCATGCAGTAACATGAGGAGCAGGAGCTGCACGTCTTCATGCAGTCCCGCCATGCCAGCAGAATGCGCCTGGCGTTCAGGAGGGCGTCGCTGCTGCTATTTGCAATGACGACCTCCACTGCTTGTGACCCCACACGGACGCCGCCACTACGCCTTCAACGTTGTGGGCGCACCTTGACAGCCTCTTCATGCCCCTTCACATCCCCTATCAACCCAGTCCAACCCAACACCAGGCGCCCCCGCCCACCGGCAGCACCCCATTGAACTTGGACAGCCGGTAGTCCACCCCCTGCCTGCCCGCAGCTAGCTGGGCGAAGCGCGAGGCGCCGGCGGGCACGTCGGGGAAGAGCTGGATGGTGAGGCGGCCCGCGGGCTGGCCGTTGAGGGTGATGTCCAGGAAGACCTGTTGTCCAGAGTGGGGACAGACATGCGTCGGGGACATGTTGGAAGCGGCAAGGTGGGGTTTGTCACTCTGGTTGGAACATGGCGGGTTATGGTGGCGCGTGGGGGTGACACGCAAAGGGAGGTGGTGAAGAGAGTCTTAGCCGTTACACGCCAACGGTGGATGCGGTCCGCACGTCCAGGTCGTGGTGAACTGGGCGCTTTCGGGCTGTTGCAGATATGGTGGGTTTGGAGTAAAACGTGAGCCATAGAGCCCACAACTAGGAGAGTACCCGTCTGAGACTTAAGGGGGTTACACACGCGCTTGGAGATACAACTGCAATATCGGGAAGGATGTGCCGAGAGCGATAGGTAGGCAGGCAGGCAGTAGCACGCGGCTGCGGGCCGCCCATGTCGGTAGTCACCGCGCGAGTGAAGGCAAGATTTCACTGGCGGGCACTACCTTTTCGGCGCCAACAACACTGGTTTGTTGGTTGGATTGCTGGATAAGGCCTGCTTCCGCAGCGAGCGAGGAGTCGATTGGCAGCAGCAAAGCCCCAGCAGCTACAAGGCTTGATACAATGCAGCGTCGTGTAACCAGGTAGTCCGATGTGGCAGGTTTGCAAGTGACTGCATTCGTTGCACAGCAGCGCAAAGCGACTCGGCATCGGATAAGCGACTCGTTCGCGCGTAGTCGTCCGGTCCGGGCAAGAGGATTCGCTCTAAGCCGCATTGTCCGCATCCTTGCCCTACTTAAATGTGGTTGTACGCGCAAGGAAGAGTTAGGACAATGTCGCGTGCAAGCTCCTACAACGTACACGCGTGCAAGGATAAGTGTCCAACAGCAGAGACCACTATTAACTAATAGGATGCAGAACAAGCTAATACTGAACCTACAAACATATGCAATGCTCTACCTGTGAGGTATCGACCGAGATTACAAACTGTACGGAGGTAGAGAGGCTTTCAGGGCGCTCTAACCACTGAAGGATGTTTTTGCCATAAATGGAAGTACAAAACGATTCATTTTACGATACTGCTAACTTTTTTGGTTGGTTCTTAAGGCACGTGCGACCGTAGTTGCTTTGAACCTTTCCACATGAGCTTGCCTAATGCGCTATTATAACTTATTTAGTTTAGAAATGTTCCATTGTGGGTATTTATAGCTTTGTCGGGCAGTTGGCGTTAAGTTGCCATGCCGCACCGGCTGCCTCAATTGCCAGGGCTTGGCATTGACGACGATCCACCTCTGTCTCCCCTACACCAGTTACTGTACAAGCCAAAGGATGTGCGAAAACCTCAGAACCTCGAACCGGTCGTCACGGTAAGCGGCCGCTGGCGACAAGGGTCCTTCATGGGACCAGGGTCTTTCCGGGACAACACATGAAGACCATATTACCGCATACATGCCAAACAGCTTGTTTCCCCCGGTACCCACATAATGCTGCAGCACAGTCCCTCACGAAAAGGGCCACCCAACTCCCACTCGCTCCCCAAACTCCTCCTCCTCCAGACTCTGTCCCTCCCTCTCTTCCCCATCCCCTCCTCTCCCTCCCCACCCTTCCCTCCCTCGCTCCCTCCCCGCCCCAACCCAGCTCGACGACCTGCGCCGTACCGGCGTCATCGGCCTGCGTGACACCGTCCACTCCTCGCTCGCCTACCCCGGCCTCAGCCCCAACTTCCTCAACGAGCCCCTGGACGGCGTCCTCAGCGACCAGGAGGGCGACGACGAGGACGCGGCCTGCGACCTGCGCTCCTCATGCAGCGGAGGAGCCGGCGGCGGCGGGGGCGGCAGGGGTGCAGGCAGGGCGGACAGGCAGGCTGCAGGCCGCTGCGGCTCACCCGACCAGCAGGCAGCCGCGGCGGCGAGCGGGAGCAAGGGCGGGAGCGTAGGCGTGGCTGGTGTGGTGGGGGTGGGCGACCCGCAGCGCTTCAACGCCACTGCGGCGGCGCGCGCGGCGCTGCTGCATGAGAAGCCGGCGGTGGTGGAGCGCATGGAGAAGGGCGTGCAGGCGTGCGCGGTGCTGCGGGACAACCGGCACTACCGGCTGTTCTCGCTGGGTGGGTGGCGGTTGTACTTGTACGGCTTGGGTGGGGAGGGGCGCATGTGGTTGAGTACACGCGGGTTGGCGTCCTCTGTCCCCTCCCTAGCCCTTCAGCCTCCCCACGTCCCACGTCCCCTTACCGCCCGCCCCCCCCCTTACCACGCACCTTACTGTTACCCCACCCGGCAGGCGTGTTCCAGCCCGCCGTCAACGACGTGCGCACGCGCTCCATGTACCGAGTGGAGCTGCACAAGCACCTCTCCTCCACCAACCTGCGCGCGCCGCAGGGCGACAAGGAGGTGCGCTCCGCGGTGCAGCACGACACGGTGGGCTCGCGCATCGAGCGCATGTTCAACAGGGTGCTGCGGCAGGGCGTGGAGGAGCCCTCCGCGCCGCCCAGTGCGGGCGGGCCGCTGCCGCTGGGGGCGGGCGGGGGGGCGGCGAGCTGGCAGCAGCAGCAGGGGATGCAGCAGGGGACGCAGGGCATGCAGGGGATGCAGCAAGCGATGCAGAGTACTTGGAGTAGCGGCATGACGGGAGGACTGGGCATGGGAAGTGGTGGAGGCGGAGGAGGAGGATGGGGGTCAGGGGTTTGGGGCTCGGGGACGGGGATGATGGCTGGAGGAGGAGGCAGGCGGCCGGTGGGGGCGGTGTCGCCGCCGGGCTACTCGGCGCCCGGGGGCGGTGCGGGCCGGCGGCTGGTGAATGGGGTGCTGGGCGGGCAGTCGTTCTCGCTGCCGGAGGAGCCGCGGGCGGCCACTGCGGGGGCGGTGCTGGGCGGCAGTGAGGGGGCGCAGTGAGTGGGGTCTCAGGGAGGAGGGGGCGCGGGGGGCGCTGGTGCCACGGGTTGTGTATGCTGTGTTCTGAGCTGTCTGCGGCAGAGGGATGTTGTAGTCGTGTCGTACTGTCCCTGACTAGCGCGCTTCGCCGCTTCGCATCAACCACCTGCCTCACCCGGCTCCACCTTACCCCCGCCCTCCCTCGCACCGCCCCTCCCCAGCCGCCACAGCAGTCCACTCTTCATGCGCAGCGCCTCCATAGCAGCGGGCCGCGGGGGCGGCGGAGGCGGAGGCGGTTTCGGGGCCTCCTCCCAGGGCGCAGCGGCCGGCGGCCCCGGCGGCGGCGTCATCAGCCGCGCCGGCGGCAGCTTCCTGGGGTCCATGCCCAGCTTCTGCCGCCACGGCAGCCCCAGTGGAGGGGGCGGCGGCGCTGGCGGACCCATGGGTCAGGGAGGCGCGGGAGGTCACCCGGGGCAAGCTGGGGCTGGGAACTCCTCTACGGCGTTGCCGTCGCTGGGGCAACGGGACCGGGATCCGGGAGCGACCCACGGGTCACGAGGAACGGGTGAGGAAGTGCGATGGAAACTGCCATAGGACAGCGAGCACGCGCAGCACTTGAGCCTGCACGCAGTATCCCTTAGCAGCGCGACGCTTAAATCCTTAGCATGTTAGCATAGTACACCTCGTTTAACATGCCCTGCTTGCCAGTTGCCCTCGTGCCCTGGGTAGCCCTGTCGCCTCAACCGTCTCCCGTCCTCCCCTCTCCTCCCCTCCCCCCCCAGCCCGCTCCTCCGACTACTGGATGCGTGTCACGCTGCCCCCCGAGGTGATCGAGGCGCAGCTGCGGCACCTGGCGGCAACCACGGAGGCCAACCTGAGGGCGTACCATGAGCGGGTGGCGGCGGCGCAGGTGGGGGCGGGCGGGGGTGAAGGAGGTGCAGGAGGGGGGGTGCGGGGGCTGAGGGATGAGGAGTTGAGGACGAGGGTTTGGCGGGTATGCAGTCGGGGAGGGCTGGAGGCACACGAGGGGCTCGGGGGTCGGAAGGGACTTGTGGATGGCAGGCGGCGGGAAGAAGAGGTGTCTTGAAGTACGGCAGTCCAGCCACCCGTCAGCCCTCCTATTGACCCCCTTCCATGCCCTGGCCACTCGTGTGACATTTCGGGTACCCTGAGCCTCCCTCTGACCTCTCTCTTCTGGGCCCCTGCCACCCTATAAGCACCCACACTCACCGTCCCGCCTCATTCCCTCCTTAACCCTTCTCTCCCTCCGCACACCCTCCTGATGCCCCCACGCCCTCCTCATGCCGTCTTCATGCCCTCATGCCCTTCCCACGCCCTCACGCCCTCCTCACACCCCCTCCCAGGACGAGCTGCTCCAGGGCAGCGGTCTGCGCCCCGAGGCGCTGCACATGGCCCCCGAGCAGGTGGAGCAGTCCCTCAAGGTCAAGCTGGGGCAGATACAGGAGGACACGTGAGTGCAGGGGTGGTGCTGTACGGCAGGAGACGCTGCGCACGTACGGCAGTCGTACGACACAGCTGTTGCTGCTGCTGCAGGATACCAGAGCATGCTGGCGAGCTGGTGGATTATCCTCCTCTCTTCCTCTTTCCATGACACTAACGTTACATAACGCCCCCTCACGCCCCTCAAATACTCTCCCTTCCTCGCAGCTATCTAACGTTTTACCAAACCTTCGCCCCTTCCTTCCTTTCACGCCACCCTCCTTCCTCCTAACCTCCCTTCCTCCTCCCTTCCCTCCCCCTCTCCCTCCCTCTCCCTGCGCCCCCCCCCGCAGCACCGACCACAACTTCAACTACTCCTCCCTCTCCCGCGAAGCCGTCCTCGCCTCGCGCCTCTCCGCCGCCTCCAAGCAGCTCCTCACCGCCCCCACCCTGCCGCTCTTCATCCGGGCAGCACTGGACCACGTGGCCCAGCACACCGCGGAGCTGCAGCAGCTGAGGGCACCCGCAGGGGCCAAGAACCAGGAGCCGGAGGAGGGAGGCAAGGCGCCCAGTCCCCAACGTCGCGGCGGGCGGGGAGGAGCAGGAGCAGGAGGAGGCGTGTCACGGCGGGGGGGTTCCACAGCGCCCGGTGGTGGTGGTGGATCGGGAACGGATGCGGGGGATGAGGATGGCGGGAGTAGCACTCAAGATGGAAGCAGCAGCAGCCGGGGGTCTACGGAGATGGGTGGGGGGTGGACGGGGCGGGGTGGGGTTGGCGGCGCGGGTGGGAGAGGCGGGCGGGGGCATGCGACGGCGGCGGCGGCGGCGCAGGCGGCAGCGGAGGCGGCAGCGGCTCTGGAGGCGGAGCAGTGGCGGTTGCCGCCGCCCAAGCAGGCTCGCACGGTGACGCTGCGGCGGCAGGATGTGATGGTCACAGAGGAGTGGATGACGAACTTCGTGCAGCAGATGGAAGGTGGGGAGCGGGGTATGGGCCGCATGGCTGTACGGAAGGGGATTCGGAGCGTGACATACGCTGCAAGTTCGTCCCGCTAGATCTGACTGTAGCACCGACAATCCACTCCCATACCTTTCCATCCCATCCAACCCTTCTGCCATCCCTCCCTCCCTCCCTCCCTCATCACCCCCACAGCCATCGAGCGCAGTACCCCCGACGGCCCCCCGGACGGCTCCCCGCCCCTCCCGCCCCTGCCGCCCGGCGACATGGACGCGGGCGCCTACGTGCGCAGCCGCCTGGAGCGGCTCTGGAGCGTGCTGGGCATGCCACCTCAGATGCGGCTCGACATGGTGCTGCACTTCACCGCTCGAGAACGTGCACTTACCTTTGCAACCTCCCTGGAGCTCTGGGAGACCGCCGCCACTGCCGTACTGGCACGGGAGGCGCACGTGGAGGCGCTGGTTGCCGTACAGCGGGAGATGGAGGCGGGAGCTGCGGAGCGGTTGAGTCTGGAGGCGGTTTCGGGGCTGTGTTGTCGGCTGCTGGCGCAGACGCGGTGGGTGGAGGTGCTGTCACGGAGGCTGGCGGTGGAGGCGGGGTGGGAGCTGACGCGCGGGGGGCAGCCGTACCCGGGACCGGAGGTGATCACTGCGGGGCACCTGAGGGTGTTCCTGGAGCAGCTGAGGGCGGCTACGCAGGTGTCTGGGCTCAGGCCGTGAGGGGGGCTGCGAGGCGTTTTGTACCGGGCCTGAGGAGGACTGGGGGGATGTTGGGCAAGTATGCATGCATGCACTTGTTGTGATTGTTGTGTGGGGGGTATATGAGTGTGAAGGGGAGTAGGATAAGGGTTTGGGTGTGCTGGGTTAGGGTTTGGGTTAGGGTTTGCGTGTGCTGGGACTGCCTTCTTCCTGGCATGTCGCTACAGTTCAAGAGGTAGATGTGATCTAGGAAGGATATGTTGCGTTACTTGTGGTGCCACACGGGTACAAGGAAGGCGGACGGGTACATACCTGCGCTGAGGCGGGGTGGCGAGGGGGCGGCTCGGTGCTTGGCAACAAAGGGTGTGTGGAACCAGGAGGAACTTCATGTTGGGGTCGGTGCATGCAGCATGTTCGGCGGATGCGAGTCTCTATGTGATACGAACTCTGTGCGTCGCAGCCGTCGCGTACCGATGTTCGAAGCCGGGTAAGAGTTCAGTAATAGGAGGTCGGATGTCGCCCATGGTATGTGTTTTCAACGCTCCTGGGAAGGAGCAGCACAGGGTGAGGTGGCTAGGCAGCGACGTCCGGAAGCGGGGCGCCACCATCAGTAGCGATGATACGGTGTCCGGGAGCTTGCATTGTACAAAGAGTGACATTTCCTATTTCGGTACTGTGCGACGAAAGCCTCGATCAAATGCGAGCTTGGTCATTATGAATTAAAGTTATTCATCTGGAATTTATAAGAAACAAGCTCCTATAGCTTGCGCAGGGCTTCATTCGGGGTTACGGGCCCCTGCCACATCCATCCGCCATCCAGGTACAACGAAGACAAGGCGCTTCTGTAGCCTAGCTGCATATACTGAAATCCCTGGTATATTAGCGTCAAGAGATCTTCGATGATATGCTTACCCAGTCGCCTCGGTAGTTAATACTTTGCATTGGCTCGAAGGTCGGTATAGTATGGCTTATACGCAGAACAGCAATGGCAATAAAGATAACGTGCGCGCATATGATGCTATGGTCGGTATTATTGCGGATCCACGCCGCTACTGTGTACACTGTAAGCCGGACGTAACCGATTAGTCGATGGGTGTTGCTGGCGCCGTATCCGTTTTTAAGCACCTGGCCTAGTATGGACGATGTAGTGCTATACAGCAGAATGATCGGCGACATTAGAAAGCGGCACACGACCCTTCGCCTCTCAGACTCCGACGGTTAGTGTAGGCCTGGTGGCCTCGCTGCTGCAGCAAGGCCTACGGCTGTTGCTGTGCACCAGTTGCGCTGTGAAATGCATAAGTACCTCTTCAGTATACTATATATAATCTATGCTTGTAAGCGCCCTCTCATAGAGCTTCGGTACTTGTCACTCCACTATTCCCCTACTGGCATTGAATCCTGTGAAACCGTAAGTGAACCGGACTCCGGGCTTAAGCCTTCTCGCACAACATACGCCAGTGTCGCTAAGGTCATAACGTGGCAAAGCGGTCCCTCGCGCTGTCCTTGACAGACGACTGTCCAATGCCTACGCAGGTGAACCTTACCAGTACACTCTGCCTAATTCGAAGACCATCTACCTGCATCTAGCCGGAATCAGTCATGTCTTGTGCGACAGCGCAGTCTTGTGAGGATGCGGTTGTCGTCGTAGACCGGAAGGTGCGAACCAATGAGCATGCATGCTGCACAGCCGCGCCTGTTGGGCGCCGCTGATACCGCTCTACCGTCATGGTGATACATACCTTTACTCGCTGTATGGCCTCCAAGAAAGCGTCTTGGCTAATAGACGGTACATCAAGACGGTACTTGGCTGTACCTTCCGATGCGTTAGCTGTTGAAACCATACCATAGTCGCCCGACAACATTTATCCAAGACCACCTGCCCAGCCTACCATGACTTCTTATGGTTTCTCACAACCTCTTACCGCTGCCCCGGCCTGTCCCTGTACAGGTTCTACACAGCGCCGCCAATCCCAAGTGTTGTTGCACCCAGGAGGATTCGAGCCCCGCCCCCGCTGCCTCCCCAGCGGCTCCGGAGCCCATGTGCATGGAGCAGCTGCTCTCCCAGCTGCAAGTCGCCTTCGAGGCTGAGAAGGCGCAGGGCCATGTGATCGACAACAACCAGGACCCCGAGTCCTTCAGAAAGCTCAACAACACCGTGCAGGGACTCCTCAAGGCAAGTGCTGATACAGTGCCTCGGGTACCGTAGTCAGATGCGTTTACACCCCAACACCTGCACACTGCACACGGCACACATAGACGGGGTTTACTGGCTCTCGCTGCTAGGACCAACTGCTTGACTAGATAGATGACGTTGCGGTGCATGGCGCTGCTGCTGCTGCTGTTGTGGTGACGCTGTGTTTTGCTGACGTGATGCGCCCGCAGGCCTACACCTCGTGTAACAGCCGTGACTGGCAGCAGTACGCGCTGTTCAACGATGTGCACTACGTGCGCAACCTGGTGCATGCCAACGAGGACTTTGAGCTCATCGTGAGTGCGGGGTGACACGGTGGTGACGGCGGGTTGACGAGTGTGGGGTGCGGGGTGACTAGCTGGTGCGGATAAAGGAACGCAGTGCAACCCACAGTAGCAGAGAACACCACTAGGCTTACCACAAGCACGTAGCTGATTGCTGATGCCCCGGTGCCACAGCGCATCCACGTTCGCAGGTGTTCCATACATTGCGTGAACCCGTACTGTTACCGCATGTGTGCCCCGCCCCGCCCCTTCTTCCATGCGGTTAGCACTTCAGGACGCAACCCATGGCTGCTGATCGCATGACCGCCTCTCACCTGCCGGCGTGCCTCGCTGTGCTCCTGCTCCTTCCTTTCCTCGTCCAGGTGCTTTGTTGGAAGTCGGGCCAGGTGTCCCGCGTGCACAACCACGGCTCCTCGCATTGCTGGCTGGTAAGTTGGCGAGCAACAGCGGGGGGCCTGTGACTGAAGCGATAGCACCAGGGCAGTGCATTCGCACTGCCTGGTTGAAGAAATTTGCCTGCCGGTGCTACCGCCGTTCCCCGCCTCCCTGCACCCCACCCGCCCCAAGTACCGTACATGCACGCTGACCCCTTTTAGAGCACCATAGCATCGCCCACCAGCCATGACCCCCCACCCATACCCCGTTGTCCTTCCCTGCTGCATATATTTCTTATAAACTCCCACCCCCTGCCCCCGCCCCGACCCCAGGCGGTGCTGGACGGCCGCATGCGCGAGGCGCAGTACCGGCGGGCCGACGGACTGCCCACCGGCACCAACAACCCGCAGGAGCAGGCGGGGAGCCAGGTGGAGGTGGAGCTTACACACAGCACTGACATGCAGGTGGGGGTGGGGGGAAGGAAAAGATGAGTGCAGCAACGGAGTTCCAAATGGGACAGAAGAGGCAGCGAAACAACCCATGCATGGGAATCTATCGGTAGTTGGGCGGGTGCCCGCACCTGCACGTCATGAGAGCCCGCTAGGCTCCTGTTCGGCTCCCGCCGCTGACGTAACTAAGTAGCCCTCCTCACCATACCGGCACACCGCCTTGCTCATCATGCTATGAATCATCCCCACCCTGTCACCAACCCCATCCAATCCACACCACCCCCCTGGCCCCCCAGGTTGGCGACGTGGGCTACATCAACGACCACCTGGCGCTGCACAATGTGGGCTGCTTCACCGGCCCCGAGGAGCTGCGGACGCAGCAGACGGCCGACAGCGGCAGCGAGGGGCAGGCGGGCGGCTGGCGGCTGGAGGGCGGCGTCACGTTGCACCTCTACTCGCCGCCCATCCGCCGTGTAAAGATCTACGAGGAGGGCACGGTTCTGGAGCGCACGCCGGGCTACTATTCTAAGGGCGGCGTGCGGCTGTAGGTGTGGGCTAACACAGGTGGTCTAGGTGGCTCAGGGTGTAGATAGGCTGTTGAGCAGGGATGGTGACTGTGGAAGAACGCTCGTATCATACGCCAGCTGGTACAGTTCTTTAGATCATCAATCGTACCTGTGTGTTAGGTCATCAATTGTACCTGTGTGTGCGACGGATGCGTGACTGACTTGTAGTATTGATCTTAGGCACTTCATGATTCACACGCGGTTTGTTGATGGAGCATGAATAAACATCCGGCAGGCTGCCTACTTCTGTGGGCTGTGGTGCAGCCCAAGGTCATTTGGGTACGGGAGTCTTGGTGTGAGCTGTAGGGCAGCATAATAATGTCTCTGCAATGACGGGATCGATAAGAGCCGCGGCGGTCCCCACTGCCCATCGGCGGTGTGCATTTGCATTGTGCATCCTTATTTATTGGAAGGGTGACCCGTGGGTCACATCCATTTATATGAACCCGTGGATGTCACAGATACCATGTTGCTTTCAGATAAATATAAAGAAGCCCTTCCAGTAGGCGAGTTGGATATATATATTCAGAGTGTACGGGGCCATACAGCCGTACATGGGCCACCATGCATGGGCCACCCTGTAAACACAGCTTTCCTTCCGTACCTACTCTGCTCCCTGATCCTGCAGAATGAGTAGCTGGCCGCCACCAAACGATATCCCCCTGCACAAGACGTGCTCATCCTGCACCGCTGGTCGTGCGTTAGGTCCGACATCATGCCCACTCCAGAGCTCCTTCGACAGCCATGCTTGCGACTTGCGCACATGTTCCCTGTCAGGCTCCATCACGGCTGCCGGACCAATCCTGCACTACACAGGATCCGCCCCCAACTCCCCAGATGGTCGTCTGATGCGCGATCCTCACCCGGACATTGGGCGCTGGTAACTTGAAGTCATTCTTTCTCATTAGCACAGTGCCGGTATGCACTCTAGCTACAACATCCCTTGTTCCCCTTGCCTCCCTTGTTCCCTGCCGCGCCCCCTCTCCCCTCCCGCCTCCCTCACTCCGCCAGCAGCTGCCGCAGCTCCGGCAGCTTGTGCGCCTCCGCTACCGCATGCAGCGACCCCGTCACCAGGATCACTCCCGGACCCCCCCGCCGCTGCTGCTGGGGACCCCCTCCGCCGCCGCCACTGCTGCTCCCGCCGCCGCCGCCGCTGCTGCCGCCCCCGTCCTGGGTGATGATGGCTCGCAGTTCCTGCAGCGCCTTGTCGAATGCGGCCGGCAGACTGCCCTGCAGCAGCTCCCGGCAGCGGAAGGGGCGCTGGGAGGGCGGCGCCAGCAGCGCGGCAGCCTGCCAGTGGGCGGCTAGGGTGCCTGTGTGAGGCGCCGCGTGTGGGGAATAGGGTGTACGGGTCGGATTAACAAAGGTAGGGGCAGGGGTGATGCAACCCATGGTGGAGCCTTGTCAATTGTCATCAAACGGATAGAAACAGCCTCCCCCGCCCCCATGCCCAGTCCCAACCCCCCCCCCCCCACCCCGCCACTTCCCACCTGGCGACGCCGCCCTCCGGTAGCTCCCCGCGATGGGCACCGCCGTGAACACCGCCAGGCGGGGCCGCAGAGCCCGCAGCTCACCCACCACCTCCCGGTGCTCCTTGTCGCCGGCCATGGCCAACACCAGGGCTATTGGCTGCTGGGGAGGAGGAGCAGGCTGCTGCTGGGCTGGCTGCTGCTGCTGGTGTTCTGTAGTGGATGTGGGTGCAGCGGGTGCTGCGGGTGGGGGTTGTGGGAACGCCTGCTGCAGGGAGGCCACCAGGGCTGCGGCGCTGTGGGCGGTGTGGGCCCCGTCCAACACCACCCAGGGGCCCTCGGGGCCCGGCAGCTTCACCACCTGGGGGGTGAGGGGGGTGAGAGGTGTGAGGCAGGTGAGGCCGGTGGAGCGGGGATGCCCTGGACACGCTGTGTTGAGAACACTTGCCGCGAGTTGGAACGTACGCTTCCTGCAGGTGCCAACGCACGCATCGTACTCCCAACGCACCTCCCCCACCCGCCACCTCCCATACTGCAAAGCAACCCGACCCAGCCAAGTCCAGGATCCCGCACCCCGATCCGCCAGACCAAACTCCAACCAAACCCCAACCAAACCCCAGCATCAGCCCTTTCCCTTCCCCGTCACTCCTCTTCCCCCCTCCTCTCCTCCCCCATCCCCCCACCTGGAACCTGCCCGCCAGGTGCGCCCCCCGCAGCCCCGCCCGCACCGCCTCATCGGGCAGCCGCCAGCCGCCCGCCCGCAGCACCCGCACCGCCGCCACCGCTGTGGCCACGTTGGCGTGCTGCGCCGCACCCACCAGCCCCACCTGCACCGCCAGGGCACCACTGGAGCCAGCAGGGGCCCCGCTGCTGCTGGTGCTGCTGCTACTGCTAGCACTGCTGCTGCTGGTGCTACTGCTACTGCTGCTGCTGCTAGGACTACTGTTACTGCTGATGCTATCGCTTGTGCCGTACTCCCCTTGTTGCTCGTGTTCCCGCAGCCAGGCGGGTGCGGGCAGCAGCTGCAGCTCCAGCTGCTCCCGGGCGGCCTGCAGCGGGCAGTCGGGGAGCAGCTGCAGACCCCGGGAGCGCACGGAGACCTGGAGACCAGGGGAGGGAAGGGGAGGGGACATGGGAGGGGGCAGGGATGTACTCTTCAACGTCACGAAGCACGTCCCTGCTCCAAACATACGAACCCCGCCCTCTGTCCGCCCGCCCGCCCGCTGTTACGTCAGCAGGGCTAGTGTATGAGTGCTACAATAGTAGGTATAGCAGCATCTGCTACCCCCAGCCCCCCAGCCCCCTCACCGCCTGCTCCGCCCGCACTACCGGGCACCCCGCCGCCTCCGCCGCCGCCAGCACCACTTCCGCGGCCTCCGCGTGCGGCTGCGGCGCCAGCACCAGCGGGCGCCCCGGCCGCAGGATGCCCGCCTTGGCCGCCGCGATGGAGCGCAGGCTGCCGCCCAGGGCCTCCACGTGCTCCAGACCTGGGGGAGGGGGTCGAAAACAGGCGGGAGGGGGGTGCAACGGAGGGTGAGCAACGTAAACCCGTTGCTGATTAACTGCATGCTGCAGCTGCATGCACAAAAGACATAGCTATTGTGTGCCTCCTTGCCCTGTACCTGTCAGTCGCTTGGCGCTCCCGCCCTCTACACAGTTCCCAAGCCCCAACCGCAAGCACCGTACGCCCCTCCTCCTTCGGCACCTCCCAGCTTCCACCCCAATCAGCTCAACGCTCACCCGCCCTACGTCCCCACCCCCAGTCCCGCCCATTCCCCCCCACCAGCCCCCTCCGCCCAGTCCCCCCCCTCCCCCTCCGCCCCGTCCCACCCAGGCTGGTGATGACCGCCGCCTGCAGGTTGGCCCCCGGCATCACGTTGGTGGCATCCGTGAGGCCGCCCAGCCCCGTCTCCAACACCGCGATGTCAACACAGCAGTCCGCAAAGTACCTGATCCGGGGGGGGGGGGCCGCCGAGGAGGAGGAGGAGGAGGAGGGGTGGGGGGTCACTTACTGGTTCGTTTAGTGGAGCCGGGAACAGAGGAACACATGGCCCCGGGAGGGGCACGCGCGAGGTGTGAAGTTGCTGCCTGCTGCACCGGCGTTAGTGCTCCAAGCTGGGTTCGGCAGCGACCAGGCTCCTACCTCACCGCTACAAACGGCCTAGGCCTACCTCCTCTCCCTCCCTCCGCAGTGCCCCCATGCCCAGCACCCTTCCCCCAAAACTGAGCTGGGCGGGTCGGGCTGGATCACATGTTGCAAACCACGATGCCGCCTTATCACACGGTCAGTTAGTTCCTCTTCCTCTTGACCCCACCTGAGCGCCAGTGCCGTCACCACCTCAAAGTGGCTCAGCTGCCCGCCCTCGCTCGCAGTCCGGGAGCGGATGGCGTCCCTGTGCCGGTCCAGCAGGAAGGCCAGGTGGTCGGGCGGCAGGGGGCGGGGGCGGGGCGAGGCGCCCCCCGGCTGCCCCACCGCGATGCGCTCCTCCAGCGCCAGTAGGTGCGGCGAGGTGTAGGCGCCGGTGCGGTAGCCGGCGGCGGTGAGGATGGAGGAGAGCAGCGAGACGGTGGAGCCCTTGCCTGGAGGGGAGTAGGGGTAGGGAGTGAGAGGGAGGGGGGGAGCGGGAGGAGGATTCCAACGGGGGACGCCGTCATGGCGTCATGTCAGCAGAGCCTTCATCACTCGCATGGGATGGAGCAGCAAGGAACCCATTCACCAGCCACATCCACACCCAAACCCATGCCATGCGCCCGGTCCCCATCCCCCATGCATGCAGGTCGGCGACGTACCCTTGCTTCCCGCCACATGCACCGCTTTGAGGCCGAGGTGGGGGTTACCCAGCGCTGCCAGCAGCCGGTGCATGCGACCCAGGTCAAAGCGAGAGGATGCGGCGGTGCCCGCTGCCGCCGGGATGCCGCTTCGCTCATAGTTGACGAGGTCGTCTAGGAGGTCCGTGGCTTGGCTAGAGTCCGCAGCAGCTGCAGATGAGGTGCTGAGGAGTCGACGGGTGTCCCGCCGGGAGCCTCTAACCGCAGCAACCAAGGAGAATGCCGCTTCGCATGAACGAGAGGCAGCTTCGGGTAAGTAAGCTTTACATAGCGCAGGCTTCACACTCGCGAGGTGCTGGCTAACGTGGTACATTGATCGACGGCGGGGACGACAAAGCCGCTTCAGCAAGCCTCGTCCATACACTAGCAGATTGGATAGTATGAAAGACTACATAGGGGTTTTCAAAGCCACCGCCAAACGGTTGATGAGAAACTTAACTGGGGCAACATCCAGCGCGCAAGTTAACAATAACCCTCTCCCTAGTAGCATAAGCTTCTTGAGAGATGCGTATATCAAAATGCGCGTAAGTAACTCGGCATTAATGCTGCTAACTGCAGGTTGCTGCCATCCTAACGATGGGGTCTGCGTCGACTGCGTGGGAGAGATTTTCGAGGCGTACGGCGTGACGAGCTTGTTGAGCTTCCTGTTGGGCTTCCATCAAAGTCCCCAGTAAACCTCATGAAAACTTGCAATTTCCGTTTTCGTTAGTGATCTTTCCTTCACTGCTGTTACTGTTACCTCTGAACACCACGACCGTCCCCCTCCCGCACGCCGGTCCATCTCCGCTTAGCCAGAATTCACTTGCTGGACAGATTGACATGAAACGCAGAATTAGGGACTCCGAGGTGGGTTATTTAGGGAGGCGGTTGTAGGGAGCTATAGGGTTCCGCGGGCAACGATACTCAGTCGATGATTGCGCGAATGTATGCGCTGATAGGTCCCTCAGTTCATAGGGGTTGCTTTGACTTGGCTTGCTTGCGGTCACTTGCAAGCGCGCGTTGGGTTACCTGCATTGGCGCCCTGTGGGCAACTTGCGAGACCGGGTGCAAAACTCGCGGAGGAAGACGTCAAACATACGTACTTTTTGCTTGAGTTGTTAATTTTTTTTGCCCTGCTAGGGCCTGTCATATCGTTCGCTGTACCGTTGATGGCCGCCCCTCTACCCTTCAGCAGGTTGTTCAGCCAGTTTCTGCCAAGCGTGTGGCATCTTCAAGCTGCGACACGGCCTGTGGATCGTCCGAAACCTTGCATCCTCAAGCGGCGTCGCCTTTCCTCGTTGGGTCCGTTCCGCCTGTACAGGGCGCCTTCTTCCCACAAGAAGTATGGCTTGCGGTTGCTGCACAGGTACGCTATGCATCCTGTGCTATTTGCCATAATCCTTCTTTGGCTGTCGTTCCTAGAGAATAAAGGATGACCGTTTCGCTCATGTTCGCCACAACCGCAGATGCGGGATGCTCTCGCTGCCCTACCAGGGTGGATTCAAATGGCACAAGCTAGCCATGCTGATCAGTTTGAGCTGTATTCATCAGTTCCCAGCGCCTCTTCGCCTCTGGAGTTCATGTCACTTCCTCATCTTTCTCAAGCTCAGAGCTTGCCGGAAGTTCAACCTTCGCTGCATGGAACCACCAGATATACAAATACCATTACGCGGCCAACCAACGACGCGCAGCCGGAAACTGGCTTCGCAACTTCGGTGGCCTGTGCTCAGGCCTCGGCATCGGTAACGGCAGGTTCGGGCGCAGCAACAGCAACCGCCGCCCCGGCATCATCCGCTTCCGCTCGTGCTTCGATCTCAGGAGCGGCGGCAGACCTCCCAGCACAACCGGCACCCGCAGGAGTAGACTCGGGCTCTTGCTCTAGCGAGTGCGACACAGCGGCAGCCTGCGGTTGGTTCAGCAAGTGCCGTGGGTGCTGCCAGCTGACCGCTGGGGAGACTGAAATCCATGGACAAGTCATTCCCTTGTGTCGTGGCTGTTCTAACTCCCTTTGGAAAAGAACATCCGCAGATCGTGAGCACATGGTGCATCGACTGCTGCGAGCCCATGCGACTCTCTGCCAGCGAGAAGCAGCGGGGGCCTTTTAAGGTTGCCGTCCATGTTACCCCTTGCGGTTTTGCACGTCATATTTTGTCGTAGCATTGCAAGAGTACAGACGCATCAGTCATCTAGTCTCGTACCCACATGCATGACGATGGTAACGATGAAGACGGTTGTGGTTGACATCCTTACCTTCCTTTGCTGTAGCCATAATTACGACTCAGCGTTTGTCCTGCCAACTGGGTCGTAAGGTAACTGTGTATGAAATTGGCATCTGTGTATCAAGTTGGCTTGTTACTTTTTTCCATGCATCTCGTGAGGGTTGCGTTATTGAGCTCACCGGCATTACTTTGCGCGCACGCATATGACACTACTATCAATACATGTAGAGCTGCGAGACCTAGATATACGCGATTAACCTGACCGGCGATGCGGTAATGCCGAGGGGGTGAATAAGGTATTAGTGTGCTGTTCATGTTGGAAATCTGTTGCTGGAGTCCACCTCGAGGACTGCATTGTGATCTGTCGATTCGCGGCATATGTATATTGTATTGGCACTTGGCAACTGGTGCCTTGGGATAGTGTATATGCCATTAATGAGCGGGAACTGGGAGGGTAGGATGCCTGACCACATTGCCGAGTGCGAAAAGGGATAAGGGTTCCTGGCTATGTGCTGCGCAGGTTTGGCTGCAGCGCACTGCGTCTGGGTGCCATATGGGTTTTGTATGGATAAATGGGACCGCAGGGCCCAGTTAAACTTCCACATAAGGCGTGTCAAGCCTACAGGGTGCCTGCTGCGGCTTATTGTTAGCCCGGTAGCGTTTCTCGCTTGTGTCGCCTTGTGCCTGCCGTGTCTTTGTATAAGCTTGGCGTATTGCATGGCGGAATGTGTATTTTCAGCGCGCCTATGACCGCTGTATGAACACGTGGTTATGTCCCTCGTGCTTTCTCAAATTTGGTTTACGCTGGCGCAATGTTTGTGGTCTGCTTCTGTCTGCAAATGGGAGGTTAGGCGTCGAAAGCCAATGTGATTTTTATGCGATTGCCCGGGGATTTGGTGCTGCAGGGAGGCGTGAACAATGGAAAGCGGGAGTATATAGTGGATGAATTCGAATTGAGATTCATGGATTTATGGACCCTTCTTTCTGTGTGCGCTCTAGGACCAATATGGCCGGTTATCCACTTTCCGCCGAGGAGCGGCCGGCCGTACTTGGCCGGATGTGCACTTGCTATATAATAATACGCGCACTGGATGCGCGAGGAAATTGGGTTGCTGTTGCAAACACTGATTGTTAACTGTTGCAGGACCCGTGCGTACTGCCTACCACGTTTTCACGTGCTGTAACCTGTAGTAATGAGCTCAGTCGTACATGATGCAACAGCGTTATGGACGAACGTGTTGAGCACCCTTTTGTAGTCCGAATCAGGCAATCAACCTGAATTATACTTTGCACCGGCGCCGTGTCCTGTACCGTGTGTTTACCTGTGTATGGTCCACCATGGTTAGCCACTAGCCTAGGGAGCTCGCCCGCATCAGCACAAACGAAGAGCGTCGTGCTCAAGGAACCAGTCCACCTGCAATCTCTGATAGCTAGTACCAACAGCGCCTGGCAAGTTACCCAACGCTCCGATCTCATATAAAACGTCCCCAACACATCATAGCCCTTGCCAGCCGGCCCACAAACAGCACACACGAAACACCCACCGGTCCCGGTTAAGAACTTAGCATACGGTACCCGATATCTACCCTAGCCACCGGTTACCCATATGTAGCGAAGTAACCCGTACCATCCGCACGATGCATGATGCGCATGTCACGTTCCTCCCCCTACTCCTGAATCACGCAAGGCGCAAGCCCAGGGTGCTGGCGCTGATCCGCAGCTCCCGCGCGTTGCCCTGCGTGAGCGCGAACAGCTCCCGCGCCTGCCGCGAGGTGGCCAGCTCGGTAGCGTGCCGCGTGGCATGGTAGTGCGCCAGCGCGTTCCGAGTCTCCACCTGCGCAGGAAGGTAAGATAGCGCGACAAGGGCACCGGTTCCCTTAGCTTCAGCCCGTCACTACGTAACTATGCCATTGGAACCGAGCAACATGCGGAAATGCTGCGTGTGGGGCAACGCGCGCCACCCCATGCCACATGCCCAACGTCCGCGTTACAACCAAACACAGAAGCTTGACCCCTGCACCCCGCACGCCCTCACCTCGCTGAATCCAGGCACCAGCAGCTCCGTCAGCGACTGCTGCTGCTGCGGCGGCAGCTGCTTGGGCGCCGGCAGGGGCATGGCGGTGGTGGTGGCGGCAACCACCGCCGCGCCGCCCAGGGACTTGGCCTCCAGCAGCCGCATGCCGCGAGCCTGCAGGCGGCAAACGGAGGACGGCGGAGCCAGGGCCCGGGACAGGAGGGTCGGGTTGAGTGCATGTTTCGGTCCTGGGAACGGTCTGTGCGGTGTGGCCATCCCATGGGCTTAGCCCCGTAGTAAATCGTACTGTACCAGACCGCTGCGCCTTATCCTGATCAACACTACCACCCTCTCACCAGGTTGAGCTCCTGCGCCTGCAGCACCCGGCGCCGCGCCTTAATGGGGACGGCGGAGGGCGGCTGCACGCCGTAGTCGGAGCTGCCGTACAGGCAGTTGTAGTCGTCGAGCGCAAACAGCACCTGCACGGGCGGCGCCAGTGAGCCGCTGCCGCCGGGCTGCTCTCCGGAGGAGGCCACCAGCTGCTGGACCACCGCTAGAGCCGAGTCAACCGCCAGCTGGGCCTGAGCGGGGTGAGGAAAGTAGGAATGCAGCGGGATGGTGTTGAGGAGAGGCAAGTCGTGGGGCAAGGCCGAGGCGATTTCATTGGGTGTAATACGTGGTGCGGTACACCTTCCGCGGCATGACGCTGTGACTAAGGGTTAAACGCTGCTGTGGGATAGTACGTGCGGAACTAGGCGAGGCCCAAGCAGGCATCCTTCCATTTACGCATGCAGGTACTGCCCCTGCACCCAAGTTGTACTCCACCCTCCCCAGTCTCTCTCCGAGACCCACATTGTCATCCTCCGTCAGCCCCCCCGTCACGACGTCGTACAGCGTCTTGCCCCGCGCCGCCGCTGCCGCCGCCCATTCAGCACCCCCGACCTCCGCGTCCGCCGCTGTCCCCTCGGCCGCTGCCGGCTGCTGCGCTGGCGCCAGCACGGGCAGGCTCTTGAGCTGCGGCCCGTGCGCGTCCAGCATGCCCTTCAGCAGCTGCTGCGCCGAGGTGAGGGTGTCCCAGGTGCCCGTGTCGCCGCGGGGGCTGAAGTAGCCGCCGCGAACGAGCGCCGAGCAGCTGGGCACGTACATGACAATCCTGAGGGGTCAGGAAAAGGCAGGATGAGGAGAAGGGTGGTGGCTCAAAAGCGTGATTGCAAGGACTAGATCAAGGAAGGTGGGGAAAAGAAGAGAAGAAGTGGATTGCTTAACAATATATCAAGCAACGGCGTTTCGGAGATCCGCCCGGCTTCTGACAGGGCCCTTTCCAGGTGGCCCCCAGAACCCACCATCCTTGCTGCCGTGCCCATTCCACAAGGCCTGCCAAAGCGATGGACTTGCCAGCACCGGCGGGCCCCGTCAAAAGCAGACGTTGATGGCTTCGCTCTCCGACGGCGTTGTACAGGGTGTGCATGACGGGGCGATACATCACGGCATGTGTGCCAGTCGCCTCCACTTCATGCTGCAGTGCTTTACAGCCACCTCGCCGCTCGTGACCGGCATCACGCGGAGCATAGAAAGCGCCGGCATAAGCACGGCTTGCCTCTGGGAGTAGTCGGGGCTCCAGGGCATAGTATCCACCGACTGACGCAGCTGTTAACTGGTTGCTCGGCAGGAAAAGACCTTGCCTGTGAATTAGTAAATAGTGGTGAATGGGTCAGCAACCTCTCGGCCTCTATACATCACAAGCGATGGCTGCTGGACATCGCAAAGCCGCACCCGCTCGTGCTTGGCTGAGAAGCAGATGTTTCATCTACAGCTGCATTTGCGTATCCTGCCCATCCCGATGTTGGAGCACGACTTTCGAACCGAGCACACCGGAAAAGGGCCCTTGCACCCCGCAACATGCAGGGACTGTGTGACATCCTGGGCAGCGTTTGTGGAAATAACAGTACTGATTCAAGGAGAGTAACACACCTTCGTCGACCTGTGAAAGCTCGCCGTACGGCTCATGCGTTTGGCGCGGAGAAGACGCAATAAAGTTTCAGAGCTTAAACTTCCTTCCTGGATAAGGAGGACGTGAAGTGTGCCTTTGTACTATATCAGATTGCATCTGTTTACCAAGGAACTTGAAGCAAGATAGCTGCTAGAACTGAGAATCGGTATGCAGACCTGATATGACTTCGCTGATTAGGTAGAGGCACATGGATCAGGCCACTGATGAAGCTATTGCACGCGCACTTGGAGCTGAGTACTACGGGGTAGGCGACCCCGACTATGCAGCAGATGCGCCATACGTAGACGACTCCGAGGACTCAGACTATGGCGGTGGCCCTAGAAAGAAAAAGCGCAAGGCTGGGGGCGGCGGGCGTGGCCGCGGACGAGGCAGGCCGCCGGGTAAGGCATCCACTCCACTTTTAAAACGGCTTGCGAAGTGGAACGCGAAAGATTGCACGCTTCGTCGACCAGGAAACATTTTTTACGAACAGAAAACGATGCCTCCATTTGAGGCGCGCAGACAGCCCTAGGAATAGACCCTCGCCCTGCTAGGCTAGGCATGAGTTTGCCCGCGATCCAGCCTGCAGCCTGCGTAACCTCCCCATCGCTCAGGCCAACTGAATGTGCCTTCGCATCCCATGCATTCACCACCTCCCAGGGGTGGCGTTTAGTCAATATGTCACCTGAAACCGTCTCCGCGTTGCACGCTGCAGCCTCGTGCATCACCCCATCCACCAACCCTCGTCACCCACTCCCCGTCCTTCTCTCCCTCCCTTTCCTCCCTTCTCCCTTTCCCTTAGCCTCCGCCAGGCTGGACGCAGGCGGCTTCGTGGGGTTAGGCGCCGGCGGCGACCCGGGCGCTCCCTCGGATGGCGAGGGCGACTCGGACGATGACGACGACCGCACCAAGAGCGGCCGGCGGCGGCGCAAGGACGTGGGCAAGCAGCGTCAGGCGGGTCGTGCCTGGACCGCCGAGGAGGAGTCGCTGTTCCTGCAGGCCATGGAGATGCACGGCCGCGACTGGAAGCGGGGCAGCGAGCTGGTGGGCACACGCGACCACCGAGCCATCGCCTCGCACGCACAGAAGTTCTTCATTAAGCTGTGTCTGGCGGGCAAGCCGCTGCCGGCGGCGGTGGCACGCAGCGGGGCGGGTTACACGCTGAGTGGCGCCATGCTGGATCCCTACTCGGCGGCGGCCAGGTCGTACGGTTTCAAACCGGAGTTGCTGACACGTGGGTGCTGGGAAGGGGATGTGGGTCGGTGGAAGGGTTCGTGCTGTTACGAAAGACACCACGGGCTTGAGGCCGACGCCGTCTTCTGTGATAAACGCCAACGCTTAAGAGTGGCTCCTACAAACTCGGGTTTGCAAGGGTCGCACAACATGCAAGTCCACCTCCCCTCGGCTCCCTCCCGCAGGTCTCTCCCCCGAGGAGCTGCAGCAGGCGTTGTCCGGTCTGGATCTGGACCGCCTGCCGGTGATGTACGGCGGGCGGCTGCCGGACGACCAGGCGCCCATTCAGCCGCCGCCGCGGAGCGCATCCATGGGGGGCATGGGGGAAGAGGTGGGGCATGGGGCGGGCGGTGACGGAAGTGGTGGTGGATGGGGATACTGTGGGCGCGGCCTATCTCATGTGCTATCGCTAGCTCCCTCCACCCCGCCCTTAACACCTCGCGTTGCTTTGCTTCAACCCACGCGTGAAATGACCCGTCGCGACCTGCAGAGGGGCAAGAAGGGTGGCCGGGGCGGAGGCAGGAAGCGCCGGAAAGGCCCTTCTGCTGGTGGCAGCTCAGACGGCGACGACGACATGGGCGTCGGCGCCCCTGGCGTCGATGTACCTACAGACCCCAGCCAGGCAGCAGCTGCAGCGGCCATGGCTGCTGCCGTGGCGGCGGCGGCAGCGGCTGCTGGCGGCGGCGGCATGCAGGGCTTCACGCAGGCGCAGCTCATGGCGGCGGCCGCGGCGGCGGCGGCGCTGCCGCAGCTTGCAGCAGCAACAGGCGGCCACTTAGGCTTGGCACCTCCAGCGGCCAACCCGCCCGCTGCACCGGCATTCGGCTCCTTCACGGCGCTGCTATCAGGCGCATCCGACGGCGGGGCCCCGGCGGCGCCGCCGGCGCTGGCTGGTCCCGCTAGCAGCCTCGCTGCGGCGCTGCAGGCGGGCGCTCCCTTGGGTCCTCTGACGGCGGCGCTGGCGCCAGCGCTTCAGCCCGCCTTGCAACCCCAGCCAACGCTACCACCGCCGGCGCAGCAGCAGGTGCCGCCGGCGCCGCTCATGGCGTTGCCGCCGCCTGCCTCAATGGCGAATGCTCAGACGGAGTATGCACGCAACCGGCCACGACGTGAGAACGCGGGGCAGCGGGCGCACATGGGCGTGACGAGTGAGAGCCTGCAGCTGGTGAAGCCGCAGGAGTTTGGTGCTGGCAAGACGCAGCCGTACTCTGTGGACGTGTCCAGCTGGGCGCTCATGGCCATGGACTTCCATGCGCACCTGAGCACCTTTGAGGTGGGTTGGGTGGGTTGGGGCAGGAGGCGGGCTGGGAGGCTGGGATGACATGTGGAAAAGGTCCGGGTTTGGTGTCTGTCTGCATAGGACTAGAGCTCTCCTCGAGGGGAAGTACGCACCCATCTCCTTCTGCCCTCTCGCCGCTTCTGCCCCCTAGGTGATTGGCTTGCTGGGCGGCACCTGGAACCCGGAGACGCGGCAGCTGGTGGTGATCGAGGCGTACGCGTGCCGGCGGGCGGCGGGCAGCGACGGCGCCACCTCGGTGGAGCTGGACCCCGCGGCGCAGGTGGAGGTGCAGCAGGAGATGGAGAAGAAGGGACAGACGTGTGTGGGGTGGTGAGTGCGGGAGGAAGGGAGTGGATGGCGCTGGTCGCCACCCGGGGTGGCAGCCATGATGCCGTGACCAAGCGGTAACCCCGGGTGTTAACAGCTAGTCCATGCCAGCGGGGTACACGCCTTGCTGCTACGTATCCCAGGGGTAAGCCAGATCCCAAGCCTGCGGCAGCCTTGCTAATCGGCCAACGGGTCCTTGTCAGCCTCAAGCCGACACCATCTGCCCCCTCCTGTCCCCGTCCCCTCCTCAGGTATCACTCCCACCCTGTCTTCGAGCCCAGCCCCAGCCAGAAGGACATGGACAACCAACGCAACTACCAAGCGCTGTTTAGGTGGGCGAGCGGGAGAGGGGCAGGGCAGGGAGCGAGGGAACCGGGCAAAAGGGAGCTGAGCAAGACGTTCGGGAGGTCAATGGACGGGCGTGCCAGCTCATGTGCCTCCATCCAACCCTCTCTCACCCCTTTATCCCTTTCCTTACCAACCTCGCATCCCCCAGATGCGAGCAGACCCGATTGGAGCCCTTCCTGGGCTTCATCGTGGGGCCATACGACATCGCCATGCCGCAGCCCACCTCCGTCATCACCACCTTCACCGTGCAGACGTTCAAGGGCAGCATGATCCCCTACTCGGTGCGCTGCCAGGTGCACGGCTACGAGGTGATCCCCGACGCGGCTCTGCTGGGCAAGCTGGCGGGCATGCTGGACGCCTTCCGAGACGACCCGGGGCGGGTGGACTTTGGGGAGCTGTGGCGGGGGTACGGATACGTGCTGGTGAGCGGGCGGGAAGGGAGGAGAGTGTGGGTTGGGATTCGGGCGGGAAGACTGACGGCCTTGCTGTTAGGGCTCGGCAGCTGGATTGTTTTAGGCGTTTTGCTAGGGCTGGGACTTCGTCTTCGTAGCTCCTCACCCCTGCCTTCTCGGCATGCCTTCTGAACAACAGCCCGCCCTTTACACCCCAGCCTGCCCCGTGTCTGCCCCCCTCGCCCTCCAGCCCGACGGCTGCTCAGTGGACCAGCGGCCGCTCACTCGGCTGGCCAAGTTCCGCATCTCGCTCGCCAATTACATGCGCGAGGCCAACCCCGCAGCGGTGCGGGAGGTGCTGGACTTGCTGTGTGGGGAGCTGCAGAGCCGCTGGGGTGTCAACCTGGCGGCGGCTCTGGCTGCAGCGGACGCAGGTACGGCAGCAGCACCAGCAGCCTTGGGGGCGCCGCCTCCGCAGGCTCAGCCAGCCTCGGCGGGAGGCCAGGCGGGTGAGTCCATGCTGGGGCTGCTACTAGCGGACGGAGATGAAGGGGCGGCGGCGGCGGCGCAGCAACAGCAGCAACAACAACAGGCGGGGGCTGTGGCTGATGCCGCTGGCTGCCTGGCGCCCATGGGCCCGCCTCTGCATGGCGTCACGGTTGCCCCGGTGGCCCATGGGGAGCCCGGCTTGGGTCTGGTGGGGGCTGCTCCGGTGGCTGCGGGCGGGATGCTGCAGGCGCTGCTGGAGGATGATGACGCACCGCCGCCAGCGGCGGGGCCGTCGGGGCTGCCGCTGGATGCGAGCGGCGCCGCCGCGGTGCCGCAGCTGCCGGCGGCGGCGTTGGAGCCGATGTCAGTGGCGGGTCTGGGTCCTGGATCAGCAGGGTTGTTGGCGCAGATGGCGGAGGCGGTGCAGGGCGGTGGCTTGGGTGCGGGGGGAGCGCTGGTCAAGCAGGAGCAGGGGCAAGCAGCGGTGCCGGGACTGTACGGAGGGGCATTAGGGGTCTATGACCAAGCAGCAGGGGCGTTTGGGCAGGGGGCAGGAGGAGGGTACGAGCAGGGGGGTGTAGCACCGGGATCTGGCGTGATGGTAAAGGAGGAGCAGCCGGGGGAGGGAGGTGCTGGGGGTTGAGAGGTCGGGGTTGCTGGTGTGAGTTGCAGCCACAGGATAGCAGGGGCAGGAGGATGGGCCAGGAAGGCGTGATGCAGACGGATGTGGGGTCTTCAGTGGCTTCCTAGGTCATGTCCTTGCTGTAACATGTGTGTTAGGCAGGCGCACGTGATTGGGGTTTACTTGCGGCTGCTGAGCGTGAAGGGCCCGCTGCGGCATGCCATGTGGTGGGTCCTCCAGTGGGAAGGGTTGCAAGGATGTTTCCGGGGGAAATGAGGTCGTGAGTTGCATTCCACGGCTAGGGCGCTTCCTAGTTGTTACCGGTGTGTAGACAGCTCCGGAACCTTGAGTGCAAGGGGGCTTTTTGCACTCTGCGCAGGTGTGATCTGAGGGTAGCTAGGATGCTTTGCAGCTGCTTTGTTCTGGGCATTGTCCCTCCGTGTTCCATGAGTGGCCGCTGGCAGCGCTCCTAGGCGCTAGGGGCTAGGGCAACACTACACGTTTGGTGCTTTCTTCATGTAGAGACGCAAGAGCGAGCACGCTGTTCGACGTCCTTGGAGGAAATCGTAAACCAAGCCTACAAGGGGAACCAAAAGGCAAGAAAATGTCCAAAGCTAGCACAGGAAAGGCGGGCAAGGAGCAAGAAGCCCAAAGGAAAGGGGCAGGCAGGACGGCACAAGTCATTGCACTCAAACTCAATAACCGTCGCTAATGTCTAGCCGATCATCAACTCCCCGCTTTTACAAAAGTCCGTCAGACTGCTCAGACATTGAACCGGGGAACCCGAGCGAAACAGCGTGGAGCGTTTACAGCAAGATCGTTATGAGCCGTTAAGATTGTGCTGTTAGAATACCATCCACTAGTACCTGGACTTCGCATCCGGCTAAACAAGGACTAAGCAGGTACAGACGGTTGATACCTGCCGGAAGACAACTGGCACAAGAGAACCTGCTATACTAGCAGCGGATAGGCCGAAGAGGCGAGAAGGCGGGATGGAGAACCGATCACTCGAGGACAACGGCAGGGCATTAAGCTTCGCAGATGTCCTCGACGTGCTTAGCATGCCAGAGCTGGAAGCCCTCTCTAGCTTTCTGGGACGCGATAGGAGCCTGGGGAATGCACGCCTGGCGTTCCGCGCGCTGCGTCAAGCAATCGACGTCTCCGTGCGAACTGTTTCGCTGAAGGTGTGCTTCGGCCGCCAGGTTAAATGGGACGAAAACCACGGATACCAGTCGTCAGGGGACATAGTCCCCGGCCTCGAGCAATCATGGGAGGAGTGCAGGATGCCCTCGCTTGCACGCTGGCCCCGCTGTGATACTATTCGGCTGCTGGAACCGGACGAAATTGAATGGGAGTTAAACGAGGTCGGCACTGAGGGCATCGCAGCGCTGGTAGCACTGCAGTTTGCGGGGTCGCCGCTGGAAGCCCGGCAGCGCATCCAGCGTGTGGAGGTGGGGTTGCGGAGTGAGCACCACGTGGGCATCCACTCGGTTGTGGCTCAGCTGCCGCTATGGCTGCCAGCTTTGAAGGAGCTGGACCTCTCCTGCGTAAGGCCCTTCCGGGTTGAGCCATCACGGCTTCAGCAGCAGCTCATGTTTAGCGCTCTGTCCACCCTGCCACGCCTGGAACGGCTAGTCCTGCCCTCATGTACTGCTCTGGATGGCGTGCGGGCCCTGGCGGGGAACAGCAGCTTCACAAGCTTGGTAGTCGGTCCAGGGTACCAGATACTGGATCACAGTCGTTGTGCTGGTTTCTTCGACGAGCTGGTCAGGCTGAGGCATTTGCAGTTGCTGCATATGACTGAGTGTTGGGGGCTTTCACAGCCCAAGCACGACCAGGCACTGCGCCTGCTGCTGAGCAGCTTGCCACCCTCTCTGCGCCTCCTCCGACTGGACTACTCGGAAACAGTGCACCTAAACGCGGGCCGCATACAGCTTGTTGAACTTGCTAGCATCCGTACTTCTGAGCTGCCAGGTCACGGCCTCCTCCGCATTATCCCGAGCGCCCCACACCAGCTGCAGCCGCGCCTGTGCCTTGAGAGTGTTCAGGCATATACCGAAACAGGCGAGCCGCTTTCTGGAGAGGAGATGGCCTGTTCGAGCATGACGCTGCAGCGCTTCTCAGCTGTGGAAGTGCAGAGACTGCACTTTGGCGCTTCCGTTGGTTCCGTAGCTGTGATGCACCAGACGGTTGAGCTGCTGGGCTGGCCGCAGTGGTTGCTCGTCTCTGTGAGATTGCCCAGAGCCTATACTAGATACGAGGGAGCGCTTTCCGTGGCAGTGGTGCGTTCCTGCCGAGCCCCGGCTAGCAACACGCAGTTGGAAACGGTGGCGGCAAGTGACTATCCCCCGCTGCCACCTGCGGGGGAGCTGCTTCTGGGTGTGATGAGGCGTGTGGCGGCGGAGACAGCAGCAGCTGGGCAGGTCTACAGTTCTGGCAGTGGCTCAGCAGGAGCACATGTGGTGTGGGTGAGCGGCCCGCTGCTGGCTCCACTGCTCCGCCAGCAGCGGCATCAGGGGCAGGAGGGCTGGTACATGACAGATGAGGGGCCGCAGGCGCTTTGCGAAGAGGCAGCTGAAGCTCTCCGTCAGTGGGTGTGCAAGCTGCAGGAGCAGGCGGTGCAGGGTGGAGGCGGCGGGTGCTGCATAGTGCGCTACCAGGCGCTGCCGGCTGCAGAGGCAGTGGTGATGCAGTGTGAGGGGGAGGCGGCAGCGGAGGCAGTGGAGGCAGCCGTGCGGGCGCTGGGGGTGGCTGCGGGGACTGGAGCAGAGGGGGTGGAGGCGGCTGCTGCACCTCTGCAGGTGGTGCGACTCAAATCCCATCATGGAATGGGAGGTGGCGGCGTGTTTGACTTGGACGGCGTGCTCGATGCTTTAAATTTGGTGAGTGCTTGCGTGTAGTTCACGCTCACAGTTGTGCTCTTGTGCAATGGTCTAACTGGTTCCCTGTGCGGTCTTCGCTCCCTTTCACTAAGCGGCTGCAGCACGCACCTAACCTGCCACCCGCTCTTCCCCCCACAGGCTGTACAGCATGCATGGGACCGCGCCTGGGAACCCAGTTCACGAAGCATCGGGCTGAGGCTGCTGGAGTGGCTGCATATGCTCTCGGACCAGCTTTCCTTTCCACCTTGATGGCATACGTGACAATGTGACATATGTATGAATGAATGATCGTTACAATGGTGCCCTAAAAGGGAACACGGGTGATGAACCCAACCCTACATTGCAAAAGAAACGGAACAAACCGTGCTATATGTGTTGAGCCGTGCTAGCAGTTTTATAGACTGGAAGTGGGCCCGAGTGGACCCGTGTTCCCTTTTAGGGCACCATTGTAACGGTCATTCATTCAGAGTGGACGGCTTACTGCACTAGCTAGGTCGCCGGAGTACAGAGGTGCAGGTGTTTGGAACTAGGCAAACATGACAATACTGGAGTGTGGGCGCAGGTGTGTCTCATGCGGCCCAGGAGCTGGAGGTTGTGTGGGCTACATAGCATTCCGAAGGAAAGGGGTGGAGCAGGGTGTACAGAGGGTCTTGTGAAGCATCTAGGATAGTGGGTTCAAGGATGCGATGTCAGTGGAGTCTGGCGCTTGTTGGGGCTCACAGGCAATTGTGGCCTGCCTTTTATTTCATGCACTCCGCGAGGACTCGGCTTGGAAGGAAGGGAATAGCCATAGTGGTACCCCCGACGCCTATTTTGGAAATAGGGGTAAAGACGCAAAAAGGTTAAAATAAATTGCTGTTTCAGAAGGGAGATTCCATGCGCCGGCTCAAATGAGGTAGTCCAACATACATTCGTGGTTAGTCCAACCTCCCGACAATGTGCATGCATGGGTGTGGGTTGTCGTGACGCTGGCCGCTCTCTCGGCTCTTGAACAGGCCCATAAATGTATGTATGCTGACAACAGTGGCCGGCCCACCTGTCCAGACGGACCCCTCTTGTCTTGGGTGCTCATGTCGTTGCTGGTTTCTGGTCCCACCTCCAGTCCTTTGCTGTCTTAGGTGTGCCTCGCCGAGGCTGGGACTGTGCTCCCCCTGTTCACCATTTCCTTGCAAATGTGGCTGGCCGTGTACGGTTTGTTGGACACCCTGACACTGCGTCCCCACCGCCCCCCCCTGACACTTGTTTGCTTTGCCATTGCTGCTTGTTTTGCGGGCTTGTGCTAAGCTGGACACGATTTTCCCCAGTGGGCTTGGTGTTTCTGGTGCTGTGGCATTGATGGCTTGGTTTTTGGTGGCTCTGTGTCAGACATGGCTCCTTGCTTTCTGCAGGGCATGCTCCTGGGGTAGCTAGTTTGCTTTGCCGCGGCTGCCCAGCGTGTACCGCTAGCGATTGGATTACGGCTTCCAGGCTTACAGGAGCTCCGGTCCTCCTTGTACCTTCGCATTCATGAGGGCCACCTGAAAGGTTAACAATACCGGTAGACATGCCCTTTACCGGACTTCGATTCTACGGCCTTTTACTTGGATACTTAACCGCTGCTTTTTCCTATTTACAAAAGGCTTTGTTAGAAAGCAATAAACTCAGCTTTTCGCAAGATACTCGACGTGTCGCTGTCTCGCAAGGTTTCGCTCTCGAAAAGAGGTTAACTATAAGCTCTGCATAATAGAGATGAACTGCGTTTGTACAAAATCAACGGTGGTATGTGTATGTGTTACAAGCTTCGTACCGAGCTCGTAAGATCCGTCCGAGCCAGAAGGCTCATGGATCGCGAGCACAAAACGCGAAAACAACCAAAAGAAGAAAAAGCAAACAAAAGAGACACCAAACAGAACGCTAATCATATGATAAACCCTGTCTGCGCAATCCTGCGACTTGGTCTCCTGGTTATTCCCATGCCTGGGTAGCCGTACACGTCCTCTGGCGGTGAAGAGTGGTTGGCAGGCGGCTGGCGAATTTGATATTAGCGGCATTGTTGCTGCAATTGCAGCACATACGACGTTAAGTTTGGCTTATTATTCCATAATCCAAATAACTTCGCTTTAGTAAGCCTGTTTTGCGCCGTGCCTGCTTCCTTTGGCTAAACAATGAAAGTTGAAAGGGACGGTATCACAGCTATCACAGATAGAACAGATAACGTTATCGGACTTATAAGTTTAGAATTAGGGTTTCGTATTAGTATGCGATTTCTACAGGGGAGTCCGAACGTATTAGGCCTGAGACCCCTTGAGACCCCGATAGCCGTATATATATCGGGGTCTCAGTGACGTACTATCCGGGTCTCCAAGGGGTCTCACTCTTTTACCGATATCATAGGCAAAGATATTGATAACTAATATATTTTAGCATGTACACATCGTAGCAAAACTTTTCATTATTAAGGCGTACCGGTATGGATTGAGGAATAATTGGGGAGCCTCCCCCCCGTATTGATCGGTCCCTGGGTTAGACTAGATAGGACATCTGTGGTCGCTTACGGTCTAGGCTTCGTCAAATTGCTTAATACTATACCGGTACGCATGTGTTAAATAACAGCACTGTAAAACAGACTATTTGGCTAACGTACTGTAAATGTCCTGCCTGGTTATCAAGCAGCTTGGCATATTCCATGTAATTATGGTTATCGGCTTGTCCAAGTCCTAACTTCCATTCAGGGTAGTACGTTATGTGACTTCTTAACTGACATGTCCAGTACTGCAAAAATTCACAGATGACTTCGCATCAGGTGCAACAGGGACTTAGCAGGTAGCTACAATTAATATCCATATGACCTGGCGCGAACCCTAGTAGCACTTATACAGCAGCAACGAAGACGCCTACGCGGCGAGAAGGCGTGATGGAGGAGTTGTCGCTTGAGGACAAAGGCAGGGAGAGGATGGATTTGACCTTCGCAGATGTTTGTCAGATGCTTACCAGGCCAGCGCTGGAAACTCTCTCTAGCTTCCTGGAAAGCGAAAGGAGCCTGGGTAATGCACGCCTGGCGTTTCGCGCGCTGCGCCAAGCAGTTGATGTCTCCGTGCGAACTGTTTCGCCAAAGGTCAGCCTCGGCCGAGAGCTTGTATATGACGATAACCGCGACTACCAGCAGCTAGGGGACATAAGCCCCGGCCTCCAGCAGTTATGGGAGGAGGGCAGGATGCCCTCGCTTGCACGCTGGCCCCGCTGTGATACTATTCGGCTGGACCTGGACTCACTTGGAAAGGTGTTCTACGACGTCGGCACTGAGGGCATCGCAGCGCTGGTAGCGCTGCAGTATGTGGGGTCGCCGCTGGAAGTCCGACAGCGTATCAGGCGTGTGGAGATAAGCTTGCAGCTGGATCCTGAAAGGGATTTTTGGGAAAAGCACGATGTGGGCGTCCAGTTGGCTGTGGCTCAGCTGCCGCTGTGGCTGCCAGCTCTTGAGGAGCTGGACCTCTCCAACGTAGAGCCCCTCCGGGTTGAGCCATCAAAGCGTCAGCAGCAGCTCATGTTTAGCGCTCTGTCCACCCTGCCACGCCTGGAGCGGCTAGCCCTACCCGCATGTAGGGCATTGGAGGGTGTACGGGCCCTGGCGGGAAACAGCAGCCTTACAAGCTTGGCAGTTATGGCAGGGGACGAACATCCGGAAAACATGTTTACAGCTGGTTTCTTCGACGAGCTAGTCAGGTTGAGGCATCTGGAGGTGCTGCATTTGAAAGATTGCGACCTGCTGTTTGACAAGGGAGATGAGCCCAGCTATGAGAAGCTGCGCCTGCTGCTGAGCAGTTTGCCACCCTCTCTGCGGCACCTCCGGCTGGAGCACAACGCGCCAGAGAGGACAGTGGACGTGCACCTAAACACGGTGTCGTGTGCAAGTCGTGTTCCTAGGACCAACCGTCCAACTGTCTTGCCGAAGTTGGAAGAAGAGACGCCTGCGGTGTTTATTGGTTGCTTTACGTATAGCGGTTTATTGGTTATCCGCTTGCTTTGCCAGTGTTTGCGATGCGCTTGCCCGTATCTCGCGATTTGGTCGTTAGTTCGTTGCCTTCCCTGGAGTCGTAGATCTTGGGCCGGCTTGTTTGTTCCCGAGAGCGCCTGGTTCGGCGCTTCTCGGGGCCTCACAGTGCTACACCGCACGGCAACATTTACAGTCCGTAATCGTTGTTAGAGTCCAACGAAAGCCTACTATACTGACCGTGCATAGCGCTACCAGCTGCGTCGCAATAGCCGGCTTGGCCAGCCCTATCGCGTAGCACCTATCTAGCACACCAGCCTGCTATTTAGTAGCCGTATCAGCGCCGGCAATCGGAGCGTGGGGCCTCAGCCGCCTACTTACTTCGGGCCTCTGCGACGTCGTGGCGCGTCGCACCGCTTACAGTATCGCCTACATCCTATAGGGGTTACCGGGCGGTGCCTTTGGCTACCACATCCCGGTGCGGAGTGTCCCTCAGCCACACTTCGCGTCAGCATAAGGCCTCATTCTCAGGCAGCTGACTAATCCCTGGTGCTCCTTGCCGGCACCATCCATTCAACAATTCAAGCATAGGATTGTTGTTTGGTCAACCCGCTCCTTTGCCCCGAGAAGCGCCTTCCAGCCAAGGCAGCATCGACCGTGACATCGCGCGAACTACCTCGCCGCGAGTTCAACGTCATGGCATCCCAAGCCGGTGCTCTTCCTGAAATTGAAGAAGATATTGAGGCGCTGCTCGGCCACGACGGTGCCGTCGCTCCGGACCCGACTCCGGCCGATGCAAGGGCTGTTCGTCGCGCTGGCTTCAACGTGGCGCGCAACCTCACCATGGGCGTGCGCCGCCTGGAGGATCTCGCCATGGGCGAGGGAGGAGACCAAGGGCTCGACTACGTGGACGGCGCTACTGAGGAGCTCCCTCCACAACCTCAGACCGGGTTAGATGGGGAGGGGCAACAGGGGGGAATGGATGATGCGGACTCCTTTAGCTTTGGTCTTCCACCAGCCCAACAGCTAGGGGGGTCTGACGGGCCGCAGCCGCTTGCAGCGGGAGGGACTGATGGGCAGCCGTTAGAGGGGGGCGGGGAGCGCGAGCCCGCCGCCGATGAGAACCCGTCACCTTACGGTGTGCGATCACTGCTGCTCTGGGGGGGCCGCGGCCACGCCGCCGCGCCCGCCGCCCAACCACCGGCTGCACCGGCCCCTGCGCACGTCAGGGGCGCCGCCGCTGCCGCCGCTGCCCCTGCCGCAGCGGTCGCGCCCAGTGGCGGTGCTCTACCTGCAACGCCCCGCCCAGTGATGGGCGCCCTCTCGGTGTATCAAAACCCTGCCTTCCAGTCCCCTGCGCCCTCCCCCGCCGCCAGTTTCATCACGGCGCGCGGCATGGACTCGCTGCCAGCTACACCGCCGACGGCAAGGCCTGGATCCCCACCACCTCGCAGCCGTGTTCTCCCCACCCGGTCCGGTGGCATAGCCCCCGCTGCGGTGAACGGTCTGCAGGGATTGTTGCGCGGCGACAGCAACGGCCGTGGCATGTACGGGATGTCGCAGCTCAGCCACACCGCAGCGCGCGCTGGTCGCCTGGGCCCTGCACAACGTATCCCCAGTTCAACCCCGCCGGTGGAGGAGGCGGCGGCGGCCCCCTATCAGCCGCAGCAGCACTTCACCGCGCCGCCGCCGCTGCCGCAGTCATCGCCGTTGCAGCAGCAGCCACCGCAGCCGAACCCCATGTCGTCGTTGCCTGGCCCGTCTGCCGTTGCTCAACAGCAGCCAGAGTTCGAGTTCGACCCTGCCGGTGGCGTCGATGATGCTGTTGCGACCTGGTTTGGCCTGGGCGACATGGTCGAGCCGCCCATACCGCTGCACGACCTCTGCCTGCTAGCTCGTCGCCTACAGACCGACGGCGCGTTCTTGCAGGCGCACGGCTGGCATGACGGCAAGCTGGTCTCCGCGGAGGCTCTGATCAGCGCCTTAGAGCCGCCGTTGGTCCCAAGGGCGTCCGTGCGCTACGGCCCCGACGACTACAGCACGCAGCAGCTGCTTTGGCACCTGCACGACCTCAACCAACGCAACCGGCAGCGCAGCTCGACAGCCTACGTCACGGCTGACGACCTCATTGCCGACCTGCTGCGGCGCCTCAAGGCCCAGGTCGGCGACGGCCCGCACTGGCTACAGTATGCACATGAGCTGAGGGAGTACCTGCGGGGCAACGGACGGGGGTCGGTGGCGCCGCCGCCAAGACTGATCTCATCGCTGGCGGGTGCTGGCACATCGGCGGCGGCCCCTCGGGGCACGCCGCCGGCCGCGGCGGCAGCCACAGGGCAGCCGCCGCTCGTGCCAGTCCCCGCTGGTGGTGGTCACGCGGTGCCGCCAGCAGCCCCCGCGCAAGGAGCCGTCCCCGCAGCCCCACCGCCGCCACCGCCGCCAGCCCCGCCTGCGCCCAACCCTGCAGCTCCCGCCCCCGCCGCGGCAGCTGCAGCTGCAGGGGTTGACGATGAACCGCCGCCCTTGGGCGCCGCTTACGCATCCCACCTTAATGAAGTGGGCAGGCGCCAGCTGCAGCTTACCAAGTTCCGCGACCGCTTCGATGGCAAGGCGAGCGACTACACCAAATATGAGTCGGCGGCGAGGGGCTGGGTGCAGACTGCCCTGGTCAATGCAGTACCGGGCTTGCCATGGCCAGACTTCCGTCAACTGGGCAACCTCATGGCCAACCACACGTTCGTCAACTGCTCGGACCCCAGCATCTGGTACGAACAAAGCTTCCTGGATCTGGAGCGCGACCACTACAACGCCTACAGGCAGCGCGGCGGTGTTAAGGAGCAGTACCGCGGGCAGCGGATTGGCGACTTGGGGGACTTCACCGAATACATCCTGCAGGCCCTGAAGCGGCGGTGTGGTGGCAATCGTGGTGATGCGGAGGACTGGTTCAAGGACTTCGCGTGGCCGCCCGACCCCAGCAAGCCGGGCTTCGGCCAGACCCCGGCCAAGGTCTATGCTGAGTACGTGCACGGCTGCAGCAACCTCCCGCAGTTGGAATACCCGCAGGCTCGTCAAGTGCGCAAGCTGCTGGAGGCCAGCCGCAACCTGCGTGGCTATGACTTCATCCGCACCCGGTACGAGGCGCTGAGTGAGCTGCAGCAGCAGGGCTTGACGCTGGAAAGGCTGCGCGACTGGCTGTCTGACATGGAGTCAGCACGCTCCTCCGAGGGGGGCCTGCAGTTCAGAGCGCCTGCTGCCACCACGGCCACCAGTACACGCCGTGCTGCTGCAGCGTTCCACGCCGCTGCTGCGCCCAGCCCGCCCGATACCAGAGCCGCCTCGGACCGCTTCACGCTGCAGATGGCGCAGGACCTCGACGCTGCGCTGGAAACCACTTGCCCTGACGCCGGCATTTGGTTCACCAACCACCTCCGCGGTCCTTGCCCGATCCACGCCTGGTACACGGCCACTCCGCACCTGCTGTGTGACTGCCGCGTCGCCAAGGATTGCTGGAAGTCGAGGGACGCAGCAGGCGCGCTGCGCCGGGGCGATGAAGGCATCCTGCGTGCAGAAGCGGAGCAAGTCCTGCCAACTCAGTTGCGTGCTGATCTGCCATTTGCTAGGCGCCGCCGGCCAGCCTATCAGCCCCCGCCGCCCGATAGGCCGCCTCCACAGCAGCAGCGCGCGCCGCAGCCCTCGCGCCAGTCAGCAGGAGCCAATCTGCAGCACCCCTTGGCCACCAGGGCAGCATCGAACCAGTCACGCTCGCGGGTGGTCCCAGCGCACCACGCCGCTGCCGGCAGCTATGCGGCGCAAGTGCAGGAGCCGCCCCCCTGGCAGGACTTGATCGACGGCCAGCAACTCCTGTACTACCATATCGGCGAGCAGCATCAGCAGATGCAGGCCATGTCCGCCGCCCTCCTGCGTATCCACCCGCATGCCCAGCTGCCCTACCTTCGGCACCTGCGACCGCCGGAGCCGGTGGCGTCCCACCTGCCCCACCCGTCGGCCCAGCACGTGACACCAGTGGCAGCCACGGCACCCGCCATAGCGCCGGCGCCCGCGCACGCCGCCATGCCGCCCGGCGCCATGTACGAGCCTGCTGGACCGCACAGCGTCATGCATGTCGGCATGCACGGCGCGCCGCCGTCAGCCAGCCAGCCGCCTGGCGCCGTGGCCCCGCCTACGGCTGGCTACACGCCGGGCATGTCGGCATACTACGCCACCATCAGCAGCATCCCGCCAGCTGACGCCCCTGCGGTGGCGTACGCAGCGGCCCCAGCGCTGCCGGCCCTGGCGCAGGTGGCCACCAACGGACCCCTTGGGTTCGAGCAGCGTGCGCCCGCAGAAATCCTGCCACACTTGCGCTCCCAGCCGGCCAAGTTCGCAGGTGATCCGCATGCAGTGACCAGCACCTCCGCAGCGTCGCCTACGCTGTCCTCGCTCCTGCAGCAGCTCCTGGCGGGCCTGTCTCAGGCAAGCGGCGCCGCGGGTTCACTGCAGCGGCTTTGTGGCACCGGATCCTCGTCATCCGCTGCCCCCATCCCGGCAGCGGTCGCCGCTGCAGCCGCCGCGGCCGCCAACACCAGCATCCTGCGCTCGGGATCACTGCCATATCTCCAGCAAGCCCGCCGCACCACCGGCCTGCTGGTCAGCAGTGCAGCTCGGCCCATGGGCCAGCTGCTTGGCAGGGTACTGGTGGACTCGGGCAGCGCAGTGCACATCATGGCGCAACGGGTTGCCAGCAGCCTGGATCTGGACGTCATCCCCTTCCCGTCGCTGTCCATCGCCACGGCGGCGGGACGCAGCAGCGTCTTGGGCGTCACGGAGGTCACCTTCAGCTTCGCCAGCGGCACGCCCGACGCCATCACCCACCGCACGTCAGCCCTGGTCGTAGAGGACACTGGTGCAGAGGCGTTTGACCTGATCCTGGGCACCGAGGTCCTGTGGCACAACTTCGGCTGCGACATCTTGCTGGGTGGCCCCACGCCGCTGCTCCGGCTGCGCCGAGGCTACGTGCACCCGCAGCCCTGCGCCCACCTCCCCACCACCTCCCTGCCCATTGCCATGCCTGATCCACCGCCAGCTGCCAACGCCACCGCCCTTGACGTCGGTGGCGCCTCGCTGCTGCAGTCCCAGCCGCTGGAGCAGCCGCTAGCAGCGCTACCAACCACCGCCGGCCTGCCTCGTGCCGCCGGCGGCCAGCCATGACGCAGCCGCCGTCCGCAGCGGAACGGCAGGGTTCCGCTGCCGGGTCGTCGCCGCCGTGCCGCGGCGACACAAGTCCGGGCAGTTGTGCTCCGGATGGGCGTCGGTTGCCTCCGCAGGAAGCGGAATTCGAGCGGCTGCCGCAGGGCATGCTGTTGACAAAGCGTTCAGACCTGTCAGCAGTACAGCGGGAACAGCTGGTGCAGCTGTTGCGGGAGCATGACGACCTCTTCGCCCGCAGCCTGACGGACTTAGGCGAGTACAGGGGTGACGTAGGGCCTTTCCGCATTGACCTGATCCACGACCGGCCTATTTGGCAGCGACCATGGAACCACTCCGCTGCCGAGTACGAAGTTATGGATCAGAAGTGCGGGGAACTAGCCGGGGCCAACATCATCGAAACCAGCCGCAGCTCCAAGTATGCCATGAACTCGGTGATGCCGGTTAAGAAGGATGCTAACGGGCAGTTCACAGAGACGCGTTTCTGCCAGGACGCGCGCCGTACCAACGCTGCCACCATGCCTGACCCGTACAGCCCGCCCCTGCCGGAGGAGCTGTTTCAGCGCATAGGGTCTGCCCGTTGGCTAACCAAAGCAGATTGCCGTGCCGCATTTCTGCAAATCCCCATCCTGCCGGAGCACCGTGAGCGCACCTCCTTCTGGTGGCGCCGGGACCTGATGCAGTACCGGCGGATGGTGTACGGCCTGCGCAATGCCACTGCGCACTTCCAGCGGGTTATGGATTTCCACATACGGCAGCACGGGCTGCAGGACTTCGTCTGCGCCTATGTGGACGACCTGCTGATCTTCTCCAACACCTTTGAGGAGCACTGCGAACACCTGCGCCGTGTTTTCGCCATGCTGCGGGCCATCAACATCCGTCTGCACCCGGAGAAGACGATGGTGGCCAGCGACTGCGTGGAGTTCCTGGGGTTTATGGTCTCGGCTGACGGCATGGGCCCTACCCGCGCCAAGGTAGCCGCCTTCCTGGCGCTCACCTCGCCCACGTCAGCCACCGCTCTCAAGACCATCCTGGGCATGTACGGCTACTACCGCGACCTAGTCCACCATTACGCCGACATCGTCGCCGGCATCACGCCGCTGACCTCCAAGAACGTTGTCTGGCGCAGCGACACTTGGCGTCCTGAGCATCAGGCGGTGCTGGACGAGCTCAAGCGCATCTACTCTGAGGAGGGGCTGGTGCTGCGGCGTGTGCACCCCGACCGGCCCTTGATCCTGCATACGGACTTCTCAGGTGTGGGAATTAGCGGCGTGCTGGGTCAGCTGGACGATCAGTCGCGGGAGTACATGTGCGCCTGCATATCGCGGTCGCTGAACGTGCATGAGCGCAAGTACACCAGCTACAAGGGCGAGCTGCTGGCAGTGGTCTGGGCCGTCAAGCTGCTGCACAGCTACCTCAGCAGCCGGCCGTTCACGGTCGTTACCGATCACGCCCCGCTGCTGTGGCTGATGACGACCTCGGAGGGCCTCACCCCGCAGTACGCTCGCTGGGCGCTGACGCTGCAGGCCTACGACTTTGACGTCGTGCACCGCCCAGGCCACCTCCACCAGAACGCGGATGCCCTCAGCCGCAGCCCGCTCCCGTCTGCCCATGACGGTTCTGGTGCCCGTCTTGACGAGGAGGATGACCCCGTTCGCCCACCGCCGGCGCTCGTGGCTTATCCTGGGGTGGAGTGGCCGTCGTTCGCCTTCCGCCGCCGCCTGCCCACGGCCGCGGCGGTACTGGCGGCCCGTTTCGCGCTGTCCCCGTCCACAGCGTCGCCAGCCAGTGTCATCTCCTACGCCGCCAGCTTGGCGCCCGTGGCGCTGCTGCCAGCGTACACGGTCGTTGCGGCAATCCCCGAGCACATCCGCTGCTTGTCGCTGCATGCAGTGGAGGCGTCGAGCGCCACCAGCAGCCTGGTCGTGTCAGCTGGAGAGCTTGCAGATCCCGTGCCTGATCCGGTGCCCCCTGCCATGCGCCGCGCGACCATGCAGGTGCGGCTCGAGCGCCCTGCGCTGCGCGCCATTGTGCCGGTCAGCGCCCTGCCGCTGCGCCTGCGGGTGCCCGACCAGGCGGTGGTCGGCATCAACACGGCGCTGGTGCAGCACGGCCTGTTCCCCGTGGCGCTGGGAGGTGACGGTGTGGCGGTTCTGGAGCTGCCGGGCGGCCTCTGCTCGGGCCTGCTGGCGTGCCTGCAACTGGGCCTGCGAGTGCGCCGCTATATTCCCCTTAGCGGCGACCCCACCTCGCAGGCCGCTGCTGCGGCGCTGCAGCCGTATGTGGTGCGGCAGTATGGCGGCTTGCTGGCGGCTGGTGCTTGGGACGAGGGGTTGCGCGCGCCGGCATGCTCGGCGACGGAGCTGGTGCAGTGGGCCGTGTCGGACGCTGGGGCAGAGGCGCTGGGTCTCCTTACCCAAGGTCAGTGGCTGGTCATGGGCAGTTGGGCGGGCGACGTGGGCTGGTCAGCGCAGTTGTACGTGAGCTTGCTGGGTGCGGTGCAGAGCAGCATGCGGGCGGCAGGGGTGCCGCCGCCGGCCTTCCTGTTGGAGGGTCCCCCGTGCACGCTAGAAGCCGCAGAAGCCGCTGGCCTGCCGCTGGGCTACCCTGCCACTGTTGACGCCGTGCAAACTGGCGCTGTCTTGCACCGTCTCAGCAGCATCTACACCAACCTGGCCAACCCAGCTCACCTGGCTTACTGCCTCCGCCGGCTCCCACCGCCGGCGGACGCAACGCTAGCATCTCGCCTCCCTGACGGCTGGTTCCCAGCCCCAGCCACGCAGCCACTGCCTTCGCCGTACGCGCCGCTTGAGGTCCCGGGCGTCCCATGGGTCGCGCTGCCGCCACTAGCGCTGATCGGCACGCCGCCGCTACTGCAAGGGGCCAACCGCGTTCCTGCAGTGCCCGATGCCGCCTTGGTCGCCGCGCTTGCAGGCTTTCCGCCGCTGCCCCAGCATCCCAGTCTGCCAGCCCTGCTGCCGCGTCAGCCCCCGCCGCCGGTCCTCACGGCGGCGCTAGCCAGTTGCCTTGCGCTTCATCGCGCCTTCGTCACACCTCATGACCTGCAACCGCTGCAGCCTCGGCACGTAGCCGAACCGGCGCGTCCGCTGGGGGGGGTGTCAAGTGACGTCGACGCCTTGGAGGCCAGCTTCAGCGTGGACACGCAACTCGGCTCAGGTTTGGCGGCGGCCGCAGCACTGGAGGCAGCTGCGGCTGCGCACGATGCAGCGTGGCTGACGGTACTGGCGTGCGACGTCTTGGTACAGCGGACGCGTGGCTCGGCGGTCGTGGAAGCCACGACGGCGGTCGTGCAGGAGGAGACAGCAGCAGCGGGCAGCGATCCTGACGTGTGGGGTGATGCGGAGGCCATGGCAGTCATTCGTGCGCCGCTCTCAGGCCGTGTGCCGCCTGGGGAGGCAGCCGGAGCATCTTCCGCCAGGGTGTTGCGTCGCGCGTCGCACTACCGCTGGACTGGCTCGCAGCTGCTGCGCATGATGGCGGATGGCTCCACGCGCGTCTGCCCGCCGCCGGCAGATCGCATGGACCTGACTCAGCGGACTCATGCAGTGGCGCACTTGGGTGTGCGGCGTACGTTGGCGCTGCTGCAGCTGGGTTACTGGTGGCATGGCATGCGCAGCACTGTTCGGCAGGTAGTGGGCTCCTGCAAGCTCTGCGACATGTGCAACAGCTCTGGCTCATCGCGACCAGTGCAGCTGCAGCCACTGGCGATCAAGGGCATGTTCTACCGCTGGGGCATGGACTTGGCTGGGCCGCTGCCGCCTACCAAGCCGCACGGCTTCACCTACGTGATGGTGTGCGTAGAACACTTCACCAAGCATGCGGAGTTTCTGCCGTTGCGGGATAAGACGGCGGACGAGACGGCCAGGGGCTTGTTGGAGGTCATCGCCAGGTTCAGCGCGCCGGCGGAAGTAGTGACGGATCAGGGGGGGGAGTTCGAGGGGGCCTTCAGCCGCCTTCTTGAGCAGTGTTACGTGGACCATCGGCCGACGTCTGCGTATCACCCGCAAGCCAACGGTGCAGCGGAGCGGCTGGTGCAGGTGCTCAAGTCAGCCCTGCGCAAGTACTGTGCTGAGAGCGGCAGTCCTGAAACATGGGATCAGCACTTGCCGTGGTTGGCTCTCGCCTATCGCTGTTCACCGCAGGCCTCCACCAAGCTTGCCCCGTACACCCTCATGTACGGCGTGCCGCCAGTCGTGCCACCGGCGGTACGAGAGCGCTTCCAGGCGGAGCTGGCCTTCACTGGGAATGCCGGTGAGCAGGTCTACGCGCGGGCCTTGGTGGAGAGGGCAGCGCTGCTGCAGCGGCACGCGCCGGCCGCTGCCGGCAACCTGCTCATAGCGCAGCACAGAGACACCAGGCGGTACGCGCTCGTGCGCTCAGGGCTGTGGCGCCCCCCGCAGCTGCAGTTTGCTACGGGCGACTATGTCTATGTCCGGCGGCAAAACCCCAGCAACACGCTGCAGCCGCCGGTGCGCGAGGCCGTCTTGCGAGTGGAATCGGTGGGTCCCTTGGGCGTGGCGGTGCTCATAGGACGTGACGGCACGCGCATCAGGCGCCGGGTGGAGCAGCTTGTGCCCTGCCATCTGCCAGACTTGGACCCTATCGTCGACCCGCGGCTCATGCGCCCGGCAGCGGACCACGCCTGCCAGGTCTGTGCCTCGCCTCGTGACGGCGGCAAGATGCTGCTGTGCGACGCCTGCGGTACCGGTTGGCACCTGTACTGCCTCGTGCCACCATTGTCGCAAGTCCCCGAGGGCAGCTGGGTGTGCCCGGAATGCGTGCAGCTGCAGCGGGAGGCGCCGGCGGGGCCTGCGCCGCCCCAGCCGGAGCCCACCGCTGTGCTGTTTCCGAACGCCGCCACGCGGCGGCGTGACGACGAGGCGGCGGCTCTGGATGGACGCCGCATCGTACGCATGGTCAGCAAGGGGCGCGGTCGCGGGCGCGAGGAGCAGCTCGGCGTGCTGCGCTACCGCGGCGGTCTGGCGAGGCCCCACTACTTCTATGCCGAGTGGGACGGGGGCTTTGCTGAGGCGGTCGGGCTGCCTGCGGCGAAGCGCATGCTGATGCCGGAGCAGACGAGTACGAGGAAGAAGGGCAGGTAGCGTTGTTTTGGGCTAGGAAAAGGCGTGCCATGCCGCGCGGCCGAGAAGGGGATATTGCTTAGGTTGTGGAAGTTAGGTTGGCGTTGCCGGCTCGCTGCACCGCGAGTGCGAGGAGTAGGGGTTATCCTAGGGAGCGCAGCCAGACTCGCCGCTGTTGGGGGTAGTAAGGGGGAGCGCCAAGCCGCGTGGCCCGCTATAGAAGGTTGGTGTAGGGATCTTGGTGGCTAGTGGCTAGTGGGTACGTCAAGCCGCGTGCTCTCGGTCTTGCTTCGAGTTCGTCAGTTGCTTAGGGAAGGAACGCCAAGCCGCGTTGCCTGTTATGCCTGTTTTGGGCGTTGTGACTCTTTTCTCAGTTGTGTCAGGTGAGACAAGGGGGTGAGGCCAGGACGCCTGGTTTTTGGTTGGATTTTGGGTGGCAGCGTACTTCGCCGTGCCTGCTGCTGGTGCCTTTTCTGTGGCGGAGGCTTGACTATTGCCGCTTTCGTGGCCTGCCTGCCTGAATTGGGGGTGGGTTTGCTGTGCTTGGTTTGCCGGTTGACCCGTGGGTCGGTGCACCTTAGGCTCTGACCGCCTGAGTGCCGCTCGTGCTGGCTCTATGGCTGGCTTGGTAGCTGGTTTCGTGAACCTGAGGATTGCTGCGTGGATTTCCGTGCGGCGTGGTATGCGCGCGTTTCAGTGGCCAGACGTGCGAGCCTTGGATTTTCCTGTGGAGTTGACTGTCGTACCCGCTGCCGGTAGCAGTGTGACTTGGGGTGTCCTGGGCTGTTGTTCCGCCCTTGCGTCGTCGAGGTCCTCGGTCGGGGGGGGGAAGGTTCCACCCCATGTCATGATTTGGCATGTTTCATCGCTGGAGCATGACAGCTGTCGTGTGCAAGTCGTGTTCCTAGGACCAACCGTCCAACTGTCTTGCCGAAGTTGGAAGAAGAGACGCCTGCGGTGTTTATTGGTTGCTTTACGTATAGCGGTTTATTGGTTATCCGCTTGCTTTGCCAGTGTTTGCGATGCGCTTGCCCGTATCTCGCGATTTGGTCGTTAGTTCGTTGCCTTCCCTGGAGTCGTAGATCTTGGGCCGGCTTGTTTGTTCCCGAGAGCGCCTGGTTCGGCGCTTCTCGGGGCCTCACAGTGCTACACCGCACGGCAACATTTACAGTCCGTAATCGTTGTTAGAGTCCAACGAAAGCCTACTATACTGACCGTGCATAGCGCTACCAGCTGCGTCGCAATAGCCGGCTTGGCCAGCCCTATCGCGTAGCACCTATCTAGCACACCAGCCTGCTATTTAGTAGCCGTATCAGCGCCGGCAATCGGAGCGTGGGGCCTCAGCCGCCTACTTACTTCGGGCCTCTGCGACGTCGTGGCGCGTCGCACCGCTTACAGTATCGCCTACATCCTATAGGGGTTACCGGGCGGTGCCTTTGGCTACCACATCCCGGTGCGGAGTGTCCCTCAGCCACACTTCGCGTCAGCATAAGGCCTCATTCTCAGGCAGCTGACTAATCCCTGGTGCTCCTTGCCGGCACCATCCATTCAACAATTCAAGCATAGGATTGTTGTTTGGTCAACCCGCATACAGCTTGTTGAGCTTGCTAGCATCCGTACTTTTGAGCTGGCAGGTCACGGCCTCCTCCGCATTATCCCGAGCGCCCCACGCCAGCTGCAGCCGCGCCTGTGCCTTGAGAGTGTTCAGGCATATACCGAGACAGAAGACCCGCTTTCTAGAGAGGAGATGGCCTGTTCGAGCACGCTGCTGCAGCGCTTCTCAGCTGTGGAAGTGCAGAGACTGCATTTTGGCGCTTCCGTTGGTTCCTTAGCTGTGTTGCACCAGACGGTTGAGCTGCTGGGCTGGCCGCAGGAGTTGCTCGTCCCTGTGAGAATGCCCAGAGCCTATACTAGATACGGGGGAGCGCTTTCCGTGGCAGTGTTGCGTTCCTGCCGAGCCCCGGCTAGCAACACGCAGTTGGAAACGGTGGCGGCAAGTGACTATCCCCCGCTGCCGTCTGCGGGGGAGCTGCTGCTGGGTGCGATGAGGCGTGTGGCGTCGGAGGCAGCAGCTGGGCAGGTTTACAGTTCTGGCAGTGGCTCAGCAGGAGCACATGTGGTGTGGGTGAGCGGTCCGCTGCTGGCTCCACTGCTCCGCCAGCAGCGGCATCAGGGGCAGGAGGACTGGTACATGACAGATGAGGGGCCGCAGGCGCTTTGCGAAGAGGCAGCTGAAGCTCTCCGTCAGTGGGTGTGCAAGCTGCAGGAGCAGGCGGTGCAGGGTGGAGGCGGCGGGTGCTGCATAGTGCGCTACCAGGCGCTGCCGGCTGCAGAGGCAGTGGTGATGCAGTGTGAGGGGGAGGCGGCAGCGGAGGCAGTGGAGGCAGCCGTGCGGGCGCTGGGGGTGGCGGCGGGGACTGGAGCAGAGGGGGTGGAGGCGGCTGCTGCACCTCTGCAGGTGGTGCGACTCAAGTCTCAACATGGAATGGGAGGGGGCGGCGTGTTTGACTTGGACGGCGTGCTCGATGCTTTAAGTTTGGTGAGTGCTTGCGTGTAGTTCACGCTCACAGTTGTGCTCTTGTGAGGGCGCCTAACCGGTTCCCTGTGCGGTCTTCGCTCCCTTTCACTAAGCGGCTGCAGCACGCACCTAACCTGCCACCCGCTCTTCCCCCCACAGGCTGTACAGCATGCATGGGACCGCGCCTGGGAACCCAGTTCACGAAGCATCGGGCTGAGGCTGCTGGAGTGGCTGCATATGCTCTCGGACCAGCTCTCCTTTCCACATGTAAGGCATATGTGTTAGCAGTCTATAGACTGGAAGACAGGGTGGATGGCTTACTGCACTAGCTAGGTCGCCGGGGTACAGAGGTGCGGGATATCAAAGATGGTAATGTTTATTTGGAAGGGGCAAGCAGGACAATAATGGACTATGGGTGATGGGGCCTTTAGCTCATGGATCGCATACGTGCAATAGGTCGCAGCATCTTAGGCTGTCCTCGGAACAGGGATTACTCATTAGCGGCGGATTGGAATGGGGCATCTTCTTGGTGGGTGGCCTGCGACGATAGGCTAGGCGGGTTTCAATGAGCCATCCGTACAAGGACGGTCACCCTGCCTTAGCTGTACATCCGTACCTATCCATGCATCCGTACATGTTGTGCTCCCCGAGTTGGGGAATACGGAGCAGTGCTGGGAGAGCAGGTGACATACCATCCGGTTTGTCTCATGCGGCCCAGGAGCTTGAGGTTGTGTGGGCTACGTAGCATTCCGAAGGAAAGGGGTGGAGCAGGGTGTACAGAGGGTCTTGTGAAGCATCTAGGATAGCGGGTTCAAGGATGCGATTCTGCTGGGCAGCTTGCCGAACTCCCTGCGACACCTCCGACTGGAGCGGTGCGTGTTCCCCTTTGGCTGCTATGGAGGACTTAATACAGCGGGCGTGTACCTGGACGGTGGACGCATGCAGCTCGTGCAGCTTGAGGACGTATTTGTTAGCAACCTGACGGATCATTGGCTCCTCCGTAGCATTCCAAATGCCCCACGCCACACCACGGCTGTGCATCGGTACATGTCACATGCCCTGTGATCCGCTGCCCAGAGAGCAGCTGGCCCGTATAAGTGTGTTGCTACAGCGCTTCTCAGCGGTGGAGGTGCAGAGCCTGGACTTGAGGTACCAGACTTCCGTAGCTGAAGTGCTCCAGGCGGTTGAGCTGCTGGGCATGCCGCAGCAGTTGGAGGTCTCTACTGATGTCGGGTACTTGACACTGCGGCCAGCCGCTGTGGCGCCTTCCCGCTATGTACCGACTGGCAGCATGCAGCCGGGAGTTGCGGCGGCAATTGACTGTCCCCCGCTGCCGTCTGCGGGGGAGCTGCTGCTGGGCGCGATAAGGCGTGTGGCGGCGGAGACGGCAACGGCTAGCAGGGTCGCTGGGCCTGGCAGTCTCTCCGGGTGGGTAGCGTTGTGGGTCAGCGGACCTCCCCTGGCTGCACTGATGCATGTGCAGCAGCAAGGACAGCAGGAGCAGGAGCGGCTGCGATGGGGTCGTGCGACAAGTTCAGGTCTCTGGAACTGGGTGCGCAGGCTGACACAGCGGGCAGTGCCGGTGCGGCGGGCTGGGAGTTGCGGCGTGCGTTGGTATCTGGAGCTGCCGGCTGCAGAGGCAGTGCTGATACAGTGCACGGGTGAGGCTGCAGCGGAGGAATTGGAGGCGGCCGTGCGGGTGCTGGGGGTGGAGGCGGGGAGTGGAGCAGAGGGGGTGGGGGCGGCTGCGGTGCCACTGCAGGTGCTGCGGCTCAAGTCGCAATGTGCATCATACTTGGTGGGACTGGGTGTGGTGGACGGCTTGTCCGATGCTCTACAACGGGTGAGTATGTGCGTACAACTCGGTGGTTGTGCAGTGGGGATGGGGGGTTGAGGCCGTCGACAGGACGTGGATTAAGAATGATGGAACGGCCGCTGATGTGGACTGAAGGGTATATGCTGCACTTGCCACCATGCTGTCAACAACAGCCGGCGCGAAGACCCCTTGCCGCCTTTGTATTAACATTACCTTGCAGCAAGGCGCCGGCAGCAGCCTCCCTTTCCTGACTCGACTTGTCTCCTTTTTCGTGGCCCAACCTCTGCCCGCACGTCCCCTCTCCTTCCCCAAACGCAGGCCATGCAGCAGGTGTGGGACAACGCCTGGGAGCCGAGTGCAGGCGGCATCGGGCTGAGGCGGCTGGAGTGGCTGCTGGCGCTGCAGGACCAGCTGGAGTTCCAGCAGGAAAAGAGGCCGAACTGGTGACCTTCCTCGTTCTAGCAGTTGATGGGCTGGAAAGCAGGGTGGACATGCGGGTTAGTGCATTGGGTTCGGTGATGGGTATTCACCGCTCGCAAGACGCACGTGTTGGGCGTCTTGACATGCTGTTAGGCTCTGCTGCCAACGGGGATCACAGTACCGCATGGAGTGCGAAGGGCGCCCAAGGTGTGGGGGGTTGGAGTGGTGCTGGATGGAGGAGCGTTTGGTGGTGGGGTTGCCCATGCAGCCCGGAAACAGGATGGAGGTCGTGTGGGCTAAGTTGCATGAATGAAAGGAGGGGGGAAAGGAGTATGGAGGAGGCTTTTAGCAACAGCCAGGATAGTAAATGCAAGGACGCGAAGTCTGTTAAGTCTGGCGCTTGTTGGGGCACACAGGCGACCCAGGGCTTGGTGACACGCAGTTGCTGCTCACTTGGCGGGCTGCTGCTGGGGCTCGTGGGGTCGTCTTTGTTTTGCACCCCCGAAATTCAGCGTTAGGGAGGGATGGGTATGGCATGGAATGAACCATGGGTCGGTGCGTGATGTTTGATAAGGAACGCGTCGGTACCAGAGAGGGGACTGCCGGCAATTTGTAAGCTTCATTCCGCTACTCGCTAGTACTTACCCAGCAAGAACATAAGGAGTTGTCATTGTGTACACCAAATGGCTTGGAAGATGCCAGTGATACCTTGGTAAACCTGTAATCGAAATCAACATTGGACAAGTAAAGAGATCCGTCAATCTAAGCAGTAGATCGCAATATGCATGGCCTTCCAGACTGCTTTGGACGTAGTGTTGCTTGACAAGATGAGGAGCTAGCTGAACGCCTAACAAAACCTTTTAGGACCCTGCGGCTCGAGACCTTGTCCAACTGCCGGCAAACGCGTGTTAAGGAAACTGGCCGCGAGTCGGACTGTACTGTGATTGCCGGAAGGCGTGTAGGTTCGTGGCGCAAACCCTTAGCAGCAATAGCAGTACCTAGTGAGAAGGCAAGAGACGGGATGGAGAACCCGTCGCCCAAGGACAACGGCAGCAGGGACTTGAGTCTCGCAGATGTCCTTCAGGAGCTCTGCGTGCCAGCGCTGGAAACGCTTTACGACATACTGAACGACGATGGCAGCGTGCCCAATGCACGCCTTGCGTTCCGTGCACTACGCCAAGCCATTGACGTCTGCGTGCCCAAAGTCTCATTACGAGTCCGACGCAGCCGCCAACAGCTATCGGACCAGGGCAAGATGCCCTCACTTGCACGCTGGCCCCGTTGTTTTGCTATTCGCCTCGACATGGACGAACCTGGCGACAACAAAGCTGCTGCTGCTGTCGCTGCTGTTGCTGCTGCTGCTGCTGCTGCTGCTGATGATGATGATGAGGAGGAGGAGGAGGAGGTGGAGGAGGAGGATGGTGATGAGGAGGAGGATGGTGATGAGGAGGAGGAAGACGGTGTCACCCTTGAGGAGGTTGCAGCTCTGGTGACATTGCAGTTTGCAGGGTCACCGCTGGAGGCAAGACAGCGCATTAAACGTGTGGAGGTGAGCCGCTGGCGGGTTGGGCCCTACCAGCTGAACGTCCAGTCAGCAGTGGCGCAGCAGCTGCCCCGGTGGCTGCCAGCTCTGGAGCAGCTGGACCTCTCCGACGTAAAGCCCCTCCGGCGTGAGCCCACACGGCTTCAGCAGCAGCGCATGTTCGGCGCTCTGTCCACCCTGCCGCACTTGGAGCGGCTAGTGCTGCCCGGAGGCGCGTCACTGGAGGGTGTGGGAGCCCTGGCGGGAATCAGCAGCCTTACGAGCTTGGTGGTGGATGGAAAGTTTAGGAGA